TACCACGGTGTGTTTAAAACATTAGGAAACATGTCAGTGACTCTGACTGGTTTTATGAACATACGTCAATGAAAGGATTGGTCTCACATCATGCTAATATCAACAGCTAACCTCAAGGCATAGCCCCTTAGCATGTAGCATTCTTCTTACCGGAGTTCTCACAGAGGTCTAACACGGTGAAACCGGCTCCTCTCTTTCTCACGCACACTCACAGGACATTCCCTCAATAAACAGAAGATTTATCGAGATGCTGCCCGAGGATTAATCAGTAATTTACGTGGTTTTTATCATGCTACATACCCCGGTTCGTCTGCTTGTTTACGTGCAGGTGCTCTGGTGAGTAGCTCGGCTCTGACAGGTCTCTCACAGATTAAGATCATAATTAATGGTCATGACCACAGACTGTACATAAAATGGACACCGTCGGCCTCCTCACTGGGTGAAGCCACTCCGAAAACAGCACACTCTGGAGACGACTGCAGTATAGGTGATACATTCCGCCTCTTTCAGTAATCTCTATGGAGCTGTGGACAAATTTGAGAAATTTATTACACAGATTTTTAAATTTTTTCCCCCCTGCTTGTGATGTTGACATGTAGTTACTGTCAGACTGGTCTGTGCTCAAGTCCTCTTTTTTTCTGTGCAGCTCCATTTATTAAAAGCTACAGCGGCTTTCAGCGACTCTCCCGCTGAATGTGTAAATGCTACTGAACAAGTAGTGAAGTGCGTTCAACGCTATTGCGCAATGTTGGTTTCAGGACATGAAGAAAAATTGCGGAAATACCGAGAGCTTCTCGGCTTCAAATCCGTATACTGGCGAAAGGCGGAACTGAGTTGTCCATATGCTGCGTTCCAGTTGTACTCGGAAATCGGGATATCCAAGCTCTAAATCGGAAATTAATCTGGAACGCCCCCCTGAAATCGGATTTTCGACTCAGATAGTTGGACAATCCTCGCCATCCCGGCTTGATGACAGCATCATAATCCAGGATGGCAGCACAGTGCATCAACAGTAAAGAGTAACAGTACAAGCTCTCGTAATGTATTATTTATTGGCACTTCTGTTTTGTTTTTGTGAAATTAAATAAGTGGTTTATGTTTTGCTGCCCAACGTCTAACTGTGAACACAGTGTTATGATGTTTGTAGTAAAATACTGTGTTGTGCGTTGCTTGCAACTGGTATCGCTAACAACAACTAACAACCGCTGACAACAGCCAACGACAGCTGACAATTGAAAACAACAGCTAACAACGGGTAACCGTAGGCGTCCATCTTGGTCTTCCGACTTGTTAATTGAAACGCTGTCAACTTGGGTGTAGCGTCATTCCCAGCTCTGACATCCGACTTCCGAGGTAACTGGAACGCAGCAATAGTATAGTCTATGGTCATGACACTGAGCACAGGGGTTAAGGCGCCACCATAAGGTGCCACTAAGGTATTATTTAATTTAAATCACATAAATTGGTTTAGTAACCATGTGGGTTACACTAATACTGTCTTTTTTGATCATTTATTTAATTGCATCATCTATAAAACTCATTGAACATTTATAAATATGAAGCATTCAGAGCTATTTCACTGTTTTGTAACTTAGCAACAGCTACTAAGAAGCAACCTAAAAAATGAGCTTGTGGGTGCGAAACTGAACAAAACATCATTAATGGACACAGGAGCCAAATATTTTAAGGTTAAATCTTTAGGAAACATGCAAACTGAGTTTCCAGACACCCTTATATATTGGTTCGAGGATTCCAGCAGTCTGCAGGTCAAAACACCAAAATAAAGTCAGGCTTGGTGAGTAAGAAAAAAAAAAGTCTCTGCCCTATATTTAATGATTTCTCTCCTGACACTTTTTTTTCTGCACTTTTGACAGCTCATACGAGATTCACCCTCATTTCTCTTCTGCCTGTGTATCTATCTAGGTCCTACTTTAGTTTCATCTCTGTCTGTGTGGGTTTACCATGCTGCTCTAATTGTTTTCTCATCTCTGTCTCTCTCTGTCTCTCTGGGGATGTGTACGCATGGCCTTATTATCCTGCCTGATCGATGTGATTTATAGGTTTAGGGAGCGAGACATGCAAACTTTCTCATCTCCTGGGATAAACCAGAGAAATCAATCACACACACACAATCACACACTCGCTCTGTGTGTGATTGTGTGTGGGCCAATCCAGACCTGAAAACTGCTTTCTCTAGAGACCATCAAGGAGTCAGCAGTACTTTTTAAATTGAGGTTTTTTTCTCTTTTTACCCGATTTTGTCTTTAAACTAGTGTAAACTTGTGCGTAAGCTAGATATACACACCTGAAATACTTGAAAGCACGTCATTGTGGTTGTATCTTTTACTACCAATAAGGAGGTTTGGTCATAAAAGGAAAATATAGTGTACACATGACTCCAACACTAAAAGCCTTTCACAGACCATATACTGGGTTAAAATACTCTGGTTTTCTGTTCTCTAATGATGCATCACATTGTGCGCTTACCAGACAGGTGTGTGACGTTAAATCAACATAAGGCAAGCTGTGTTAGCCTCAGCGGGGTCTGTGTGTGATCGATATCATGCAGTTTAGCTTTCACAATCAGCCCAGGGGCTAAACAGAGGAAGTGATGTGTAACGCATGTAAAAACACTCACCGACATTCCCATCCGACTAAACGAGGCTCTGAAATACAGCCGGGGAGGTCAGATTTTTTAACTTCCTCTTGGACTGAAGTTACTGACAACTGGTATTTGGAAAAAGAGGTTCGACTGGTTACTGACAGTAATCAGGTTCAGTGTCATTTCGAAACTTGAAAGATACTCCCCTGTGAATTTCTTCACCTTTTACAAACGGATGACCTGAGATTCTGCACTGACACATGTGATATATGTGAAAACAATAAATCACATGACCTATTCTGTTTAAATGAGAGACAACAATACAAGATCTCACCTCTGCTTTCCAAAGTGCTTTTTAGCAACTTTGAGCTTTTTGTTTTCATTTTTACAGCCAAAATTTGTTTCTTTTGGTTTATTCTTACTGCTCCCTTGTTGTCTTAAAAAGTGCAAATCAAAAACAGTATATTTTTGGATAAATCTGGGTTTAACCTGGCCTGCAAATTAGCCTCCTTTAGAATCCCAAAATGACAGCATCTTTAGTTTTACAAACTAAAGACCATCATTTAGTTTCATGATACAGCCTAAAAGCGATAGACACACTTGTTAACTTTTGCCTGACTTATATAGAATAGATGTAGAATAGATAGGGATGTGTTTTGTTTTATTTGTAGTAAAACTGTAAGTCACATTCATGCCACAAGTCCAGATAAATAGCTTACCAAGATGTACTGAGTCAAAATTAAAGACTGGATTGATCATATGAGTAGAAATATCAGCCAATGCACAAGGGAATTTCAAAAAAGGCATCATTTCTGATCAAAAATATCTCGAGTTTTATCAAAAATACATTTTATCATTAGTTTCTGCAGTCAACATGTACCTGAAAGTCAGTAATTAATGGCGAGTCTTGATTTTGAACTATGAAACCTGATTTAAAAGAAGTCATTCAGAGTCAACCCTTTATAAAAAAACTGTACTCATGTTCATTGAAACCATAATAAGGTTGTTCAGAACAACTTGTATGCAGATGACACTGTTATTTATCATCAGAAACCCATTCTAGTAACTTTGATTTGGTTTGTGTTACCCATCAAGAATACCTTTGGAATATTTAATGATGCAAATAATATAAAACTAGCCTGAATGTCACAAATGTGTCCTTTTCAGACACTATACCTGCACTCTTGATGTTAATATTGAAAGGATTTAACCACCAGTAGCTCTCAAATTGATTCTGCTAAGATCCCAAGGTAGACCTGGAATCTGATTAGATATAGGGTAACTTTCAGCTTGTGTCCATGTTGGCGCCCCCTGTGGTTCAAGTAGCACCTGTATTTTCTTAGCTGATGCTGCCTTGTGTTTACAAAAGTAGAATTTATCAGCAGAAATGTCCTCTTCGCTCCTTTTACACTCAAATGCATCACTTACCAAAAACAGTTGCAGTTTCTTTAGTGTGCAGTTCTTCACTTTATTTGACACCCACACCTCTGCAGCAGATTCAGACATTTAAAAAATGACAATACAGAAATAATCAGTCTTCTCTACTGCAGTCCAGTCTGCTTGTGTTGAAGTCTGTCTGTTTCATAACCAACGAGATCCTCCTCACAGGACGTTTGAAGACAGTATCTGATGTCTGTACTCTGATCATGACGTAAGACTTCACTTTATTTCTCGCTCTCAGACTTGAATTTGACTCAGACTTGTATGAAACATCTTTGTTTTCAGCCGCTGAGCTCATCCAAACACTCCCCAGCCTGCGGGGGAAAACAAACCAGCTCTCTATCAAGCTCGCTGGATGATTTTTATCTGTTTTCCTGTGACTCAATATCTTCAATTAACTCCAATTAGGATCGTCAAAGGACAATTAATCATTAATCAGGCGAGGGAACGGGGTCGTAAATATTTACTTATTCATCATACATATTTCTTGTTTTGCTCATGCTTATTTTATGAGCCAATTTTCCCATAATGCGTGCAGCATTTTAATCTAACATTTGCTGTCCCTGATCGCACATTCATCATGGTTGTTTGACCGTAATCTCCTCTTTCATCCCGGCTTCAGACAGTCTGTTGATAGGATCCAGAGGCAGGCGGGCACCACAAAGTTAATGGACTATCACTCCCCCTAAAAAGAACTGATTGTACTATTCAGGAGGGTCACAAACACTGTGACAGGGGTCGCCACCGGAGCCAGAAGAAACGAAAAACTCAAGGATAAGTGAGAGGGGTGAAAGAGTGTGTATATTTGGAGTCCTGCGGGTTAATTCAGTGCCTTTTCTGCTACGATTGCCGTGTCTAATCATTCATGAGCTGTGCAGGGAGGGATGGATGGATGGATGGAGGGAGAGAGAAAGGAGAGGAGGGAAACAGCACAGCGTTCAGACACAAGAGGGAGAGCTGGAGAGGAGGCAGCTGCTGCGTGAGCTCGTCCACTTCTCAGATCTGCTGAGCAGGTAGAGAGAGAGGGAGAGAGAGAGAGAAAGGGAGGGAGGAAGTCTGTCTTTTCACCTGAAGATTACTTTGTCTCACACTTCTCTCACCCACAGCGCTGCGAGGAAGGAGCAGCGAGCACGGAGCGCAGTTGATCAGATCAGGAGGTGCCGGCTCTTCTTGCTCCTTTTTGTTTTTTTCCTTTTTCTTTTCTGCACGGGAGGTCAGCTGGAAAGCTGCGCAAGATAACAGATGAACATCTTCAGCTGGGAAGACTGAGAATTAAAGAAAAAGAGAGTGACACGTCAAAGAGAGGGGGAAAAAAGTGAGAGAACTGCAGCAGAAGCTTCGGCTACAAGGGGAGAAAAGTTGTACAGGAAATCTGCACCTGAGAGGTAGGATTTAGTTTCACTTTTGACTCTTTCTTTCTTTCATATGCATCTGATAAAAGATGCATCACTTCAACTATCTGCAAATATTGTGTTTGCATAAATCTTAATGATGCAAAGTCCCTCAAACATGTTTTTGTTGCACACATTGCTTTTAACGGCTTGTTGCGAGGGAAGTCTTGCTTTTATGTGCTTGCAGACGGAGCACAAATCAAGATTTGAGGGAGCAGAGACTGTGTCATTTGTTAAGTTGTTGAGGTGTGACCGAAAGATAAAGAGGAGCAGAGTTTGACAGGAGGAAAAAGCACTGATCTGTTGCTGTTTATCATCCTCAACTAAACTGAGAATAAAAGGGAGAAATCTGGATGAAAGAGGGAGCGAGAGTGGGAGGAAGAAAGGGAGTTTAAGTGGGCAGAGGGGAGGTAGAGATGGAGAAACTCAAGTGTGAAGGAGAGTTGGATGGAGAGACAGAAACAGAGAGTAAAAGAGGAGTCTGGGGAGGAGAAGAGGAGGAGGGATGGAGGGCTGGAGTGGCCGTGGGGGGCTCGCTGGCAGCCAGCTCAGTAACCAAGGCAGCTGACATGAGGGAGAGCCAACAGGGGACAGTGGGATTTCTATTTTTCACCCTCGCTGAGATGCACCAGGGCTCTGCCAAGTCCCCTGCCTCATCCCCCTGCGGATAAAGATTTCATTGTGCCGAGCCGTGACCAAATTCATTAAGCATCAACATGTACTCTCCCCTGGCCGCTCTCTCTTCTCTCTACTCTCTCCCTGAACCCCATCTCAGCGCTGATACTCCGTCTCCTGTCGTCTGCTCCTCCCCTCGCGCCTTCATTACTGTCTCAATTGGCTCCTTAATCAGCTCCACTCCTGTTCAACAGTTGCAATTTGTCAAGGCTCAGCAGAGAATAATAGACAAATATGGCTGGGTTTCTTAGAGAGTCTTTCCATTAGGTAGAGGATACTTCAGACCAGACTGGGTTAGTTTATCTACACTAGATTTGGTGTTCAACATGGGCACACTTTGTGAGCTGTTTTGGAGGTTCTGGAGGATTTCAACCTTAAACTCTGCTGGGTTTGGAGGTGAAGTCCAGGAAGTGATCCTCTCCACTTGATCTGAAATGTAAAGGTTTCACACATCAGTGTAAATAAATGTAAAGATTTAGCTTTCTGCTGCATTGATTTAAAAACATTTTGAGGGTAATAACACAGAAAAGTCATAGATGGAAAAATAACATCCAGCAAATCTTAATTGGGTTTATCAGGTTAATTAAATGCATCATCATATTATCATTATATTATGGTACAGTAAATTTCTCCACAGGGACAATAACATAGTTTGAGTAAAGTTAAGTATTTAGTTTCAGTGTTTTGAGAACAATATACAGACTAGAAAAAATAAATTAACCAGCACAGCTATGATGGTTTAAACACATTTCTCAATCGTATTGTATCTGGTTGTATCGTATCGTATCTGGTTGTATTGTATCGTATCGGATCTGATTGTATTGTATCGTATCTTATCATACCGTATCGCATTGTATCGTATCATATCGTATCATATCATATCGTATCGTATTGTATTGTATCGTATTGTATCGTATCTGATTGTATTGTATCGTATCATATCGTATTGGATTGTATTGTATCGTATCATATCGTATCGGATCGGATTGTGTCGTATCGTATCATACCGTATCGCATTGTATCATATCGGATTGTATTGTATCGTACCATTATATATTGTAACATACCATTTTACATCTTAGTGTATCATATCCTAACATAACATATCATATAACTCAACACGATGTGATGCTAGGTGAGGTAATGCGAGGTACTGCAACGTAAAGTAGGATAACATCACTTAACGTAACATAGGGTAACATGGCGTAACAGCGTGGTGTCATAACTTGGCGTAATATAACTTGGCGTAACATAACGTGACATAACATAATACAGGGTTGAATGACGTAACGTAACAGATGACTGACAGCTTCAACAAATTAAGCAAGTCAATTAACAAAATAGCGGGGGTTTTTGTTGTTGTTGTTGTTGTGTTTGTGGGCTCAAACCAAGAACTTATCTGTACTAAAGCTATCAGATTAACATGAGGACTACTTTAATTTGTTTTTAACATTTTTTAAGGAGTTTTTTGTGGTAAACTTAAAAAATATTTGAACAGGTCATTTGCCATTTTAGTGTCTTTCAGCGGTTGGTTTTGGTTGAGTACAGGTTGGCTTCTTTTTCCAATTTCAGGCAGGTGCTTTAAGTGAATGAGCCCTGAAAAAAACAGTAAGCTAGTAAAATCTATGAGCCAATGTTGGCAACTTTTGAGAACTTAAGAGTCACTGTGGGTGTTTAGCTGCTGATTTTTTTAGAAACTGAAGCTGTTTTAGAGCCAAAGATGGAAGCAAAATTGGACTTACATTCAGGTAGTTGTGCAGTTACTGTGATAAATAGCATATCTGTTTTCAAAATGGTGGGCCACTGTATCATCCTGATGTTTTGGCCACTTTGAAGCTGCAAAAATTACTTGTAAAGGCCAGTTTACAAACTTTATCCAAAGACTATAAGGCTACTAGTGTTTGATTTATCTAACTTTTATTTGAGCAGCAGGAAGGACCGCAAAGCCAGAACGTTGTTTGAAATTTGGTGCCCTGTTTTTTTTAATTTGTACCTGCTGGTTGTTAGTCGGGCAGTATGAACCATCAATCAGCATCACCATCCGTCCCTCACCTGTTCAGGTTTATTTATCCTCCAGTAATTAGCAAGTTTGCTGATCTCACATATTTCATTATGCTGGATTTCTGTAAGATGGCATTTCTTCAACCGCAGCAACTCAGTTTAAATGGCTAGCAGTCAGTTTTCACCATGCCTAACACCAAGGATCTGTCATGTCTTGGACAAAACATGAAAAGTTTGTGATGGAGCGCCGGTCTCCCAGGTCCCACTAAAGTCAAGACATACATGTATTTTCACTTCTCCATGCTAGAGAGCCACTTTCTCTGAGCTTAAATCAGATTTATCTGACCATTCTCCTCTGCAACGGACTTTTAATTTTAATTTGACTTTTTGAACAGTTTATAATCAGAACATTATGATCCATGATAATGCGGCCAGAGATGTTTTTGAGATGGATTGACACATGCTTATCATCATCTGGCGACAGCGGAAAGTCAACAACCACGGCCTTCTCATGCTTTACTCTGCAACTGTTACACATGTATGAAAGTCAGACAAGTATTTTTCTTAAAGTAAAGAGAAATGGAAAAGTAATAGTCACAAAACTTGGCAGATAAATCTGATGGTGGTGTGTCGGGTTTAAAGGACGCCTCATAAAGGTTATAAGTTATTTGCAGTTGGACTATTCCCATAAAACAAGCTGATTTTGAAGGTTTTATTTGGTGAGACATCCCCCGTTTGTCTGAAGAGCTCTCCTCCAAACCACAGCATGTGTTTGAAAGCAGGGTGGCCCAAATTCAAAGGTTCAGTTTAGCTTCTCAATCTACAGATCAAGACTCAGGAAAATTGGCCCAAAAGTCTACACTGCAATCTTGTGCTTGTGTTGAAGTGAAAACAGAGGTCATCCAATCCATCTTGAGCTCAGACAGATCAGTTACAGCTCCGGCAAAAGAAGAGACTCTGCTACAAAGTACTACGAGGGAGTTTGGTGTACTGAAAACATCTATGTAACCCTCCATTTCAACTTTCTACCCCCAAACCCTGAGGAGGATTTTCTGCCTTTGTTAACCTGGATGACATCTAACAAACCTCTCCCTGGTGTCGAATAACGCTGAGGAAACACAGGCTGTGTGATGATCAAATGAGCCAAAAAAAAGAGTTTTGAAAGGGAACAAAAGCCTGATGGAGGTCATACGACACCGGGCGCAGCTCATGCGTTACATGGCAGGTGTACAAGCGCTAACGCACTCCCACCGCCGCCGTGGCTGCCAGGCTGAGCTGATTGACACGAATGTTTCCCAGACCACAACAATGCCAGCAGGGTCCTTGTCATTCCTCGTGCTCTCAAAGGGGCCGTCTGGTGGGCCATAAAGCACCATCAGGCTCCGAGCCCCGCAGTCATTCAATTAAGAATTTACTGGGCTATTGATTCCACCACAAGCAAAGTGTCTCACGTCTTGGAAACAATACAGAGCCTTTTACCAGCCTTTTAGCTAAAGGGGTGAGTCTGTCTTCAGAGTGTAGAGAGGCATGAAAAGACTTGAGCGTGATGGATACACTTAACACGAGCTCACTCCCACCTCAGTAATTCACTTCTTTCTAATGGTACCTTTTAGTTGAATATAATCGTAGAGTAAGCTGTAGTTATTAAAGAGGATCTATCAGGAAAATACCTGATAAAGAGCCGTACCTAATCCTGTCTACGGAAGAATTTCTGTCAAATTGACCACGAGAGTTCAAACTGAAGGGTTTTTCCAAAAAATGTCTTAGAAAATGAAAACAGTGTGATAGCTCCACAAAATAAAAAAAAGTTTAGGAAGGGTGTTAGAGTTGGAAATTTATAAAATGAAGCTATTTGTAGTAGAAATACTCTAATCAGCAAGACTCATATAGTTAATTTGACAATGTTAATTAAACCACAGTCACCCCAAAGTTTAGCTTAATTTTGCCCAGCAGTGTAGTGGTTAGGCTAAGAAAGTAGGAATCATACTTGGATGTATTCAACAGAAACTTAACCCCAGGAGTCATGGAGGGCAAATTGAAGTGTGTATGTTCATTGACTTAAAACCAAAAGTTCATCCAAGACTGATCCCAGTCTAATTAGATGGAAAATGTACAAAGTCTGGGACAAGTGTTTTCATTTTTTTTACTTGTAATCACTGTTGACAAACAGTTTATCTGCATGTAAATATAGATTTTGAGGTAAAGAACTTAATTTTTTAAGATTCAAGAATTCTGATTTCAATATTTTGTCCACTAAGTTACAAAGAATTTCTCCAGCTTTGCTTGTCTTAAGGTTCAGCTAGCTCTGATTATTGGAGAGAAGCTGCTGCATTCACCAAAATACCACCTCAGAAGTCCTCCACTCTAGTCCTTCAGCTTCTTATCATGATCCATAAAGACATATCTGCAGACGACATAAATACAGTCATTCAAACTCATTCACAGTGGCCGAGCTTTTGAGTTCCCACAAATTACTTAACTGTAATAAACCGCCCTGTAGAAACCGGGTGCTGGGTTTGAGACCCTGCAGAGGCCTTTCCAAGCATGAGGGAAATATTTGGGCGTCCTCAATCCAGATTAGCAACCATGCTTTTGAACTACCATGAACCCCTGGACAGAACATAATCCTCATAAGGAGAGAGCTCCCAGGGTAGCCCTTGGTAGAGCTGCTAGGGTAGCCCACAGATCCACACTGCCTTAAAGGTACAGAAGAAACTAAATGTAAACATTCTTTGCCATATGCATACTGCCATATTCAAAGGGTATCCAACTTTATTTGTGGAAAATGTGTACAGTGGCTGTTGTCACCATCATGTCACTCGGCAGGTTAGCTCTGGTCATTGAGTTATTCCATTCTCCAAGTCCAATTGTATGAGGAGATCAGTGTTATTTAGATCTTTAGAATCAATTGCCTAGGAGCATCTGTAATTGTATTTATTATTAATTAATTGTTGAAATGTAATTGTATCGTGACTTAAAATTTTTGGACCCCAGGAAGACTCGCAACCACTTTGTAGAAGTTTTCTCGCTGTTTTCTGTCTGTGCATGTTCAATATCTTGATGTTCAGTCATCTTTTCCACTTGCAGAAAGAGTTTTTGGTAGAAGAACTCAGAGAACTGATCCTGATGCCACGCTCAGACAGCAGGGCCAGAATAACCTGCATGAACCCGGGATAGACAGGAGGGTCAAGTTATTATGGGCTCACCAACAACAACTGAAGGGATGGTGGATTACGGTATCCATCTTCAGCCTCTACAACAGTGGTTCTAGCAAACATCGTGTTGCACCTTAGTGTAGTCTTTCACAGTCGGATATAAGGTCATTCCAAATCATGTGAAAAAAGGAGGATTGGACATTTTTGTATATTTAAGTCTTATTTTTGTCTGATTTTAAACCGTGTCTTGACAGTTTTAGTCATTTGATACCAGTTGTTGAACAAAGCCGCCCACACACCGCCTGTTTCTCACCCGGGAAGTAGACAGTGATTCATTAACATCTGTCAGTCTGGTGTGATTTATGTTTTATTTCCTGATCATTACAGTGTGCAGACAGATGATGAAAATCTTTGTGGACCTTGGGCGAACTGAAGCACCACTAAATAAAGTAAACTCGGACAGAGTTGTGTTTCCCGGTAAAGCATTGATTGTTCCGGAGCACAAAGGAGCTCTCCGGTTAGTTTCCATGCAACAGTTGGTCCAGGCTCGCTATGTGCTCGTACTTCTCTTCTGTCCACTGTGAGGACCGCTGAGACAGACAGTTCTTCCCTCCCGTCAGCTCCATTCTTAAATTGATTTCTACATGTGGCCTTGGACGTTTCAAATTTCCTCCTGAAAACCTCACTAGAGCAGCGGGAAAGAAACTGGGGAGAATCAATTCAAATTAATTTCAGAGATGAGGCGTTTCTGTCTATTACTTTAAGCAACTCTCTTTTTCAAAAGATCCATTGCCTGAGAGTCAGTTGAGGGGGGGGGAAGAAAAGGAGTGAAAACATGATTACTTTCTTCAAGCCAAGAGGGGATGAAATAATTCACTGTCTGAGCTCGGAGGGAGTCGCAGGAGCAGCTTAATGAAATGAAAACCTGCGTCTTCTGCTGCATGATCAGGCCGCGGAGATGAGGAGTCTGTTCAGGCTAACACACAAACAATGACTCGTGCACACGCATAAATTACACACTGACAAACATTATTGTACTGTACATACACTGAGGGGAAAGTGGAAGTGTTGCCTTTGTTTAAAAACCCAGAGCCCCTCAGGAATGAACTTATTACTTGCTGTAGGTGTTCTTTAAGGTTGCCTTGTTCTCGCTGGGTTGCTGCTGACAGTTTAAATTACAGTTGTATTTTTAGCTGCTGCGCTTTATTTGCCCACTGTGCCTCTTTTTTAACTTGAAGCACTGAAAAGATTCCTCTGGAAAACTGCTCGTAGGAACTACTTTTCTCTCAGAGACTACAAATCTCTTTCAAGTGCAGACTTCTTTTTGCAAGAACCGGGAAAAGTTTGGATCCTTGCCGGAGTTTGGGGGAAAAGTGTGCGCTGAAAGAAAAAGTGGGGGAAATGTGTCTTTAACTCTCAACTAAAGATTAGCAGGATGAGTTTTACGTTATGCAGCAAAAAAAAAAAGGAAGTTGGAAGAAATAATACATCAGCCATCCCACATCCTGATGTGAATGGAGCGTCGCAACAATCTCCCCATAATGGCTGCTGTTTTCTTCACTTTTGGAGCCAGCCCCAAGTGGATAGTCAAGGAACTGCAGTTTTTTTGCACATGTGTGCTTTGGCTTCACTTTTCAGCTCTAGAGGTCGGCGCTTCATATTAACCTGTTTCCTTTCAAACTCAGGGAGCTTATTCTGTCCTCAGTGTGTGTGTCTACACAAATTGACAGATAGTGAACAAGCTCCAAGAGAAACTCAGAGTCGGGAGAAAAGTTAAAGGTCCTTTACTGAGATCTTTTTTGTAAAACTGAAATGATATAAAGACATAACCACTAATCACTGCATTGTCATCAAGATAATGACAAATGACAACGCAAACAGCCACAATTGTCTACTTAGCATTAACACAATTTACATGTAAATAAAGTAAACATTAGTCCAACAATCCAAAAATATACTCTGGGAATCTGTGTAAGAACAGAATCAACTATAAATGTAAACAACACTCACAAGAGATAATTTCCTCGGCAAAAACAGCAGGAGGAAACAAGACAACAGCTGGAGCTGCAAGCAGACCACATGGCATGTAGAAGCTTTCCTGATCAGACTGTCATGTGACACTGTCATGTGATTAAAACTACCTTTCAAAATAAAAGCGTTAAATAAACACAAAAACAAATACAGGCAAAGCTCACATAGAACATGACAGAGCTTAACATCGATGGTAGTTGACAAAGTCGTACGCAGATGACACTGCGATCATCGCTCTTCAATAACAAATGGTTGTAACAGTCGAGAGTTTATGCTACTAGATACATCCAGTTTTGACCAACACTTGAAGGACATCCATCCTCTATTTTCTCCTTCTGCTCTACTGTTCCCTTTTCTTCCACGTTCTCGCTGTCAAGAGCCGGACCAAACTCACACAAATAACCAACACTACCGCCAAGGTCTACCCACTCCCAGCCTCTCAGGGCTAAACAGCAAGGCCATAACATGAAGTGCAAACAGCGCTATACAGGGACCCCACTCACCCTCTTAACTGCCACTTCACTGTCATTGGCTCAGGGACGAGGTCCAGAGTCCCAATGTGCAAGAGGGTCTGTCACAAACAAAGGCTGATACCCTGTCATGTGCACAGGTTCTATATAACTTTACAAGTAACTTTTCCTCAGATGTTATCGTATTTGCTGCTGCTCTCCCTGCCTTAACTTTGCCTCTATGCATACGAAATTGCAGAACCATAAGATCTGCAGAAAAGTGAGCTCTCAGAACTTAGCCATACCCAACAATGTCCTGATTTACCTGCAGTAGAAGAGCTTCACCTTTACCAAACTAAGAGACTGGATACTCAAGAAGGCTGTTTCTCCCTCTGAAATACCACCAAATATGCTGATGTGCAACCACCGCGCTTACCACTCTCTGGATTACAATTCAGAGAAGGCACCTCAAATATATTCATAAACTACGAGCTGCAATTACCTCAAAATCAACCAGCCCTTTATTGATTTTTTTTTTTAACAATCCGTCTCTGAGGCCCAGGCGAAAAATAAACAGCTCATCGACCTTCATCCAAGGCCAGAATAAGCATCACATTGCATAAAGAAAACAGTGTGACCTTGGTCCTGGCAGACAGTCATTATGTTTTATTGGCCCAAAAAAGGAGCCCAATACTCACCGATGTACTCAGAGCGAATAAAACGGAGCACAGCCAGAAATGAATTATGGTCTCTGGAGTCTGTGAGCTCCAGTCAACTTTTTCTCTCCTTTAGCAATAGAGGGGATGAGCTGCTATAAATCTGAGCCGCAGATCCATTAAGTTTCTGTACTCTGCAGCAGCACACAGTATCAGACTATCCTCCCTTTACTCGCCCCATCTATTGAGTTTAAGTCCAGCCCTGACATTAAAAACCTGTAATACCAAATCATACTTTGAATTTAAACATTTGTTTGCATCTTAAATATGTGCTGTTAATGCCAGTGTTGGAAAAGAGAAGCCCTTATTAGCACTGGAGAAAATCAGCTTTATTTCTGAAACAATGTAAGGGTGAAAAGTTAAACACATGACCAAATATGGTGGCTGATCAAGAATATTTTTTAACTTGGACTAAAAAAGAGAGATGTTTGCTGAGCTTGTGGACCAATTTGACCCAGTGTGACTTTGCAAAGGTACTTAAAACCCTTTTAGACTAAGGCGGCCCAACCTAAGCAATGGTGGCATGAAATATGTAAGTCCACACTCAAATAAACAGAGTTTATTATGGCAGCTGTATTATTGAATTGGCTCGATAGTTAATTCTAATGTTAGTCGTGTCTCTTTCAAGGCAAATAACTAAATTCGATGACGTTTACACCACAGACTGTATATAGAATGGACGGCGTCTGCCTCCTTGCTGGGTGAAGCCACTCTGAGAACAGCACCCTCTGTTGACGGGCTGCAGTATAGGTTATAAATCCCGCCTCCTCCAGCAATCCCTATGGAGCTGTGGACAAACTTTAAAAATTTATAACAGAATATACATTTTTCTCCACCCTGCTTGCAATGTTGACATGTAGTTATTTTTTTTAAGTTATTAGGGGGTTCATGTTTGCTATGATTGACACTTGATAACGGCCTATGGGCGTACAAAGTTTGCGTTACTCACCTGGGGGATACACTGTTTGAGCCGAGCGTCATCACAGCAACTCTCCCGCCAAGTGTGTACAATGCTACTGCACAAGTGGTGGTTCCAGGAAGTGGAGAAAATCCCAGAAATACCTTGAGCGATTCAGCTTCAAATTCGTATAATGACGGAAGGCGGAGCCAAGTTGTCCATCATATACACAGTCTATGGTTTACACGTTGTTTGGGGATCTGTCCTCTAAAAAGAACGAAACACAACACTTAAAAAAAATGAGAAATGAACTCGACTGTTGGCATTTTGATCAAACATTAAACTAAACAAGGAATCCAACCTTGAAACTAAACTGAATTGTCATAAAAATAAAAATTAATGGAAGTTTTAGAACTATGTAACACTTTACAATCACTATAGTTTATAAACGGTAAATAGATAGTTTATTAATGTTTAATCATCATTTAAAAACAGCATTCAGACCAACTATAAATGGCAAATCGATCGTTTATTAATGTAAGTTAATGATATTTATCTTTACCATTAACAAGCAATGACATTATGATTAATAATTTTCATTAATTAATAATGGACTATTTATTAAAGGTTTATAGAGGGTTTAAATATTGGTTGTAAAACATCTAGACTAAAATGTGTGTCAGTAGCACTTTGTAAATGATTAATATTTGGTTTATAAACTATCTATAAACATTACTTAGATGGTTATTGTCAAGTTAAGGTTAGGTTTTAAAATTGTAAAATTTTCAATTTATGGTCTATATGGTATTTATAAATGATGATTAAACATTATTAAACTACTTGCTTACCATTACCATAAATGGTCTATTTACCATTTATAAGTTATTGTTATTGTAAAGTGTTTCCTAGAACTTTAATGCTATTACCTTGGTTGAGAGGAACTTTTTTTATGAAGTACTCTGTATGCTTCAGTTTCCTCTGCCTTTGTTTTGACCCGGTGCTTTTATTTTGAAGGGGCATCCTGAACAGTTATCAAGTGATTGAAGAAACCTGCAGAGCTCTTAGTGAACTCTCTTATCCTTCCTCCTTTAAGAATAAAATGGTGTAATGACGGGACACTTGATGAACAATCTCAGGATTACTTTCGATAATAGAGTATAATTTGAAAATTAGGAATCATTAAGTCTGGGGTTGTAGATGAAGGCTGACAAAAACATCTGTTATTGTTGCAGTGCCTTAAATTGGGTAAATGCTGGGCTATAGTTAAAAGTTTTGGCAAACTTTCACTCTCCACTTTTACTCTCCGCTGAATGAAATGAATCTGTTTTACAGAAAAGGCCGTGACCTCTGCTGATACATTTGTACCACACAGCTCTCAGCGTCAAAAGAACTTTGTTAGCAGAGTTCAGCAGGTGAGAGTTAATAAAGTAGTGTTTGTTAAAAAAAATATAAAAAATAGCCTCTTAACAAAAAAAAGCAATCTGTTCCTTCTTGGCTCATGGCCGATTTTTCCATTAAATTTAGAAAAAGAAAAACATATTACACCTCTTTTCCCTGAGATCCTCTCTGTAACCAAAGCTGGTTTCTGCTCCTTTTCATGTCCAGGCTTGATGTGAAAGCTGCTACTAGAGGATTGTATTAGTGTGTCTGTGTGTGTTTTCCTTTGTCCACAACCTGTGAATACAAGCGTGGGTGTGTGTGGGTGAGTGTTTGCATCAGCGCAGATTGCTTATGAAATCCGACCTCTGGAAAAGTTTCCTGTCCGCGTCCTCCTCCTTGAACTCCAATCCATTAACTTCAGGTATCATATTCACGCCAACAGGTGTAGTGTGTGAAATGATACGGGCCTGTGGCAGCCTGCCACAGACGCCGGGGATGAAAGGGAGGCTGGAGATCAAGTGCTCCGCTCGTACACACATACACCCCACATAGCTAACACATTTCACAGGGGCCCCATGCCGCAGATATCACCCGCATCATCTGCAGCTGTGAGGGAAGTGAAGGCGTCACGCGACGACAGCCATATGACGGAGGTTCAGAGCCTTCCTCCGCTCCCTGACTTTGAGGAGATGTGACTCAAGTTGTGAAAAACATGTTTTATTGTAATGTACAGTTGGCTGTGTGATTGGCTGGGGAGGCTTTTATCTGCGCCTTCCTCAAACATCATTTTTCCTCCGCATCCCGGAGCAGCCGATCGATAGAGCGAGAGTCATGAAGACAAAGAAGACAAAGTCAGAAGAAAAAGCTCTCATATCTGTTTCTATAATATATCTTTGCCGGCTCTTTATCTGGCAGTGCTGGAGTAAAATACTTTAGATTCATCCAGGACGGCTGAGCTGATGCAACCACAAAAAAAGAAAACACAGCTGCAACCTCACAACCTCCTACAGATCATTGTGAATGAAGATGTGGGTGAAAATGTCTTTTTAGTTTAAGTCACATTTAACTCATTTTTGCCTTGAACAGTTTTAGTGTGTTTAACGTCGATAAAACTTAAAAGATTTTCGTCACTTCTTCTTTCTCTTGTTAAACTTTTTCAATTAGCTATCGGTCAAGGATGTCCCAAGTGCGTTAATCTGCAGTTTCTGTCTCATCACTTAAAAATGCATCATTTCTTGGGTCTTGAGAAATTAAGCCAATGCAACTGCATTTCCCTGGGTGTCCACAAGAGGCAGGCTGCAGAAGAACTGGAAACCAAAAGGAAAAAAAGTGATTTCTTTTTAACGTCTTTGTTTTGAAGTTATTAAAGTCACAAATTTGGCAAATCAGAGCCTCGCTCACTTGACTGTTGGGCGGGTCCACTGAAAACCCATGCGCGAGCAAAAACTAACTAATGGGTTGACTGATAGATCTGACGATGCCAGTCCTCTACTCAGAACAACTGCAATAAAAGTCTCTTTCATACTGCCAGTTCAAAGCAGGGTACTTAAAGCTCTCATGAGGTACTTTTGTGTCTACTCTGGCGCCCCCTGTGGACAAAGCAGTCTTTGCTAATCTTGCTCTCTAATCTGTCAGATTTTAGCAGCCAAATGTGTCTTTTTTTGCTGATACTTGGTGTAAAAAATGTGAAAACATGAAGGCTGTTTCTGCTGCTCGCCTGACACCTGCCCACCTCCAACAAGAAAAAAACTACAACATAAAAATCACCGGTCTAGTTGCTCGTGGCCTTGTTTGCTTTTGGACGTGATAAATAGGCATCAAAAACTCCTAACTAGAGCTTTAATAGTAAACTTTAGTAATAAATATAGTGTTTTATCAATAAGTGAAAATGTATGCCATGTTTGGTATTCGTAAATGACACTATTCGACAATAAATGCTGGCTAAAAGTTTCAACGACAAAAATACAGATTTTTGCTGTTGGAAACACAAACAAACTTTGGTTTACCTCCAAGGACTCAATTATTTAGAAGCACAACAAGTAAAAATACTAAAAGATGGTTTCAAAATAAAAAAAATGGGTTTCTTTCTGAGCCTAAAGTTCAGTTAGTTTTACCTTTTCAGAAAAGTCTCAGTTCAGTTTCAAGGTCTCGACTTTTGTTTCTTTTAATCTTTCCTTCTCGGAATTTTTTATCCAATCAGTGTTCACATTTAAATAAAGGTCTTATGGTTTTTAAAGGATTTTTAGTTTTCTCTAAAGCAACATTAACTGCTTTAAATTGGTTATCTTCACCTTCTTATACTTTTGAACCACGCTTTCACAGAGGTAAACCAGGTGATCATAAAGCGCTGCTCTTCATTAATTTCTATGTGTAATAAACTCAGCAGCTCTGAAAAGAGTAGGTCAAAGTAAAACTCTATTTATCTTAAACTCAAATGTCAGAGTCAAAACTCGCAGCACATTGAAGTAATGAGTGTGTAAGCAGAGATTTATCGTAGTGGGGTTTATTCAAATGAGCTCAGCGCGGTAAATGTCAACATAAACAACATGAGATTGATTGTTAGGAAGATAAATATCAAGTTAAGATAATTAATGTGTCTGCGTATCGTAAATTTGAGGTGTTGAATCACATGTAAACCTACATTTCTGCTGAATTTTTGCTTGTTCTGTCAGAAGAATCAGCATCATGGTGGAATAACAGCGAACATGCTGCTGATCCACTCAGAAAGTATTTATTTGCTCACGCTGAGCTTTAATCCCTCGTGTGTTGTGTTCACGCTCTCTGTTTGATGAGGCCGACACCTCGATCTCCTTGTTGCAGCGATGGGTGGGAGTGGTGGGGCGGGGCACCCACATACATACACCCCCCCCTTCCTCTCCGCTCAAACACAGACGAGCCGTTTGATCTCGCTCTACGCCACTTTCAAAAGAGATCTACGCCTCATCCGCAGTCATCAGCCCCCCTCCCCTCCAACACACCTCCTCCCTCTTCCCCACCCACTCCCCCGCCCCTCCTGTATCTCCCTTTGAAATCATATTACCTGTGTCCTCTCTTCAAACCGAGCTGTGTATGGGAGTAGATGAGAGAGAATAGGAGATGCAGAGGGGGAGTGAACTGAGGAAACAGCTTCGGTTAGAGCTCAGTGTCGGCTGTCTGCAGGAATCCTGGTCAGACAGGAGGATCCGTTTCTCTTCCTGCTGTATGAAAAGTCTCCAGAGGACTTTTAGGTGTCTCCTGTAGTAGCTAGAACATCAGTCAGTCTACCAGGAAGCACGGCAGATAAAGACAGTGATATTCAGACTGTTTTTGACGACTACTTCTGACTTTTTTAATAAGAAAACGTAAACTTTTGGAGCAGCTGAGCAGGCTTGTCATTAGTTTCCTCCCTTTTCTGTTGTTTGTACCATTTCAAGCAGTATAAAGATGTCAGAATAATATTTTTATATTTCTAAAAACTTAATATTGTATGAAAATTTGATAAAAATCTACAAGATTAGACTTCAGGAGGCTTTGCAGAGACAGTTTACGAAGTTTCAACCAACTGCAGGCAAGAAGAGAGTAAATCACGGGGCCCATGCTATCAGCTATCAGCTTAGCAGAAATGATGTAATGAGCAGCTAAAATGAGCTGCCAGTGGTGGAAACAGGCCCTAAGAAATGAAGAAGACTTTAAAGTTCATAATTGCCTGTTTATAGTAGATTATGCAATGCAACACAGTATGATATAATAAAATAAAATACTACACAATTCAATAAGATGTGATACAATATGTGAGGGTGCAATATGTTATTCTATATGATGCAATAAGTATGATACGATGGGATACAATAAAATGAGATACAGGGGATATGATAGGATGCAAAAAAAGATGCTTCTTTAACGGAATCCTGCCTACCCCACCTTTAAGTGTGACATGCAAAACAGTATACTGCAAAGCAATACAATAGGATGGGATATGAAAGTACACTATAGGATATGGTGCAAAATGATTCGATAAGAGAAGATATGACGTGATACAATGTGATACAACTAAGATATATTCAGTTCAGATACAGTAAACTTCACTTTCCCATGCAGAAATATGACTTTTACTCAAGGGCTGCACACGCTCAACTGTTTAACAATAAAATAGATAAAACAATATTTAAAACCCACAACAACAATCATGCAAACAGAGAACAGATGCCAAGGAGACAAGCGACAAACAACACTAGCTGCATATGAAAAAAGTAAGGAGCATCGGTTTGGTCTGTCTTCATTTTCCTGTAAAGCTCTAGTGAGGAGTTTTCAGCTGATTATAAGGGACTGAAATCTACACTGATGTTGCTTTATGAGCTACAAGAGCAAACAAGACTGTATTGTATACAAGATGCTTTTTTCCCCACTCTTATGTATTTATTTTTAATGCCTGAAAACGCCGCCAAGGAGAGGGGGAGGTGTCCGATCAAGTGCTGCCAACACATTTCGCCTTTTTCCGACATTTTCCATAGACGCGACTCCTGATGAGTGAAACATATGGCGATTTATAACAATATACAGCCTTTTTGTTCAAACTGTTTGGCTCTATTATAATAAGGAAGACATGCATAAGGTATATAGATGTTTAGGGGGGACAGTCAGTTTTAAAAGGAGCGGTTATGTAGAGGAGCTTAACTAGAACTTATGTTGAATATCCAAAAGTGCAGACCCCAGACAATGAGCTCTTTGAGACCATCTTTTCTCACTAATGGAGGAACGTCAGTCCGGGACATGAGCACAACGCTCCGGCTCCCCTTCTTACCTTGAGTGGCCGGCTCTTGTGGCCATATGTTTGAGTAAGTGCCTGTCTTGTACAACAACCCAGCCGGCCTTGTCAAGTGGGCCCTGGGATCCATGTTTGCAGTCACTCCAATTCTTAAATCCTACCTTTCAATATTTGAAGAGGCAGAACTCTAGAACGAGGAGGGGACAGGCTGCACAGCACATGCAAGAATAGGAGCGCATTTATAATGAATGCGTCTCAGCTCCCCCCTCTTGATTTATTTCAAGACCAGTGAGCTTACGAAGGAGAGTGAAATTAACTTGTTTTACACTCCTAACATGTGCCAGGGACTGGGATTGTTTCTCCTGACTTTGTTTTACATGATTGTAATGTTTATTTGAACAGAAACAGCAAATCTTCTCTGTCAGGTATCAGTTTAAGAAGTCAAGAGCATCCCGGGTAAAAAATAAGTCTTTTATTTTGGGGCTTAAACTCATTTCCCCTCTCTCTGGCTCGTGTACGTCGACTTGAGTTAGTCATTTCTGACATTTCCAAAGCTGTGTTTTTGAAAAGTGTCAGACAACATCCTGTATGCAACTGCGGGTAACACAGGAGCGACTGTCAGGAATAAAATGGGAGTCTTGTAGTGCACCCATGTCTTGTAGCATCACGGTCTGCTGAACCTGCTGTTGTTGGAGAAATTGCTCTCTGTCTAACACTGTCTCTGTATGAAGCTGCAGATAGATGAAAATGTTGACTTGCCTCCACATGTCACTTTACTCCGATTATTTTTATGCACTACAACATCTGGATACTCTTCTTTTCAGGCTAACAGCTAGTATTTGAATCTGCACATTTATTAGATCAAATTTAATAAAAACATTTTCTACAAAAACACAGATTAAATGTTTTCAAACTATCAAAAAATCTGAAATAATTTAATGAATCCTGTTGTTTCTGAAAAGCAAAAACTAAGCTTCGTGCACGGCCATAAAACCAAATAAAGAGACAGAAAAGGAAACAGAATCACTGATGCCTGCTCTGAAATTCTTTGCTGCTGCTCTGCCTGCATTAGCTTTTATGTCTGCACATGAAACTGATGGGAAGTGTGCTCTCCTCACCGTCAATTTGGCATTCCATGGAAGAAGATTTATCAGTGTTAAATGACTTATTACTGATGCATGCTCTTTTTTGTACTCTGGGTGTCTTCGCTGCTGCTCTACCTGCGATAGTTTGTTTTCTGTCTGCATGTGAAGCTGAGGGGAAATTTTGTCTTCCCACCTTAAACTTGAAATTTCCAAGAAATTTACCAGCACCAAATATATTATAACTGACACTCTGCTTTGTTCTGCTTCCTTTAAGTCTTTGCTGCTGCTCTGCCTGCATTAGCTTTTATGTCGGCACATAAAACCGATGGGAAGTGTGCTCTGCTTACCTTTGATTTGGCGTTCCTTGGAAGAGGATTTATTAGTGTTGAATGAATTATTACTGATCCATGCTCTTTTCTGTACTCTGGGTGTCTTTGCTGCTGCTCTACCTGCCATAGCTTGTTTTCTGTCTGCATGTGAAACTGAGGACAAATGATTTCTCCCATCCTTAAACTTGGAATTTACCAGAAATTCACCAGCATCACATATACAATCACTGATACTCTGCTTTGTTCTGCTTCCTTTAAGTCTTTGCTGCTGCTCTACCCACCCCTGCTTTTTGTACTTTGCCCACTTTAGGCATTTCCATTATTTTATGGAGGGTTTAACAAATATATCATGACTGATTTGGTCTCTACTCTTAGAGTCATTGCTGCTGCTTCTCTGCCTGCATTAGCTTTTTATTTATGCACATGAAACTTAAGGAAGGTGTGCTCTGCCCGCCTCAGGCATGTGGAACCTCTCAGAACAGAGCCAAACTACCAAATATAACTTTTTGCATAGAAATTATTACATTTTTAGGGTTATAGTTCACTTAACTGAGCAGTTTTATCACTGTTTTTGACTGATTAGCATTAGCCAAGCTTGTATTTGTTGGCTAATTAAAAAAGGAAGAACAGAAAAACTGAAGTAAATTGTAAACAAACTTTTTCTTATTGTGTCTATATATTCCATTCAATAACCCCTTTTTTTCACTGTTTCAAGTCATTTTGGTGTTTGGAGGAATTTCACGTCCAAAAGCCTTTGAATATAAAATGCTCTCCAGGAGGCCTTCACTGAAAACCTAATAGATGTTTCTTATTCATTATAAATAAGCTGACTGTGGAGCTCTGACCAACCATACTGGGAAACCTAAATCGCCATATCTTGAACCTTATGTCGTAAACTTGTCCCAAAGTTTAGCGGATGGACTTCTCTTGTTAAAAAACAAAAATATGATTTGGAAGATTAGATATAATCAGTCAAACAGCTGCAGACAGAGAGCAGGCTGGTGGGTTTAAGATTCCCGACTACGCTTCAACTAAACTCTGAGTCCCATCCTGTTCGCTCTCTGGTGGGCGGACCAACCGCACGCTGAAAAACTAATAATCATTTTTTCATCGCTTTGTTTTGCGATGGGAATTGGAAGCAAACATATTCACCAGAGAAGGCGTATTTGAGAAGCATTTTCAAACCTTCAGAGCCGTGTTTTATTTGCTTAGTGGATACTCTAATCTGTCATTTCAACACCGACAGCTTTACACGTTCTGCGCTGCCGGATGGATTTGTTTTTATGGCTGAATGTTTATTAGAGCAGCTGAAGCAAATGACTTCTCTTGAGGAAAACACTACTGCATGCTTGATTCCCGGCTCCTACAATTACACAGCTTCATAAAAGCACAACACTTTTTTTTGTTGACTACACTTTGAGGTGACTATTTGGAAGTTTACTCCTCTGTGTCCAAGACTTGTAAGAAAATCTAGATCCAAAAAGGAGAGGAGTGTGTAAATCTGTTTCCAGACATCCGTGTGAATTTGTGCCAAGCTTAAACGAGAGAGAGGAGGGGAAAAAAAACGCAGAACGCTGAAGAAAAGCGAGACATAGACAGACGTACATAAACAAAGCCGGCAGAGAAAAGCGAGGTGGAAGCCTGCTGAGTGTTGGACTGTGGATTTGTCTCCTCGGCTGCTGGCTAAGTCTGTCATCTGTTCAACGGTTGAATCAACATCTGGTGAAAGTCTACATAAACACGATAGAGAGGGAGACGCTTATACACTCGACTGGGTGTCACAAATGTAATACTCCTGTAGAGAGAGGCAGATACAGCTTTTTCAGCACACCTTAAGTCAATTCTGGAGGAAGTAATGCATCAGAAAGCCGCACTAACAACATTACCGCTCCCTCTAATTGAATAAAACAGGATATCAGAGTCTAATTTTAGTCATCACATCACATTTCCTGATCCTATCAACAGGTCATGACTCGTGGTGCACGCAGAGGAAAATAAATAATTCAGAAACGTCATACCTGTTAGAGTCTGATCTACTTAGTCTGTTTCTGCGTTTCAACAAGAAGAGCGAGCGCAGAGGTGGGTGAAAGGATGCGTGCAGGAAAGATGAGCTGAAGCAGAGAGGAAGGAGAGATCAGACGTGATGGAGGAAGACGCTCCTGAGAGCCGGAGGAGCAGATTCGGTTTTTGTTATCGTCATCTGGGGAGGTTGAAGTTTTCACCCAACCGTAGATTCATGTCTGTTCAGAGCGTCTTTGATAGTAGATGTGATTTACTGAGACAGTCCGACCAGGTTTGGGGTAATCACTACGTTTACATGACACTCGAGAAAAAACAAATTATTGCTTTACTCCGATTAAGACCGAACAACTGAAGTGCATGTAAACACCTTAGTCCAGAGCCGACCCAAGCCTTAATGGGGCCCTAAGCAAAATTTGATTTTGGGGCCCTTGGTAAACATTCCATGACATGCAAACAGACCTTTATCGTGGCGTTTTTTCTCTTCTTTCTCTTTCTTTTCTCTGCTCCTGAAGGATATGTCCTTTTTTGCGACACTGTTTTGCCCCACAACTCTCTGAGCCTTGGATGCTCAGTGCACACCGTACAGCAGGAGATACATAACGGTAGCAGAGCTTTGACATATCAGCAGTAAGAACCATAGGCCTACATCAGCAGCAGCACTAAAATGTTTTTATTTTATTTTTATAATAATTTATCTTTGATCATACAGAAAGCATCACTCATACATGCAAAAAATAAAAAAAATATTTAATTATTATTTTTATTTTGATTGCTCTTGAGGGTCCCCTATTGGCCGCAGGGGCCCGAAGCAGAGGCTTAGTTTGCTTATGCCTTTGCTCTGCCTTAGTCCAACTATGATCGAAGTTTGAGAACTCTGATTGGAGTCAGAGATGTAACCAGCGTAGTCGGGGTATGATCGGACAATGCATGTGCATTATGCCTCCGTAACCCCGGAACAAAAACACCAGAAAAGAAGTGGCGCTATCAATTAAAGAACTTTCCACTCAGAAGCAACTGCAACATGGCTGAAGCATGAAAGAATGTCCACTTTTTTGTAATGATGAGGAGAGCGCCGCTATGCTTTCCGTCCTGACAGAAATGGATATTTTAAAGTATAAGGACAGTCGCAAAACGAGGAACAGAGACATCTTTAAATAAGGTCCAGAAACAGCGCCGCTGAAAAGACCCATATCGCCCCTAGTTTTGGGGAGGAGGACACGTTCACGTCAGTAATTCGATTTTCTCAGCTGCATGTATACGCGAACAAGGAGAGAAGTCCGATTCAGTGGAAAAATGAATTATCCTAGTCCGATTTAGCTGTGCATGTAAGCGTACTAAGTGTTGATCACCTGGACATCCCTATGAAAGTCCGTTTGGTGCAGTTTGTTTAGTTTGCATGTCTTATGAAATCATTCTTCTAAATGGACTTCTTAATTTTGTTGCGTTTGTGTTTTAGATGCTGTTAACAAGCTAACATCAAGCAGACAGAGAGTGAAAACAGGTTGAGTTGGTTTCCTTTAAAAATCATCAGGTCAAAGCGGTTCTTGGTATGAATTACTACGAGGCTTCGGGGTTTAATCTGCGGTTTCAGACCAGAGGGGACCTTTGGTGTGAGGTCTGGGTTTAGTCAACACTGTAGGTGGTTTGTACAACCTTGGCTACAGAAGGTGATAAATGGGTTTTCACACTTTTGGCGGCAGAAACATCAGTCTGGGATAAACAGCAGACATGCAGAGGATCACTATAGAAAACACATCTATATCAGTGGAAATTTTAACACCACAGTAACCCAGATGGAGGATTTATGGGTTAAACAGAGCAGCATGTCTTCAAATATGGCGCCACAGCTCAGATGACCACGTTAAAAGCGAGAGCAGGCAGTGTTTCAGTCAGCCGTCACAGGCCATCCTCGATGCGTCAAGCTGTCGTTCTATTTCTGGGCAGCGGGATGGAGACGTCCTATATCAGCGCCTGCTCAGGCCCGCTTTATGAGAGACCTCCTCCTCATGCAGTTCAAGTCAATTGTCAACATGATTTATGGAGATGTGAGCTATCTCTAGACCGGCTCCTCAATCTTCCCCTGACGAATTGGTACCATCAGCCCGTGTAACCATCATTTGTTTTCTTCACTGGACCATTTTCATCCACGCTAACAAATTAAACCTGCCATGTTTTTGAGGAAGCTATTTTTTCCCTCCCTTCGTCTTTCTTCATGTATGACCTGTTCGACAATTACCAGAGATGTGGATCTGACACCCAGGAGTGAACTTCTCTGAACTGTTTGCCTTGTCTCTCCTCCCTCCTGCGAGGCTCGGTATGAGTAATAACCGGGTTTTTTAATGGAGGCAGAGAGTCGTAACATTTAATGGCTGGGAACTGGGTTTGATGACACATTCTGAGTGTCACATCTCCCAAAGACACGCACCACTTATTGTCCCAATCATCTCATATAGCTCACCAATACCAATACAACGTGATTAATGTGACTGACTTTTATGAGCGGGATAAAAGGCTCTGCATATTACACAGGCAATTATAATACCCTAGGAAACTCTGGAAAAACAATGGAAAGCTCATGCAATCAGCCTAAGTGGAGGTAACTTTTTAAAGTTCGACTATTTAAGTTTTTAATTGACTCCTTTCCACCAGAGCTGTAAGGAAATGAAGGTCCGGTGAGCAATCAGCCGTATCTTCGTTCAGGAAGTTTGTTGCCCTGCTCTGACCTGACCTGCCTGCAGATTAAAGGAAATTAACAGCCGATGGCAAGGTGTAGGAAAGGTTGGAGAGAAGTTAAAAAGGGCCCTTTGCACAGACTGTGATGTGTCTCTGAAGTTCTGTATAAAACAAGAAAAATACTTGACTTTTCTACACGAATATGATGGAGACCAGCTCCAAATGGGCCCCTATGACTGTGCAGCCCCTACATAACAATTCTAGCAGTATTTTGTTTCCTATTGACACCATCTCAGCTGCTCTACAGGCCGGGTTCACTGTTGGGATATAATTAAATTCCCGGACCACTAAGAAAGCGAAGAAATGAACGGATGCGACGCTCATACAGTTAACATGAACTCAGGCCTTATTTTAGGTGACATATTGACTCTTATGACAAACTGAAGCCTTTTGGTATAAAGTCACCAACATTTGTCAGCATCATAAAAATATGTATGAAATTTAATGCTACACAACAATACAATAAAAATGATACATTGAGACAGAAAAAGTTACAAAACAATTTTTACATTACAAAAATATAGAACAATATGTCACAAAACAACATGTTACAATACAAAACGATATAATACGAAACATTATGATACAAAACAATGTTAGAAAACAAAACAATATGTTCCAGAATAAAACAATACAACAAAAAACAAAATTATTCAGAACACTACAATACAAACAATGAAAGGATACAGAACAAAATTATACAAAACAAAACAAAAAATGTGTTACGATACGGAATGGTATGTAATGATAAAAATGATACAATACAGAATAAAATGATAAGGAACAATGTTACAAAACAAAATGTCACGATATAAAATACAATATAAAACAATGTGATACGAAAGATGATAGAAGACAATGTTACAAAAACTAAAAAAAAGTATGAAACAATACGATAAAAAAAAATTATTGAGAACGCTACAATACAAACAAAACGACACAAAACCATTGTTTGATAACAAAATGTTACAAACTATGATATGAAAGGATACAAAACAAAACAACACAAAACAAAAACAAATATATGTTACGATACAATGATGAAATGGTGAGTAACAATAGAAATTATACAAAGCAGAACAAAATGATGTGCCTCCATGAAAAAGGATATGATACAAAAAGATACGTTAGAAAACGATATGTCACAATCCAAATTATACACTTAAAAAAATGTTAAAAAATGAAACATTACAAACAACGCAATGCCACACAAAGAACAAAATGGTGTGCAGTGATAAAAAATGATATGAAACAAATGATGTTACAAAACAAAACTTATCGAAATAACATAAAATGATGTGCGGTTCTGGAAAATGATGCAATAAGATTAAAAAAATGTGACACACTTTAATGTTTTCGAGTCCTGCACTTGTTACACTAAATCTTATGTAGAAAAAAAACACTTAAAAAAAATGGTGATCCATCTAAACAGAAACACAATCATCATCTACTGCAACTGACATTTATATTCTGTGAGCAGAGGACAATATTCAAGAACAACAAGTTGAATTTGTAATAAACAAAACAGTAATATCACTTTTCAACTTGAACAATGGCAGCACAGATTTCTGTAAAGAGGAGAATAACCAACTGAATAACTAACATGGACCTGATTGGTTGGAATTAAAATGCTCATTATGTTAGCATTTATATAAATTATATCCAGGAGCAAACTCTCTCCAATTTAGGTGAAACAGACAGCAGTCGTCTTAAATTTTCAGTCATTGATCCGGAGAATTAAACAAACTGAAACGCTGAAAGAAAATTACTCAGGCCGGAAAAAAGCAGTGATGGTGATTCATGGAGGATGTGGACTCCAGGAGACAAGGAGCAAAGCTTTAAAGACTCTTCATCAACCTCTCTCTTTCTACACAACAACACACACACACACACACACACACACACAGAAGGGTGCACACATCCTCGCACAATCACACTCTCAAGTATCCCCACACACGGAGCCAGCTGAGAGAGAAAGATGGATGGGCCGGCGGTGGTTTCTGATTTAGTCTGCACAATGAGGCTGAGTGATTTTCCCTGTGGAGCCTGTCTCGCCTCTTTAAATCCCACGAAGAAGAAACTTGCCCCCCCCCCCCCCCCCCAAACCCAGCTCTGCTCCTCGAACCCACCTTACTCCAAAGATTGCCTCCTTGTTCCTGGTGTGATCAGGGAGATAACCACTAATGGATGACGCCCGGGGCACATTTAGGAGGGGAAATGTTGGTGAATGTTGAATCACCTTGGTAATAAACAGGAAATGCTCAGAGACATGTTAACCCGTGTGTTTTATAGTCTGGATCAGGAAAGTCTGATAAAAGAAGACAAGGTTGGGTAAACGCTGACTTTATCAGCTGTGGGAGATTTTTTTCTCCTCCCATTCATTAACGCCGAGACCTTGAAGGAAGTGAAGCTGTTTACTCCTGAAGATTTTCTATAGAGAACCCTTTAACAAGCTGGATAGATAACCACACAGCAGAGGTAAACACAGAGCCCTGAAAAACGACTCCAGTAGCAGGGTAAACACATCTGCTAACAAAGAAACCCTGTCGCAAATAAAAAGATTATATAACAACTTTTTTTAAAAATTCACATGTTCAAGATGAGTTTCACGATCTTTACTCCAACAATAACTAGCTCAACCTCACAAATTTTCGGCATTACAAAGCAGCATTTGTCGTCCAACAGTCGTAAGTAAAGGTATTTCATTGGAAGATGTTAAATCCTACCCAGCATGCTCAATTTATTATGTTTGTTCTGATGGTCGTGTTTCGAACCCTTGCCTAGGGCTGGGCAATAATACTGAGTTCACCTGGGTAACAATAAATGGACGATAACTACTCCATGAGCTGCTCACCCCCTCCCACATTAACTTCATTTACTGAATGGGGTGGATTCACGTCTCTGATGTAGGACAGAGCCTTAGAGGGACATGAGACCATAGCCTACCTACACACATCCAAAACCAACTTTCATCCATTGTTTTTTTTGACACCGATTATACTGACATGAGCAAAATGACATTGGTTACTGTCGTAAATTTCCATATCGGTAAATTTTCGGTTTATCGTACAATATGGTAGTGTGTCACATGACATTGTATCCCATATATTGCATTTTATTAAAGGGCTTCGTAATGTATCATGTCGTACTATCTTATATCACGCCGTATCGTTACCTAACTTATCACGATGTTGCATTTTACTTTACCTCATTATATCTTACAGTCGTACTTTATTCTGTTTTGGAACTTTTTTGCAACGTCCCTTAAAAGGGACATGAGACCATAACCTACCTACACATGTCCAAAACCAACTTTAACCAACCAATGTATTTTTTTTTATACCGACTATATTGACATGTGCCAAATGACGTTGGTTACTGTCATAAATTCGGTGTCGGTAAATTTTCGGGTTTATCGCCCAGCCCTACCCACGCCCGCTGAAGGATTATGCTAATGGCTGTTTTAAACTGGAAACTTTGTTAGGACTGTTTTAATCACCAGAGATGAAGATAGTTCGACAAATATTAGGTTATCTACAAGAGAGGAAAATCGTGACCAAATTCTGACTTCCCAAAAAACAGAACATGACTATGCGGGGGTGGAGTCAGGGAGTTGCACCAAGTTAATTTTGAAAGTTTTTCAGGTTGGATTGAGTGTCTTTTACGTGCTTCTAACTCAGTAAGTCCATGTGACATGAACTCGAAACTTTTGTACAAAACCGCATAAATTCAAAGGATTTTATAAACTTCCCCGGACAAACACGGACAGCCCCCAGAAAAGAGGATATGTCCGGGTAAAAGAGGTCATGTGGTCACCCTAGTCTCTAGAGCGAGTAAACACCATGAGCGTACGAAACCAAAAAAACGTCTAATTTCAGCATGTTTTAGAGTTTTTTGAGTCTCTTGGTTCACTTAAGTGGAACAATCATCTAAAACCCTCCTATAGCTGTGCATCTCATCCTCTATTATCCACATTTGTTCTTTTAGGAGCTCAGTTTCAGTTTTTCCTGCTCTCGGCTACGCTTCCAACAACACGGCAGCTCTCTCATTCGATTCTCTGTCATTTACTTAAAAAGGGAAAAGTGGCGTGTCAGCATCTTGTTGCTGTACAATGAGGGAGAAATGTTGCTGAATCTGTTAGTAATCAGAAAAATGCTTGGAAGACATGTTGGCCCACTTTTAAATTGTCTGTATGATAGAAAAACTCCTTCCTCATTGTATATTGGCTGAGGAAGGACTCGTCCTCTTCCATTAATAGATGCCAAGACCTTGGCGGAAGCTGAATTAAGTAGTGTTTTTCTCTTTCTGCACAAAACCCTTGAATGAGCAAGATAAACAAGAACCCAGCTAAGGGAAAATAATGCTTAAGAATCATAAATTCATACATGCGGCCACATACAAATGTGTACAAACACTGCAGGGCTGGCACAGCATGATCTGTGTTCTGGCGTCTGTTTGCTCGCCTCAGGGTGGGCAACCCTTATTGTCATGTCGAACAAATGTGCCGTCAAAGCTGCACTTTAAAGATGGGACGTGTCACAGGGGGCACGCAAGAAGCCCACTCCCCTAGAGGCAACATGGACGAACGGTTCGAGACAGAAGGGGAGGGAGGAAGAAGTAAACACAACAGGCGGCAGCAACAATCCTTGACATTTCACTATGAGCGCTTGTCTTAACGGCTGCTGAATGCGTCGTCTGAGGAGAGGAATGATAAATATCTCGACGGGTGAGGAGGGAAAGCTTGAGCCAGGCCTCCGCGGGGAAGAGTTATTGGGTTTGAGGTGAGGAGTCTGAGACACACGGGGAGTCCATTTGACTTTCATCCAAACAGAGACAAATCAGATGGTGGCTATGTGCTCCAGGGCGAAAAACTCCTGACTTCATAAAAACACCATCTGAGCACAGAGAGTCGCATTCGAACGGCAATAAATGCCTCATAGAGTTGGAGTTTTATTTATGTAAAAGTCCTCTAAACCTTAAAAAAGGAGGTTATTTATGTCATCACATAATGTAGCTCTAATATCAGCAGCATCACATCCTCATACTGTCATGTCGAGGCGTCCGTTCACCCTGACCGCCTCTCTGCGGGCGATGTTTCAAACCGAGCGCAGAAACAAAGTGTTTTATTTGCACAAATTCGCACCATTCGTGCTCCAAACTTACTTCGCTTGAGTTTCTCTCACCTTCAAGTAGAAAATCTGTAAAGCAGTACCACAACCCTAAAAGTTTCATCGTCACATTTTATGTCTTTCACTTGACTCAGTCAAAGAGTGAGTCTTGCTGTCTTCGCCACTTGTCATTTGACTTGTATGCAGTCCTGAAGAAGTTCCACGCTTATACTAAGAGGTTTTATGGAGGTAGATTGACTCCATGGGCTCTATTTTCGTGCTGCCGGCGAGGCGAAAGTCAGGTTCGCCACGCCAATGAGGCATGCCCAAGCACACTTTGGTATTTTGGTGAGCGGTGCAGCCCGGCGTAAGTATCCACCCTCCCTAACTCAGCTCCTCCCAGTGGCGTAAGTCGTAGGGAGGGAGAGGATACGGCGTGGAGTGGGTTTAACACAGCCGTGACCTGTTTTCACCAATCACATCAGCTCCTCTCCTCACCTTTGAATCCGGCAAGGCATATTACAATTTTCATGAAGTAGTCAAAGAGATGACTGAAAACAGCAATGCAGAATCTGGCTGTGCACCACCCTCCACCGCGCAGCCGGCGGGCATGAAAATAGAGCCCCATATCTCCATACGAGTGTCAAAATTTTTGTGCGTAACTTTGGGAGGATGAAACAATCGTACCAACACTGTCACTTCTATGTCTTAAAAAGTGGAAAGTAGAGTTTCTCGAAGCCTAATTCATGCTTCGGTCTCCTTGTAAAAAACCTTTTGTTGTTAATTTAAAAGCCTGCGTATCTTTTCCACAAAAATGATAATGCAGGTCTGTCTTAAGATCCTATTTGGACACAGTTTTGGGATCTGTTTTTGCCATCTTCTTCAGTATAAGTTCAGTTTTACAGACTTCGGTTTGTCCTGAGCCACCCTTGAATGTCTGTAAAAAGACGGGGATTGAGGAACACTTTGCTCTCTTGTGTAAGATTTCTAAAAGGTAATAAAACCTGCTTTAAGGTACCTCTTGAAGGTCTGTTTCTCTACTTTTGTATCCATTTTTAATACCCCTTTTAGCTCCTGTCTGAAGTCTTGTACTTTTTATACTCAAAAAACGACGAGGTTTGTTTGTGGGCACCCTCGGGTGTCTGTTAAAAACGTTGTAGACTCTTAAATTTCCACTGTGGGTCACTTTAACAAACCGAAACTCCCACTGTGACCAGCTTGATTCGTTTTTCTCTGCAGACTCAGACCTGAAAAAGGAGAAGAATGCAACAAAGTTAGGATAAGTCGCTGACACAAACACAAGACAAAGAAACGTCTTAAATGGCATCTGTGGGTGGGAGTCCGACAGTTACAGGAAACGGAGAATGCTCTGTGACTCTGAGACGACTCCTTAAATGAAAAGCTGGAAAAATCTGCACTATGCAAGGTCACGTCTGTAACAATGTTTGAGAAGATAGTTTTATCATAGTTTCCCCTGCAAATAAAGGACAAAGAGCCGAGTATGAGCTGGATACAAGACAGACCATCAGCACATTTTGGAAATTTCTTACTTTTGATGTCTAACACAAACTTTAGTCTGTTTTCCCAAAGTCCTTTTTTTCTTTTTTGCATATATCTCCAGTTTATCACCTGTTAGTATCGTTTTCAGACTGGTTAGACTGGTCGATTTGGTCGACACAGTTCAGTTTTAAAAGCAACTTAAAGCAGGAAACAAAACTAAATCAATGTTTTCTTGTTCCTTCACAGGAGGCTCTTCTTTGTGGATTTCCTGTAAAGTTTGAGCGGACCTTATTGGGATTTGTGCGACACCGCCGTCCACCACTGCAGGTAGGACAACCGAACTGGCTCACTTTTCTATCTGTGGCTATGAGAAAACACTTGATGGTATACGTAACTTAATGTGTCTGAATGAGAAAATATGGACAACATGATCTTGCAGGAATATCCCTGTATCGAGGGGTGCAATGCACATTTTTCTGACAGCGCATTTTTGTTTTGAGATTACAAATCCAAAAACTGCACCCAAAGAAAGACCGAAACCGTAAGAAAACGCCCGACTGTTAACCCTGGGCTTCTCTGGTTGTCGAACATTCATGCTACTGTGGTTAAAAAACTGTTTTTCTGCGTCTGTGAAAACTCGTTTCCTGTCAAAGTGAAGAAATTTCTCCACTTTGAACAGACTACTTGAAGAAATGTGCAATCAAAGCTGGAATGCAACAGGTTTTTGATGAAGCACCTCTGATAATCATGAAGACAGCTCCGGTTTGATTAGTTTTTTGGGCTGGAAAATAAAATATTCGTAACATCTGTTGCCTCTAATGAGGAACTCTCGAGAATACAAGTTGGCAGGTGGAGAGTCACAAATCTCAGCAACATGCAGGGTACCTGTTGCTTTATCAGAGAGCCATTTTGGATTGAATTGTTAAGAATAAGATTCTCTTGGTTCTGGTCTTGCTGGTAACGCCTCGTTGTGGCCTCCAGATTGCATCATATGGTCCTCCGAGTGGTTTCTCTCCAAATATTTCATTTCTAAAATCAAAGTTTGAAGACATAGGTAGTTTTCTCCTCCTGTTATCCGTACGCCTCCTTTGCTCCACTCGTTTTCAAACACGTTTCCCCGAAGGGCTTTCATGCTCCAGTGGGTGAACATGGAGCTGCTTAAATGAGCAGATAGGTCCAACACCTACAGAAGCAGGAGTGGAGTTGATGCTGAGTTCGGAGCTGGACATACAGGCAGTCCAGCCAATTATTTCCTTCCCTTCTCCTTGTTCCGTTTTTTTTCTCTTCATGTACAGCTACACTGATAAGACCTGCGTTGGAGTGAAAAGCTCCTCTCTCTTGTTAGACACATAAAAAGAACAAGTTGAAGGAGGAGTGAAAGGTGTGGATGGAAAGATTTCTGTGTGTCCTTATCAGTCTCATCCATTTGGACACATTTACCGGCTGTTTCATAAAGTGCACTGGCATCAGAGGAGGAAACAAACCCCGTGAAAATCAATGATGTTGAGATAAGCTCGGTATCAGTCCTGACATCTGCTCGGCCTCCTCTTCATCTCCGTTCTCTGCAAAGAAAAGCAGCTAAAAACATTGTGCTTTGTGCGCTCACGTCAGATCAGGGTGAAGGTTGGAGGAGTCGGAGGACGTGAGACTAGCGAAGGCTCACAAATTTTACTTTAATTTTTCAAAAAGTCTAGGATGGTAAGATTTATGATGCTGAAAGTTTAGGGATTTAAAGTTTAGGATATTTCAGATCTACATGGTTGAATTTAACAGTTAAAGTCGATATATTTTAGACACTTAGTATGCAGAGTAAATGGGACCTTCACACCAAGCGTGAGTCAAATCATTCGCATAAATGAATTACATGTTATGTCAATGCAAAGACGCAATTAGACGCTCGAACTACTCTGGCGGCACGAATGTTGTGAATTGGGTGGCATGATTTGCGCAAATTGAGAGGATACAAATTCATGAGAGTTAAAAAATACCTCAACTTGGGCGGATATTTGCATTGCGATAACCAATCAGCATGAGGATTCCTGGGTGACATATGAAAACTGACCAGAAGATGTTCGCTGGTGTGAATATGTATAAATACAAATGCAGAATCACATTTTTCTCTTTATGAAACGTATTTTTTGTGTTTTTGTTTATTTAAAACACGCCGTCCTTCTGTTGGATTTGTTTCTTTGTTTGAAGGTGATCAAAGAGAACCCCTCACTTTTACGAAATCCATAAAAAACTGCGACTCCAAACTGGCGAGGAGCGATGATTTGTGCTTCACCCTGCAGTGAAAACCAGTAAATATATAAATAAATAGTTACAAGCAAAGTCAACATAAAGTCGTGATATTAGCAGTGATGCTAATTGTGATGTGTTCAGTGCACCACTCGCTTTGTTTGCTTTATTAGCTTTATTCATGAACGTTGGTTAGCACACTATCAATATAATTTATTAACCTTCCTCCCGTGTTAGCTTTTACTACACACCCACCATGTTAAGGGTTGGTATTGACCCGTGTCTTAAATCTGCTGTAAATTACACTGAAAGCATGTCTCTATCATCCAATTTGGTTCTCATCTCCAGGTTACCTTGTTAGGCTTCATTACCCATGAGAATTTTGCTTATAATGGTTTTTGTTGTGGGCCTCTCTACTTCACTATACCCCTCATACAGACATCTATACTGAACTGATCTCACATGTCTGGACATGCTTGAAGTCGTTTTTTTGTGCAGGGAAATACAAGCAAAATGAGAATTTACTCAATCTCACATGATTGGAAGAGGATCTGACTGACAGTGCACTTATGATTTCAGTTTTTGCACTGACTATTAGATATCAATCTAACCGGGTCAACAGCAACACTAACACAACAAGTGCCATCATTTTAATAAGAGCATTTTTTAATTTAGTCTATTTAATGTTTTTATTTTTATTTGTTGAAATCGAGGTTCCTGACAAAGTGAAAAAGTCTTGATGAAATAAAGCTCATTTAAGTGGCTCTTTTAAGCTTTTAAAAACACAAACAGGTCGGTGCGGACCCTTACACAGGAGGAGGGATAAAAAAGATGGTTATCCTCGATTCCAATATGACAGTCTGGGTTCAGTTTCGCTGATGGAGTTGCAATTAATATTTTAAACAAGCTAACTTTTTTAACTAATGGGAAAAACGAGTCAGGATTATCTCTGATTTTTCTCACAGCTGATGTTTTAATTTGTCCAAGTTGAAAATAACTATTTTAATTCACTATCAGAGCAGAGTGACGGAAAAGTCACGTCTGCTCGTTAATCACGGCTGAGGATCGAGAACTGATCGCGGCGCTCTGATCCTTCGCCTTCTCTTTATCCGTCCGCCATCTCTTCAGCCTGACTCAATTCCAGACGTGCTGTGAGGAGAGTGAGACCCAATATTCTCTCCCCCTCTCTCCTCCACTTACAGAGGCTAACATGAGACATGACAGGAGGCAGGAGATGGAAGATTCAGCTCCTCGGCCGCAGAGTAAGCCTCAAATTACAGGCTAGATTAGAGCCAGCATCAGAGGCGCACATCAGGCCTCTCAGGGCTCGGAAATACCTGGTGTGAAGAGGTGCGGGTCAACATCAGAGTGCGTCCTACAGCCACGGCTGCATACGGGCCCTGTCGCCGGCAGCAGATGGTTCATGGAATTACACATAATGAGAGGAGGATCGCTCCGTACAGGCAGGAAGACCAGCTGTAGAGTTGGGGGTGAAGGATCAGAAAGCGAGGCAGCGTACTCATGTCTAATTCAGAAAGCTCTGTGAAACAGGGAGGTAAGTTTCAGGATGGGAGATGGCGTCTTTTACACTACAATGTGGAGGATGTAGTTATTATATGGCTGAGTGGAGCAGGGGGTGGATGGAGAGACTGAATGAGGTGTGAAGATGTAATCATGGTCGGACAGCAGAGGAGGATGTGAAGAGGGACACTGCAGCTGGACTGTTACAGAGTTTGGATACAGGCTGTTTGTTGTTTCGCAGCCTCTCCACTGACAGAGCTTTTTCAAAAAGTTCACAAAACACAGAGTTTTTACTTTTTAGACAACAGAGTTCTGCGGAAAGTTTCTGACGGTGCAGAGAGGGAGCTGAGCCACGGGGTTGGACTGATTTCAGACATGTAAACATAATCCAGAGCTGGACAGACGTATGAAAAAGGTTAACGTGGATGTGAAAGGAAACTGGTTAGCACTGGAGGTGGGTCAACATGCCTCATTTTGTTGTTCATTAGAGAGGTTATCATTTGGGATAATTAACTGATGCTGTTTGCTTCCATTTAAACTAAATGCAGTTTAGCGTTTTTAGTTAGGGTGACTATATGTCCTCTTTTTTGGGGGCTGTCAGGCCTGACTGACTTTGTCCGGGAAGTTTCTAAAATCCTTCAAATGTCCGGGGTTTTGTTTGGAAGTTTTGAGTTTGTGTAGCGTGGACTTACTGAGTTAGAGGTGTGTAAAAAACACTCCATCCGACCTGAAAAACTCTCAAAATAGCTATGCGCAACTCCGGGACACCACTCCCACATGGCCGTGTCCTCTTTTTGGGGATTCAGAATATAATCACCCTACCTTAGTGCAAAAATCACCCTTAGCTTTGATCATATTTTGGTCGTCTGCACTCTCAGTTGAAAATAGTTAAACTTTTAGATCCCTGTTGTACTCATTAATGTCACTTTTCAAACACTGACCAATCAGGATCAGGCAAACCCACTAGTCCAATGTTATGCCATCTTGAGCGTGCCTCCAGTTCTTCACATTTCTATGCCCTGATGAGCGACCGAAAAACACGTCCTACATCGTTCAGCCGTGCCCCTGACCAATTAGGATCAAGAAGGGGCGGGGCTACTGACAACATCTGACTATCGCTTTTTCCAAAGACATAATTTCCAGGTTGAGCTGCTCCTCATAACATGACATGTTGACTTTTTAAGGTTTTCTTAGCAAAATAAAAGCAAATATGAAGCATGTGGTACATTTAAAAACAGGCGATGATCACTAGGGGGCGTGTCTGTACAATTCTTGTAACCAATAAACAGGAAACACCGGTCAGAAACGCTCAAAAATTAAGATTGTGAGGATTGCTGCTCTATCGTGCATCCGTCATGATCCTTATTTCGCATCTTTGTCGAAATATTGCGTCAAAAATTCTCGCTGAGTTTTGATCCAATAAGGTTTCTCTCAATGTTAGGATCTCAAAAGTGGACGACCTTCTCAAATCCACGAATCTCTTGAATCTGGAACCTGAGCCGGGAATGAGAGGACTTAAAGTTACAATAAAAGCAAAAGTTCAGATATAAGAAAGAGCTTATCTGGAGTGGAGCAGAAATAAGAAAAGAGGCGATGGCACCCTTGGGTCTGTGGTCGTGTCATTTTGTTCTTCTCTGTGCCAGTCCCCCGCTCCCTCTGGGCTCTATTACAGCCTGAACCAACTCTCTCTGCCGGCCAGATACAAACATAATCCCTCTGTGGTTTGGTGCAGCCAGGAGCTCAGGGCGGGGAGCATGTTTAACATCTCGATTCTTCTTATTCCACCGCGGGGGCGTGGGGGGGGGGGTCTTTGGCGCGATCGTGCTCCAAGATCAACACGAGGTTGACGGCCATCTGGTCTACAGCGCTGAAAATCCTCACACGGCAAATACCACCCACAGCCTGGCCTCTGTCTCCCTGCAAACACGGCGACAACAGAACAGCGGCAGAGTCCAACAATCAGTCAGGCGGGCCGGAGCAGCGGCCCCAGACCAAACGGCGGAGATCAGATCAAACAAACGATCCTGTGTGTGGGAAGGTGGCACGTCTCTTTAAACATGGAGGTGACTGGCTTTGTACTTCTTTCTTTTTTTTCCATTTATAGCAACGTTTATCTGAGGGAGAAATAGACTTTGTGAAGGCCAGGAGGCTCAGTCATCCGAGGGGAGTGAAGTTTGTGAGGCAGTCAAGGCTCCAGGAGTTTGAAAAAGGAAGATGTGCACAGGGGTACTATTATCCTCCTTCACTAACATGACCCCTTTGGATCATCATTTCTGTGAGAGCCGCTGTAAATCACTTTTACTGCGATGGAAACATCTATTGTGATTGCCTGCCCTTCTATTGGCAAATGTCATTGTCATAATAATACCTGGGAGGGTTCGCTTTACTGAGATTATGAGCGCCACGCTGATGCTGCCAGGTGGGCCGCACAGACGAGTGATGTGAGTGCGGCGCATCCTCAGGGGGAGGATGACTTTTATACAGCAGTTACCAACTTCTGTGTGCATGAAAAGTTCTGCTTGGAAAGTTAAATACTCCCCTAACAGAGCAAAAAGAGTCTGGATCTCACAGTATACAGTTGAAACCAGAAGTTTACATACACTTTTTAAAAGGGCACATAACCTTTTTTTTCTCACTGTCTAACATTAAATCAGATTAAACTTTTCCTGTTTTTGGTCAATTAGGATTACCAAAATTATTTTTATTTGCTAAATGCCAAAATAAGGAGAGAGAGAATTTTTTAGAAAATTTTTTATTATTTTCTCAAGAGTCAAAAGTTTACATACATTTCATTAGCATTTGGTAGCTGCCTTTTAATCGTATGACTTTGCAGGAATTTTGGCCCATTTCTCCTGACAGAACTGATGTAACTGAGCCATGTTTGTAGGCCGCCTTGTTCACTCATGCCTTTTCAGTTCTGCCCATAATTTTTCAATAGGATTGAGATCAGGGCTTTTTGATGGCCGCTCCAAAACATTGACTTTGTTATCCTTACGCCACTTTGTAACCAGTTTGGCAGTATGCTTAGGATCACTATCCATTTCTGCCCAAGCTTTAACTTCCTGGCTGATGTCTTGAGATGTTGCTTCAGTATTTCAACATAATATGATCTATTTTGTGAAGTATACCAGTCCCTCCTGCTGCAAAACAACATGATGCTGCCACCCCCATATTTCACAGTTGGGATGGTGTTTTCAGGCTTGCAAGCTTTCCCTTTTTTTCCTCCAAATGTAACAATCATCATTATGGCCAAAAAGTTCCTTTTAGTTTCATCAGACCACAGGACATGTCTTCAAAAATTAAGGTCTTTGTCCCTGTGTGCATTTGCAAACTGTAATCTAGCTTTTTTTTTAGGTTTCTTTTGGAGTCATGACTTCTTCCTGGAAGAGTGGCCACAGGTGTGCCTCCAAAGACATGATATCATCATCTGGACTTTCCCAAATTGTTAGAAGGCATAGTCATCTTCGTGTATGTAAACTTTTGACTCTTGAGAAAGTAATAAAAAATGTCTAAAAAATTCTCTCTCTCATTATTTTGGCATTTAGCAAATAAAAATAATTTTGGTCATCCTAATTGACCAAAAACAGGAAAAGTTTTATCTGATTTACTGTTAGATGTCGAGAAAAAAAAGGTTATGTGCCTTCTTATACCGTGTTTGTAAACTTCTGATTTCAACTGTCCCTCTGTCTCTTTCCAGAGTAAACAAACATCAGTTCTCGACAGAGTAAAGGCGTCCAGGTAATTACCGAAGAACTCTATTTGCTTAAGAGCATTGAGACGTATGAAACAGGCAAATCAAAAGAGCTGCATGCAAACCTGAAACAATTCAGTGTCTGGATTCTGCAGCATGTAGGGACAGGCTCCCAGCAGCTTTTTGTAAACAGTATTTTTCCAGGACCCTATATGTCAAACATTAGCATGCAGAGCGGCTGACGCGCCCGCTGAAGAATCCTGTTGTTTGGGACCTGGGATGTGTCATCCCCAGTTAGAGACATGTCAGCTACGAGGGTGACTTCCTGCTTTCCCATCACCCTCCACTGCACCCAATCAATCTACGCTTCTGCTTTTTTAAGCAGCTCATCCTCCTCCATCTTGAAACCTGTAAAAACTACATTAGGTTTTCTTTATTGTACCGCCCCCCCTGTATCTCAGGTTAGCCGCGCGTAGATCAATCCTGGACGCGTTAAGCTAATTGTAGGCAATCGTGAGTGGTGTGTAAGTTTAGCTCCATCAGACGATCGATGGTATTGACGTGTAGCAGTCTCAGCGTCTCGATGTGTGTTTATCACAGCGCTGCAGAGAACACATGCAGAGAGGGGCCGATGCTAGTCATGTTGATGAATGAGGAACAATACATTTCAGACGGCTGAAAACGACAATCTGTGCGACTTCTCTCCGATGGAAGGATTTTATTTGATAACTGCTTGTTTGTATTTCTTCCAGGCGGGGTCTGCTCAACTTTTAACAAATGGTACTCACTGCTCAGATTGAGTGTCTTTCTCTGTTGTTGTCAAAGCTGGTCCAACAACCCAAGTTTGAAAAAAAACAGTAAATATGTCGGCTGTTTGATGGTGGTTTACCAATGAGTCTAGTTCTGCTTGAGCTTTCTGGATCAATTGATTGCCCAGTTGGTTGATTGATTGACCTAAATGACCATTTCTAGCTCCAGCTATTTGGGAGCCAGCAAAAGGGGTTGAAACAGCACCAATTTCTCAGACTATTTCAGATTTTCTCTGTTTACACGGCATGTGATTAATTCTGGTCCGGTGTTCCCATGTATTTACAAATTTAATTGAAACAGTTAGACGCCAAATCCAGTTGCCCACCTCTCAATTAACGCTCAGCAAACAGGAAAGTAAAGCAGGTCCAGTTCTGAAAGACCCACTCCGATGAAAATCATGTTTATCTTGTTGTTTACATGTTCATATGGCATTTTTCTGACGCTACAGGACGTATCGTGTAAAAAGAAAGTGTAGAATTGCATTTCTGAGTAAAATACCCGGTTAATTTTCAAAATTAAAGAAAGTCAATATGTCGAACTCTTCTTAGCTTGATAATAGCAGAGGCCAGGGTTGTGTGATGTGGGTGTTTTTACACACCGCCATTTATATACACCGATCGGCGGATCTCATTCAATGTCTCACGGGGAAACACGCAAGATCTCGTCCAGTATTGCGAGAACTATCAGTAATATCGCGAGTGCTTCTCGATCGGTGGTGGATCGGATCCGGTGGGCGCTATATGCTTGCATATTTGATCATCTGGAGCTGTTCTGGATCCAGTGGAATTCCCGGGTCAGAGAAATAGAGAGAACGATCATAAAACAAGCGTGACATCAGTGTCTGAGAGCTGAATAGCTCCTATGTTACCTGCTACTTCTACTGCACCGGCAATGTTAGCCTGCAAGCTAGCATGAAGAGGAGAGTGCAGAGCAGCGCTGTCTTCGTCCACGACTCAGAGGCGAATTTCTAATGAGCTACTGGAGCTCTGCAGAAGAAAAGTCCTTGAAAATAATACAGGTAACGTGATTTTGGCTAAAAACTTAAGAATCACACTGGGAGCATTTTAAGCAGTAAAAAAAATGATATGAGTGGGACTTTAAAGGGTCAGCTCTCTGGTTTGGAAAAGTCAAATTAAATAAGTCTCCACCTTAGCTGGAAATGTGCTCGATAAATGTTTCTTCTTCCAACATGACTGAGGCGATTACTTACTATTGTACTATCCTTGGTGTTAGACCTGAGGGTAACTGACTGCTGGGCCTTCAAATCTCACTCTGATTTTAGTCTGTCGGCCTGATAAGTCCCGTGACGGTACATTTTTGCTATTTTAGCATCAGTCATCTGTGTGCTTTGAACGTACAGCTAAACAACTTATGATTTACAGCCATCCAGAACCGCTCACACCCACATCCTGACCAGTTCATGCTAGGCAGCCAACCCAGTGCAAGCGTAGCCACCAATAGAAATACATTCAATTGCTTCTGGTTGGACCCCCTAACTTATGTGACTGCGCAAAACAAACTCTTAGCCATCGTGGGGTCTAACTTCTGTAAGTGGCGAAGACTCATTCATTACTATTTATGTCTGTTGAGACTTAGTTTGTGTGCCTTAAGATTACAATACGATCAACAGGAGGCAGATTTTATTTTAATGGGTTTATGAAACAGTAAATACCTCCAAATGAAATTCAACAATCGCACTTTCAACAGTGAGTGAATGACAGGAAGTGAGGCAGCAGCTGTGGTTGATCGACATCGAGATAAAGCTGGTCAAGTGTGTTACGCTGCTTCTTTGAGTTTGATGCGATTATAAATAGACAAATAATTAAAGCTTTGACTGTTAGTTGTAATTATTCATGATGGAGCTCTTTATCAATGATGAAAATCCCAAGTTCCAGCTTCACTCAAAAGCTAAATTGCTTTTAGCCTCATCCTGCAAACACCAGCTGCACCTCACCTTTCCCAATCGACACACAAGGCCTTTCAAAAACCTTGAGATTCTTCCCATTATGTGAGTAATAAACAGCAGGGCCAAGGACTCAGGATTCGAAGGAGACAAAGAAAGAAGAGCAGGAAAGATATAGTAAGTTAATAGGACAACACAAAAGCAGCTGTGACGCCAACCGACAACAAAGCTCAGATCTGAGAGTCCAAGTCTGCGTGAGTACGGAGATGGCAGCGCCTGCACTGGGTGACAGGCTCGATCCATTTGGCGCCGGCAAAGACACAAACACAAGCTGTCTGGAGGGAGTAAGGTAGACTTCAATCAGCTAAAAGGTGATAAAACATAATTAATTCAATCACCCACTCACTCTCACTCCCTAGCTCCTCTCCCCTTCTTCTCCCCCGTCCTCTGAGAGACAAGCAGAAAAAATAAAAAACAGCAGTGCATTCACAGTTCGGTTAGAAAAGCCTCCCTTTTTCTCTCTATTTATGCAGAACTCAATAACAAGCCTGCATTTGATTCTCTGCAAGGTGGCTCACAATGCAGCCCTTGCCATTAAAAACACCCTCAAAATAGAGGTTTTTATTCGTACAATGCGTGGCAAGACCCTCTTTACACTTCTGTCATTAACTGTTAGACCTGGAAAATGAAAAATGACTAGCAGGAGAGAGATAAAAGACTGTCTAGTGTGTGTGTGTGTGCGGGATGCAAAGTAAACCACAGAGAGAGAGAGAGAGAGAGAGAGAGAGAGAGAACCATTAGCGCTTTTCTGTACCTTCACACCCGATGATAGACCATTAACACCCAAACCAGCCTGGCTTTGCGCTCGTCAGGGTCAAGTAGGCTGCGATTACTCTACAACTCCACACTCCAAGTTGGCTCAGAAAAGAGGCTGATAGGGAAACAAGCTTTTAGGAATAAGAAAGGAGGATGTGATGGGACTGTAGCCTCCAAAACTAAGTTTACATAAATCCCTTTGTCAAGGAAATGTTATTTGTTTGTGGAGGCTGTAAAAACCTGATGGGAGGTCAGTGGAGATTAAGTAAACCTAGCTTTTTGTTCGTGAACCGACGCTTTAAGTCACTTATCAGACTTTGATAGATCAGCAACACCTGAACCAGTCCAGGTGTCTGTAAAGTTTGGTAGAGATGAAGCAGGGATGTGTCTACAAGGGTCGCAAGGGGTGACACTGGCCCCCCTTGGATTAGTCAGCGCATGCAAAACCACCAAATCAACCATTAGGGTGTTCTCTAACAGTGATTTTTTTTCTTCTTTTATTGTATTTTAATGTCGCAAATTTTTACTGAGACTTTGTACACCCGTCTTCTTTCTTAAAGGGATATTCCGGCGTAAATTTAATTTAGGGTCAAACACACTGTAACACCGAGTTAGACACTGCGTCGAGAGATGAATGTTGCTTCTCTAGTTATACCAACTTTAGTAACGACCGCACGATAGCAATACACAGCGGTCTGAGGAGTCATAGACAAACCTCAACCAAAACACCACTCTATAGCCACAAATAATACTCAGAACAGCACCTAACTTCATCAACAGGACATATAGGGTCACAGACATAGTACTAGCCACCAAACATCTTTTTAACTTTGCCTGATTTCTTTAACAAAGAGACTAAACACAACTCACCTACTCTCTTCCAGCAGCCACTTGTTTGTAGCGAGACCTCAGGCCAGTCCATTACGGACTACAGCGGGGTGACGCAGCTCAAGGAAGAACATTTATGATCATTTCTTCATCATTTCCCTGAAGTAATAATCATCATATAAATCATTTTGCAGACGCGGTCGTTCTTCTGTCTTAGCGTCTCGGTCTGATTGTATTTCCATTAAGAAATTATCATAAATGTTCTTCCTTGAGCTGCGTCACCCCGCTGTAGTCCGTAATGGACTCACTTGAGGTCTTGCTACAAACAAGCGGCTGCTGGAAGAGAGTAGGTGAGTTGTTTTTCGTGTCTTTGCTAAAGAAATCAGGCAAAGTTAAAAAGATGTTTGGTGTCTAGTACTATGGCTGTGACCCTATATGTACTGTTGATGAAGTTAGGTGCTGTTCAGAGTATTATTTGTGGCTATAGAGTGGCGTTTTGGTTGAGGTTTGTTTATGGCTCCTCAGGCCGCTGTGTATTGCTATCGTGTGGTCGTTACTAAAGTTGGTATAACTAGAGAAGCAAGTGGTGTGTTTGACCCTTAATTAATTTTACGCCGGATTATCCCTTTAATAGAAAGTCCCACAAAAGTTACTGCTCTATTTAGTCACTTTCTTTTCACTCTGGTGCATTATTACATTTATACTGAGGCCACCCCTGTCTGTGTCAAAGCCCCAGATGGGCCATTTCATTAGTGCCATGTCCCATCTGTTTCCATGGAGGAGGCAGGATTGGGAGCTCCAGAAGGGGGAGCTCTGAGGGTTTTAGTTTCACTGTTATGTCTCTGTTCTCTTGAGTTGGGTCTCCTCTGAGGAAGCGGCAGGAAAATGAAGGATCTGTGAAGAGGACCTGGCAGGAGAAAATGTGACGCTGAAGTAGTGAAGCTTTATTTTGCTCTCAGGGACTCAGGAGTGAGCAGGTAAAGTTTTAAAGTGCACCTGAGTGGGAGAGTAGATGTTCATTTCAAGCCATACAGGCAGAAAACACATATAAAACCCTGAGAACTGGTGCACCTAGCGAAGCACCCCCCTGAGGCACTCATCTCCCACAAGAGCAAGGTGTGAGAAATGAGAACAATAGCTGTTGAAGGCAGAGTCATGTTTCAGCGCAATCGCCGTAATACAAGGCCGCTGTATTCTGTCTCCCATGACAACTGAGCCCTGCGCTTGAGGGATCGGACAGTATCACAGGAGAGGGTTTGTCCTTTTCAGCGCTAACCTGACCACGGTGCAGAGTAGCTCCTGGTGATGTCAAGTGAGAAGAATTTCTGAGGTAAACAACAGCGAGGCAGGAGAGGCTGCAGTGAATCAATAGGAGGCAGTGAGTTTTGGAGAAGGTGCTTATTTACGCCTCTTTTTACCTTTAAGAGACTTTGATCGTTCAGCTTTCATTAGGCAGCACACGTACAAAAGACACGGCAGCTGTTAATCCAGTATCTTTTGATTTGTCCGCTAGTTATTATTAACGTAATGAGAGCGATGTTTTCAAATGAAAAGTCTAATTTAAAGGAAGAGGCCTGCAGCGAACTTCACACAGACACATTTAAAAACATTTGAGATACTTGTTTTCAGTGTCAAACCCATTTATTTTATACTGGATAAACCAACATATTATTTCAGCTACCAGCCGAAGTTTGAGATGCTAAACTTACATTTGTTTTGATAGGGCATATATTTTAAACTGCCCTGATCAGCGATGGTTTTATATCCGTCATGTGTCTGTGAAAAAGACGAGCATCTACACAAATTAAAACCCCAACATGTATCCATGTAAAGTGGTGTTAAAAAGGTGAACAAGACTTTACAGGAATATTAAATGTTGGCATTTTCGTCTTGGTTCAGCTCTTCTCATTTTTGGATGAGGCAAATATGTGTCACATGTGCGGTACACAAAACAAAGGAAAAGGACCCAAAAATGTAGAACTGTGGATTTATTAAAGCAAAAGCAAAAAGTTAAAGTCCAACTAAAACTCAGTCTCAAAAAACACAAGAAGCAAAATCCAAAAAATCAAAGGAGCACTGGGGAAAAAAACACAAGGAAACAACTGGGGACACAAGCATATGCTGACATCGACATACACAGACACGATGAACCAACAAGGACAGAGAGGAAGACAGGGACTTCGAGGAAACGAGCAACAGGTGAGGCGGAAGATACACAGGTGAAACTCATGATGAACAAAGGAGGGAAAACTAGGGAAGTAAAACCAGACTAGAAATACAAGGAATCAACTACTTAAAATAAAACAGGAAATAAACACTGAAAACTGATCTAAATAACAACAACAATAACAATAAAAACTTTATTTTTAAAGCACTTTTAAAAACAGAAGTTTACAAAGTGCTTTGACAAACAGTCGTAAAACACAGAACATCAGCACATGGACATAAAAACATAAAAAACAGAAGCTCAGTTAAGAACAAGGCCTCCGAATTGAAGGCCAATTTCATTTGTCATAAGAAACCCAGACAATACAGGGACCCTACAACATAAAAAATGAGACCATGAGGACCAAAATAAAACATGAAATAGGTAAGAAAGAGAAATGTCATAAAAGAGGAAGAAAAAGCAGGAAACAGGATAGTAAATATAAAAGGCAATCTCAACAATGATAATAAAATCATAACAAAATAACGATGGTAATAGTAATGGTAAATGGAATGACAAAAATGAGCAGGAAAAATCAATAAAAACAATCAAACAAGAGGCCTAAAAGGTTAAATTAGATTATAAGATTATAAGTAAAACAAAAGCTAAAAGGACAGTAAGTGGAAAACAGTGAGAACAGGAGGGAAACAGGGTCCAACACAAACTGAAAACTCACAGGACTGGACTACAGGGGAACAGAAACACGAAGGAAAACACACAGAAAATACACTTATATAACAAAACTAGGAGAAAACTAAAACAAAACATATCAAGACAATATGTTGTGAATCAGCACCTTCGAAATGCACTCTCTGGCTCTGCAGCTGTTGCACGGATTGCAGGATAGTCCTAACCCTGATTAAATATTTCCAGCTATTTAAAATTATAAAAGAAACTGACATTTTGCCTCGGTGTCAACAGGCAGAGGTGAAATATATATATCATAGTTTTTTTACATTATTAATCACTGATCTGACCTTCAGAGTCAAATATTTAACACAACCTGGTTGCATTTCAGTCACAGTAAACCCCCTCATCCATACTTGGGTATAACTAACATAGGCTAGGTTAGCATAGGCGTAAATGTTTGCGGCTAACAACTAGCAAAGAGAAGTCAACCGTCTAAAACATATTTAAAGCCTGGATCCATAGAAGACTAAACTCTGAACCTAATTCACTTATTTTAATTTTGTAAGTGATGATAATATAAGTCTGAAATACATTTCTAGTTTTTATTTTTGTTCACTGACTAAAGATTTCTAGCTACTTAAAATGCTAAAAGAAACCAATGTTTAGTCAGAAGTTAAATATATATATGTATCGTAATTTTTTACAAGATTAATCACTGATCTGACCTTCAGAATCAAATATTTAACACAACCTGGTTGCATTTCAGTCGCTGTTAAAACCCTCATCCTAACTTGGGTATAAGTAAAATACGCTAAATTAGCATAGGTGTAAATGTTAGTGACTAACAGCTAGCGAAGAGAAGTCAACCGTCTATGACATATTTAAAAGAAAACTTAATTTACTTATCTTAATTGAGTTAGTTATGATAATATATAACTCTCCTTGTATATTACCAGCTTGTTTGTCCATTTTATAGCAAAGAACCACAAAAACACCCATTTATTCTTAAAAAGAAAAACTCAGTCTGACTGATTAACTTCAGCGTCGTTCTGCTTGTTTTGAAAGGTGATGTCTTTCGCTGCTGGTTTGAAAGCTCAGCATATAGCTCTTTAAGAGAGTATTGAGCGGACAAATGGAAAAAAAAGAAGTCGTGTAATGAAAACTTCAGCAGATTGATTTTGTGCCACAAATGATAAATACTTCATTTCAGCTCTCATTATCATTCCAAACTCATTTGACACAGATTCCTTTCGACCGGAGAAGTTAGCGGATGTATTTTTGTTGAACTAAAATAACACATAAACCGTTTTTTGATGGCTTTTTTTCTCCACCTGATAACATAACACTGCATCATAGTGTAATGTAGCATAGCAGGCATGCAGGACAGCACATTATAATCTCATTATGACTGAGTCATTTAGTTTGAATCGAGTCTTATAATCTTGTTTTCCAGAAACCAGGTCAAAAATATCTGCCAATGGGGTGATATCATTATGAATACAATCATGATTTTGTCGTTGACCCGTTTCGCCTGTTATGGGATTTCCAAAGCTGCGGACTGGAGGCAGGTCACACGACACAGAATCACCAGAAATGAGGTTTGTTAAACATGAAAATGTTGAGAGAGATGTTTTCCAAACCTCAGATACAGTCTTTTGTTCCCTTCCTGTGCAGCAGTGGGTGATTTTGCACATCAGAAAAAGAGCTATAGAGCCAGAGAGAAAGGGAGCATAATAGTTAGACAGACAGACAATGAGACAGGGAGCGGAGGGAAATACGGTCTCAGTGTGGATAATTACATTTCTACCTTTCTCTGGCAGTTGCCTAGCCTTAATGCTGGTAATTAATTTCATTATTTTGGGCCCTGGCTGTTGAGTGCAGATTAGTTCTCTCTGAGTTGTGGGGATAAACACACGGTAATTGCTTATTACTCTCAGAGCCCACATTAGATTATACTAAAGCCAGCGAATTAGAAAATATCCAATCACCTTTAGCTAAAATTCAAAACCTGCTGTTGTGGTCACGGCTTGTTTTCGTTTGTTGGGGACGTCTTTTCCTGCTTGCTGGACAGGAAAACTGCTCTGAACCGCTCCTGCTCTTACTGAACTGTTTACAACTTTTGGGTTTTTTTTTCTAAACATGAAAAAAAGAATCTTCCTCTTCAAAACATTTGTCTTCTTCTTCTATTTCATTAAACTCACTGAGTCCTGGAGTCCATCTTTCAAATGTAGTACTTTTGTGAAGGTTATCAGGGCATCGCTGCCCTTTTTTCAGTCAGTGCAGGGTTATATTTATACCCGAGGGTCGGTCACAGCGAACACAGTCCTCTCTTTCTGACTACTGAGCAGCAGCAGGCGGGGGATTAAGTGCCATGCTGAAGGGAACCTCAGTGGTATTTGTTTATCTGCAAAACCCAACTGAGAGTCGAGCAGCTGGACTCAAACCAGCAGCCCTCTGGCCACAACAATGGTAACAAAAGGTGGCTATTTATTTTTATTACCTGGTTGTTTACTGAGACCTCATTGGATGGATGTTTCCAATATATTTGATCTATATCTAACTTTTTCCCGAACATAGGTTTCCCATCTCCTTATTATTACTTCTTGCATAGCAGTCAGTCGAAGGCTAATTAAGGAAATTTACTGATTGGTTTAATGGGGAAAGTGCACATTAATGAAGGCGGGTATGTAAATGTGCCAGATTGTGACCTGAGGCTGATTTCAATTGGTTGTCCAGGCGAGTTGAGGTTACAAATATGCATAAAAATCCATATTTACTGCAAATACGGGGAGAAAGTCAAACAATGAGTCAAAGAAGGTCAAAAAGTTTGCATTAGGACCTCGGAGACATGCATGTACTGTCAGTTTCTATGCATCTAGCTCTAGCTCTTTTTAGGACTAATTGTAATCGCCAATCAACAGATAGATAAGCTCAGCCTGTCATTGTTCTGTAATTGAGAAGTCTTTCCAATCAAGCCAAACCTCCACAAGGTCTATTTGCTGAAAAGTAAACCACCAATCTGCTTTTCCCTGCGCCATCTTCTGGGTAAAGTTGTGAAATGCTCTTTTTTGTTTTACTCAATATTTAGATACCAAAAATGGCTTCTTGTCCACAAAATTTCACGATAATTTGGAATCGTGAACTTTACTCAAATCCAATTTTTTAGTTTTGGTCCCCAATGCCAATCAAATGTCAGTGATGGCCGTAACTTGTTTTATAAAGTGGCGAAGCTTTATAGAAAAATAGTGCAAGAACCAAAAAGTAGGTGTCTGAAACTTGCACTGACTGCAAATTTCTTGTTCCCTCTGTGAAATGTAATCAAAAGGCAACATGAAGTTTCAGTGTAATTTTTGTTTCGCCATGTGAAGACCAATCACTGATCTAAACTTTGTTAGAATCAGTCCATCACTTGAACGCTCAAACACAACCAGAGAAATCTTCAGTTCTCAGATACAACATTTATTCAGGTCATATGAAAAGTAGTACAGTGCTGGACTCGGGATGACAGAGCCCCTAGGATTCTTGGGCAGGGATTACCTTGGACAGAGGTTTGACTTAAACGCAACCGAGTGTCATCAGCCAGTCATCTCTGACCTGAACAGTCCAACAACTTTTCACGTGGTCTTACTAAAATGTGATATGAAATATGTGTGTGTGTTGTTGACCTTGAGGCGTGTAACTACTGTAGCAGACCTGTCCAACAGAACAAAGAAAAGCTTTGTGGCTCATCAGGTTCCTCCTTATCAAGCTCGACGTCACAATGTTCTGGCTAAATAAAAAAAACAACCTGTAAGTTAAATGAAAACACTCGTTGACTCGCATGAATTCAGTGAAATCTAACACTAGCAAAATAAAACACAATTATAACATTTTTATCTGCTTTTATCATCATCTGTTTTTAAAAAAAGTCACTTTGAACTTGAGATTTTGCATCAGCCTGAATAAGACAGCAGTGAACATTTAAAAGCATAACACACAGAAAAATTAACCCTTCAGCTGCACTGACACACCTTTGAAACACGCTCACGCTTTGATTTACAGTCGAGTGGTGACACACATATGTGAAAGAAAGTAGACCTGAAACCTGAGACTGTGCTCCAGGTTCGAGTTACACGGATATGTCAGTCAGGAGTCAGTTGAAATGAGACCATTTTAAATCTGCACCACAGCTTGGTCTAACATAAAAATTAGAGCATCAGGGTTAGGTTTACAGAGCGGAGGTACATTTACTGTAAAACAAACCTCCTTTCGTCGCCAGGTATCAAACTTTACACGTCTGTTGTGTTGTTTAACTCAAGTATCCATGTCAGGCCCGGGGCTCGATGTGTTTTCACGTCTCGACCTCAAAGGCTGAAACCTGCATGTCTGACACCATAAGAACAGAATCTACCAGAAAAGCACCTGAGAGCGCAGCCTGTCGTGAATAGATCATAACTCAGGTGACGGGATCTTCACACGAACACCTTTACAGGCCGAGGGCAGGACCCTAGACTTCGGATCAGCAGATTTTAAAAGAAGCAGATTTTAGCCTGAGGGCTGCTACAGGCGAGATATCGGGGGTGTTGATGTGCAGTTTTGTAAAATTTTTAAAGCAAAACCTTAAAAAAACAAAAGTTAACCTGTATTTGCAGTCTACTTGCTCCTGAACTCCATGCAAATTATTCTCAGTATTTCCCTCTAATCACCTACGAGCTGATGAAGCTAACGAAAGAAGCATCTACCCACTAACTCTTGAAGACGCAGGTCAAGGTTTCATAAAGCTTGACGCACTAAAGGGCGAAACCTACACATGAGCTTATAAGTGCACATAACGTGACCTGACTCACAGATCAAACACTCGCTTGTAATTTCTTGCCGTCAGGTTCTCATGGAAACGTATGCAGAATACAGCGTGTGTCCGTAGAGATGCAGAGCGCTTTAGCAGCCTGACTAAATTTCTTCTGAAGAAGTGGAGGAGCTCTCCCGGGAGGCAGCAGCCGGGCCCTGCCACTAAAGGTAATAGGGTCAGACAGCTACACATTAGCTGTGGATCATCTCCTTTGACACAGCCAGTGATCTCACTGGCGGCAGAAGAGCAGAGCCCATACCTGTACCTGCCAGGCATATCCATGCTCACTGCAGAGAGAGGGAGGGTGGGGGGTGGGGAGTTGTTAAAGCAGCAGGAAGTGAGGGGAGCGCCTTTTCGAATCCGAGGATCCCAGGTACACTCCACACCTCAGGGACTTTTCATGTGGTATCACTGGCCCTGAAAGACGTCCTCGCACACTGGAACGGCACAAATCTACAGAGCCGTGAGAGTCATAGCAAATGTGATTTGCAGGACTTAAAGGAATGGTTGAGGATTGGAGAGAACGGTAATTAGTATGAACCTCGTTTCTATGGTGATCATGGTCCTACAGCGCGATCTCCACAAAGTGAAGAGAAAAAAGTACGGAAAAAAAACTGTTCATCCTAGCAGGTGCAGGGGGCAAAAACATTGACCAATGGGAGCCATCCGTCCCGGAGACCTTCTATTGGTCGATCTCCTGCTCCGGCTCCGTTTTTTTCAACTGCTTCTCAGATCGTCAACCAGGACTTTAAAATAGGGAGAGAAGAAATTGGGAGAGATTTTTTTTTTTATGTTTACAATTTTAAAAAAGAGAGAAAAAGAAAAAGTCAATTATATCTGTTAATAGATTACTCAGCAACATTTGCAAACAAATGAAAAACAAACAATCACAAAAACCTCAGAGATGGAGATCCTTCCATCCAGTTTCTGCAGTAGTCTAAGCAGGCCAACTTAGACCTCCCTCCTCCCACCAACATTTCCAACCTCCTCCTGTGGGAGTCAGAGGTAATCTCAGGCCAGATGGGCTGTATATAATCCCTCTGGCAAGCTCTGGGTTTACCTCGAGGCCTTCACCTGAAACACCTCCAGAGGGAAGCATCCAAGAGGCGTCTTTATCAATACCCAAACCACCTCAGCTGACGGGTCGACAGCGGGGTGACACAGCTCAAGGAAGAACATTTATGATCATTACTTTATCATTTCCTTGAAGAAATAATCATAATCTTTTTGCACTGCAGACGCAGTAGTTCTTCTACCTTAGCGTCTTGGTCTGATTGTATTTCCATGAAGAAATGATCATAAATGTTCTTCCTTGAGCTGCATCACCCCGCTGTAGTCCGTGATGGACTGGCCCGAGATCTCCATACAAACAAGTGGCTGCTGGAAGAGAGTAGGTGAGTTGTGTTTAGTCTCTTTGCTAAAGAAATTAGTCAAAGTTAAAAAGATGTTTGGTGTCTAGTACTATGGCTGGGACCCTATATGTCCTGTTGATGAAGTTAGGTGCTGTTCTGAGCATTATTTGTGGCTATAGAGTGGCGTTTTGGTTGAGGTTTGTTTATGGCTCCTGATACCGCTGTGTATTACTATCGTGCAATATCATGCCATCAACAGGGTGACTAACTCTTTGTTTTTGACCTTAAATTAATTTTACACCGGAATATCCCTTTAAATCTGAGTAGCTTCTCTCAGAGAGATGCTACTGCTAACTTGCTAGCTTCTGCTGCTTCTTCTCTGCTGTTATCACTCAACCACACTCGTTAATATTACTTTATCTACTTCTTGAACCACCGAGCCAGCAGTCAGCATGCTCCAGGAGGGTCTTGGCACCACTTCCCCTCCTGCCACCTTCATTTTTTATTTATTTTTTCACGGCATTTATGTGACTCCATACAACTGACGATTTATGTTTTTGGCAAAGCAAGCGTAAACAGGCGCCTCGTCTTTCCCCGAACATACCCACACTCGTGTTTTCCACCCGTGTATTATGTCAGAGGAGTTTGAGTCCTGGGAAGGCGGGTGGTCGGGCCATTTCACTTCTCAGAAACAAGAACAGACCAGACTTAGAGAGCTGCCTCTCCCCAAGGCCCCTCATTGGAACAAGACAAACACAAGGCCTGTAATTAAAGATGTAACAAAGGCTCTGTCAATTGTCTCTCCTCTCTTCTCTGCCAGTGAGTCGGCTCACATTGTTGCTCAAAGCTTAGTCTGGCGTGCTCCGTATACAAGGCTAGGAGCGAAGGTTCAGCTGTCCTCACATCCACTCGGCTCACCAACTCCTGAGAGAGGGAAAACAGCACTTGGGCTTCAGTGTCGTGCTTTTGTTTTAAGCTTCATAATATCAGCCGCGGACATAATGAAATCCTTCAAGCACGTAGTGATTCATATTGCATGAGTGAGCAGGTTGGGATTTGGAGTCTCGCTCAAGGACACCCTGACGTTGATGGACGTATGCCGGCTGTAGAGGGAATTGAACCTGTGAGCAGATTTGAGTTTATGCCACAAAAGAGACGGAGCTGCTTTTTAAGGCGGAAATAATCTCATTGATTAAGTCAAACCTCAGCGGGCAGAGCCAAAGAGCTGATATTTCACAGCGTGTTGAAGTACATCTCAAAGACTCTGGTCAAAATATGATTATTTCTGACAGATATCTTTGGTTTTATTCACGGTTGAGAGGAGAGCTCTTGAAAAGGAGAACCATCATCTCTTACCTTTGCAGGGATACTTGGTGCAGAGCCAACTTGGGAAATTTAGACATTTTATCGATTATCTTTAGAAACTTAGACTACGTTCACACTGCAGGTTATGATGCACAATTCAGATTTTTTGTTAAATCCGATCTTTTTGTGCGGTTGTTCACATTACAACAACGAATTCGGCATCTAATGTGAACAGAATGCGTCCGTGAAGTGACCCGCATGCGCACAAAGCACAAATTGCTTTCTGTGCCCGTTTGTGTTGTCGAGGAATGGTGGCGTTCGAATGAATGCACCTGAGCGTCCACACTGCAGTCACATCGGATACATATCTGATTTATATCCACATACAAAAGAGGCCTGTGTCGGATTTGAAAAAATCAGAATTGCACTGTTCACACTTCCATGAAAAAATCAGATATGTCTCACAGATGGTTAAAAAATCTAAATTGACCTGAACATAGCCTTAGTGCCACAAATGTTGGTCTCTAATTTATCAGATTTCAGCTGAATAATGAATTTATTTTGACGTGTCTTTGCTGTGAGCTCTGGTTGTAAATCAAAATATAATCTTTGTTAACAAACTACCAAAATAGTCGGGGTAGTTTCATGCCAGACTAATCAGATTACTTTGCTGCATTAACTTTTTATACACTCTAAACGTTGGACAGGGTGACAAACTAGCCGTCGTGTTCATCCAATTGGACTCCTGACGTTTAAGCGTCGTCATACCCGTCAGGTTGAGACTAAACAAACAAAGGTGACAAGTAAAAACACACCGTTTGCAGACGACTCTCTTGTTTGATTTGCTTGACATCTCAAGTACTTGATGATTAAATTGTGCAAAACTTAAAATGCTAAATCTCCAAAATTCACCATTTATCAGTCAGAGCCTTTAAATAATATTGGTCTTAAAAGCAAATCAAAACACAAGCTTTGAAAATCAGACTTCCAGTTCTCGTGTGCTGCACGACAACAACACATTAAGTCTCTGCGGTTTTGTTTACTGACATTAAAACAGGAGTATAATTTGCAGGTTTGCAGCATGCGTCACGGCTTACTCTGCTCTCTCGTTAAAAGACTCTGACACTTCCTGATATTCTGCCCCTAATATAACATGTCACTCTGACTCTCTGGCTGCAGCATCCCGGCTAAATTTGCAGACGTCCCTTCGGTGAATATGGAGGTGTCACATTATCCCCGTTTTGTGCGAGGGGAATGAATTCTGGTTTAATTTTCCCGCAGATAATGCCCAGATCAGTCCTAGAAGTGTCACATCTTCAAAAACTCATTCATCGCAGCGGTGGCGCTGACGACAATTAATTCTGACGTTAGGAGCTCTGGCCTGCTTTCTTCTACCTTCGCCAGTACCCGATGTTTCCACATTCTCGGGATAGTTTCTGTCAGCTCCATAAATGAGGTATTAAAATTCTCCTTTGCTTTCTGTGGCTGTCTATCCTGCTCACAAATGACTCTCTTTGAGAAGTAACTGATGGCGACGTTTCTCAGACGCCTCCGGATTCTGCTTCAGTGTGGGGTTGAGCTCAGCGGCAGTCATTAGAGCAGTCGGAGCGCCACGGCTGTCACCAACCCCTGGGCTGCGGCCTCGGTGTACGTTAATAGGGACATTATTAAATCAGCCACAAAAACAGGTGCCAGGTTTACTCTGAATTATAAAGACGCTTAAATATTTTCTCTTTTGATGTTTCTGCAACAAATCAATCCGCCTGCGGTTCGATAAAATACAAGATAAAGAGTTTTGCTTCGTGAGTCGATGGAGTAAAAGCTCTCTGCGACTGTGTGAAATCCTTTAAAAGTTTTTTCTCAGGTAAAATATGTGCAAGAAATCTGATTTGAAGCTTCCCGTCTCCAACTTTTTTGAAGAAGAATAGTCTCTCAAATGTGACAGTGGCGTTTTCCTCCCTGAATAATGAAACCGTATATGTAGGAGCCTCTCGGAGCCCAAACCTGAAATTAATTCTGGATTTGAAATTCAGACAGGGACATTGTTTTATTGAAATTCGCAGAGGAACGGTGTTGTCTGTCGGAACGGAGAAAACCTCGACATTACTTTGATGGATTGCATCAATTTTTGGGAAACTCTGAGGGTGACTCCTTTTAACTGTGGTGGGATCTGAAATTTGATGAAAAAGTGCACCATAAAGTTTCTACTGACAGGTTTGAACCCATATGTTCATCCTCTGACTTCAATATGGGCTCAAAACACTAATAGTGCCAAACAAGACCGCACAATAAAAGCTCTGTGTTGTACCAAATTATCCAAGGTTGTTTTAGAAAAGTGGATTTGAGTTACCGTACAGAAACAAGAGGTCAGAGTTAGCCAAATGTTGTCCATCAATAAGTGCTAAAACTTGGTTTGTAAGTTGCATTAATAACTACTGGAATCAGTGATCTCATGAATTAGGATGCTCATGTCATCTTCACAAGTTTTACTTCCTGCGGCAGCAAAAAACTGACTTTGATTTATTGTCTATCGTTGTGCTAAATGCAGAAATCTTTAAGCTTGTCACAGTCAGCAAGAAAATGGTTATTTTATTCCGAAAACCTAGTTAGAAGTAGGCTTACTGTGTACTCTTGGATGTCACATTTCTATCAAACTGGCTGTGTAGCCGGAGGAGTTGCCCTCTGCTGGCCATGGGGGAGAATGCAGGTTTGAGACGCTTCAGATTCAGATTCAGACGACTCTATTAATCCCCGAAGGAGAATTCATTTCACAGTAACCCACCTTATTAAACGATTAAGGAACAGACAAATATCAGACATTCACAGCAGCATATGCCCCAAACACTCCACTGTCAGCACCATAAATCAGCAATAAATAAATAAATAGATAAATACATGTGCCTCCATTTAGGATTCAGTTTTTCTTGTTTTTTACAAGTGATTTTAGTCTGAAATAATTACCCTGCAGGGGATCCCAGTCAGATCTGCACCTTCATAGAGAAACTGGAGACTGTTATTGTAGAGGTCAAGTGTGAAGTTTTTACTCGACAGTTTCACAAACGATCAGAAAGACCGGCACAAACACAAACTTTACAGTCAGGAGGGTTGGTAGACCTTTACTTTTTCAGTCAGGTAGCCACTTAGTCTGAGCTCTACTCACCCAATCCTTAAAAAAAGGGAACTAACCCTTTAAAATACCCTTAACATGACTGTAGAATCAGGGATTATGTCAAATTTGGTCACTCAAAGCAAAAATTCAGTGATCCAAACTGAGTTTACACTACAGTTTAGGACTCCAGTTCCTGGATTAATCCCACCGCTTTAAGACTGATTTTGAGAAGAAGAAAAAAAAAACAATTTACTGAGCAGGTACATTTAAAAATTAGTTTTTGAGCTTGTCGTCTTCTAGCCTTTCCCTCTGTAACACTGGTGACAGTTTAACAGCTGTTTAAGACCTTTGCTGGGTTAATAACTCATAAATCCACCTCAGGTTTTTGTTAACTTGTTCCACTTATGATCAAAACTGCGGCACTGTAGAGATGAGCGACAGCTGGCCTCGGTCAAGGCTGCAGATAAATGGCGCCATTTGATAAACTGAAGTATGATTCAGACGTGTTAAAAAGAAGAAAAAGAACTAATTTTGGTGCTAATGAACATTTTTGAAGAGTCAAAGATCCTTTTCTGGGTCATCTCTTTGCATTCAGAGGCCGCCAACTGCATCCACATGCATATTAAATAAACACGTGAACCTTATATCAAGCAGTCACCATCATGGGACTGTTCAGCATAATCACAGGGAGCGCATGCAAGAGAAAGTCATGTTCTCGGGTAAAAAGGGTTCACCAAGTAAGTCCAAGTTACTTTGACCTGCAGGTAGCATGTTTTGAAGATTACAGCGTGTGGCGAAGCAAAGGCTTTGTGCATTTAAGACCTTGTGGGATGAACGGGTCCTTTGTAGCTTTTAGTTGCCAGGTGACAGTGGAAAAAAACGCATTTTCCTCCGCACAATTCAGCCAAGGAGGCAGTTACAGACCCTGAGGGTAAGACTCCAGGTGGAGTTAATAACTATCATAATTGATTTTTTCATGCACCGGTAGTTTAGGAGTGGTTTGCCAAGATTGGCCAACAGCTTCATCTGCAGCGCAACACAAGTGGGACTTCTCGGGAGATGATTATAATGGAGCGAACCGTGTTTCTTTAGATTTGTCGAAAAGGGGGAAAGAAACTTTTCTAACCTGTAGCTTTACAGGAAACATATTTCTCCCGTCCATGCTGAGGGAAGAGGAGTGGCAGACCGAGCTGTTTGAACCCCCTCTGAACTATCCCTCCCTCTGATCACTGGATCAGCATGGCTCTACAAACACACAGAAACCAACAAAGGAGACATTTATCCTGTGTGTGTTTGTCTGTGGTTAGACGTGGCTGCCTGTGCATACACCCCCAGCATACCAAACATGTAATGGAGCACGCACACTCCCCCTAATTGTTATTCTGTTGACTTTGCGGAGTGGGGGTAGAGACTTAGAGGCAGCCCAACATGCTGATAGGAGACACGTGTTCATGCTATAAAGGTATGAGCCCTTTTAAACCCCCGAGAGTGTGTGTTTTAAGCTCCTATTTTGCTCAGTGCGTGCCACCTGCATACAGATCCTGCAAAAGTTTGTAAAGAAGAAGAAAGGCGCTGATTGGAGCAGTTTCTGTGCAAAGACGAGTTATTCAGTTATTGGCACAGGACGTACGAGGCTGGCTGAAATTTTCAGTTTTTGTATAAAAAAGTAAAAACATTTAAAAAGTCGCTGAAAAAAATAGATGAAAAACTTCTAACAAATAACATGAATTTTAAAAAGATAGTAACATGACAGGGAATAAAAAGTGCACCACTTTGTGAGAGACTGTGTGTTCAAAAAGCGCAATAATTTCAAAGTGTTTAGAGTAAAATTGTGAAAAATTGAGGATTTCATCACATACGTATAATTTTGCGATATTTTGTCTGGTGATATATCGTATCGCCTCATTAACCAAGTGTCGATTTTTTCAAATTAATTCCTCATATGAAGTCAAATATATGATAATGGAGAAAATAAAATCAACTGTTTGTCCAAAGTCAGTACAACAAATATATATATGAGGTTTGCAAGATGTGCTACATGAAAATAAAATACTGTGTAAATAAGACAAACATAGAGGAAAAACAAATGCTAAATTAGCTCAACAGTGTAAAGTTAAAATGTGTAAAAAAAAAAAAGTGTAAATACTGCAGTACTCGCTGTTTTGCAAAATGTTAAAAATCGCAATAATATCGTATCGTGGGGCTAATGGTGATTCCCACCCCAAATGCGTATTATATAGTTCAAAATATCCTTAAAAGATCTGGAAAATCTTGATGTTTGTTCTGGATGACTGTGATCTTTGGCCTTTAGGTGGAACAGCATCAAAAACAGGCACAACTCTGCAGTGGAAGTCACCGCATGGGCTCAAATTCGCTCCCACAAACCACTACATGTGAACACAGTTTGTAAAACTTTTTATCTTTTTACTGTAACGGTACAGTGTCTTTCAAATCACATTGTTGTTTCAAATGATCCCATACTTCGACCCTATTGGCTGCTCTAACTGCCAATCAACACCAAAGAGAAGCCCCGCCTTTGTTCTCACTTTGAAAATCTGTGGAGTGAAACTCTTTCCAGGGTTCTCTGAGGTGAACGAGGTCAGGGAAAAACAGATTTGATGCTTCTGGCTGAACCGACTCTTGAGTGGGATGTTATTTTTCATTTGGCGTAACATGTTTTTCTTTCTTTTTGCTTCATGCCTTCATGTTTGCTGTATGTAAATAATTAAGCAGGAATAACCCAGCAGACAGACGACATATAAAAGCATTAAATATTCAGTCTTTCCATGTTCTGCGTTCATTTGTGTTTGCTGCTTGCGTCGGTCATAACATATGTGGTCCCCTTTTAATTCCTACTTCAAAAGTTACTTTAGTCTTTCATTTATGATTCAGCAGACAGGGTCACAGGCGGAGAGAAGGGGGTTATGGGGAATGACAGGACGGGGAGGGGTAAATATCAGAGCACGGCACACTGTTTCTGAGGTTTGTGGTCCTGCTGCTCAGAGGCCCCCACGTCTCCTCAGCTCCTGTCAGCTCATCAAGGCCAAGTCCCTGCCTATCCCCGGTGGAAAACCGCATCAAACAGCCGGGGGAGCCTTTTATCCCAAACAGAACGCCGCCCCTCGTCACAGCGGAGGCTCTGCAACAAGCTGCACGCGCACGCCAAGGAGTTTAACACGATGGAGTGAAAGTCGATACCCTGCCGAGGTGGCGAAGCTCCGACACAAGAGGGGGAAGCGGTGGAAAGGTCACCGGGAAAAGGGGATCTTGAAAGACACAGCTTGTCTGAGACAAGCGGGGAAGCCAGATGATACCAGGCAGGCAGTTAATGTCACGGTTCACTCTTTCGACCTTGTGCCAATTCCGATGTCTCACAATTAAGGCCAAACATCTTCTTTTAGTCGTCTCCACCAATTACTGCAAAGGTTACCGCTGCAGATGCTTGGGTATACAACCCCCCTTTTACATGTGTGCAATGACATCCCCATCTTATTTGGCTTCATTTTTCAACCTGTAGCCAAACTTCGACATGAAAAGGCTTGACTGCGCACGCCCAGAGACACAGAAGAGCTCTTTGTACTCAGGCTTGTTCTGCTCCATGCCATTTTTAATCTCGGGCAGAAGGAAAGAGAGCTGCTCCTCTTATCTTAGATGACATGGAGGCTTTGCTCCCCCCCCCTCTCTCTCCGCCGCTCCCTCTTCATCTCCTTCTTCTGAAACATAACCCTCTTTCATGCTTTCCCCTAGTGGTGGTTGTGGTGGCGAAGTGATACACTGGATGAGTTTTTGTTGAGGTTATCTAGTCTGAAGGCGGTTTCTTGATAAGTCAGGGTGAAGAAGACAAGATGAGGAGAGGAGTATTACCTTCATGGGCTGGTTTTTCATTAAGGCTGCTGCTGCACCGAGCTGTTGTCATTATTTTTAATTACCTTGGATTGGATGCACAGCACTATGAAGAGCTTATTTAACTTTCACTCTAAGGAGAGAGAGAGAGAGAAAGTGGACAACGTGGAGAAATCTTTTCTTTCTCTGAAATCTTCACGGCAGTAAAACAGTGACCCGGACGGTGTTTGAAGTATTTTACAACAAATGCCTCTTTACTTTTACATCGCACCACACAGCGGCGTTACATTGGAGTCCCAGTGTGTGACTTTACGGTGTCGTAGGAGCGTTAATGGTGCTGTGGGAAAACAAACAGGCTCAGCTTCACATGGACACACACTCAGGGACTCTGGTGAGACATTTTCACCATTTAGGACAACTTCGCCTCACACTATCAACATTTCACTCCGTCTACTCACTTATTTGTAGATATTTTTGCCTTCGTTGGGATAGCCAGGCTAGGTTTTCTTCAAGTAAACTGAACAGCTTGTGTAAATTGACTAAGAGTAGCAGTAATTCAGCTTTAACAGTACACATGTAGAGGTAGTATGCAGGGGTTAACCCTCCAACCACCGGCGTAGGTACCAGATGTGTTCATGCTGCCAGATTGGCCCGACGCCGATCGATAACGTCACGTTATAGGCCCTTTGGATGTCCCTGCCCGGCCCTTCGTGAGGTCCATCAATCAAATCATCAACATGCTATAAAAGTGTGTTGCTTTCATTTTGAAAAACTAACCGTTGTTTTATTTTCGTTTGGACGCACGTGCAAATGCCGAGTGGAATTGCCGTAGTGTGACGTCTTTAACTGGCGCAGGGCCCCGGGCCAATCTGGCAGCCCGAACACATCTAGTACCAGCATAGGGTTCGGTACACAGGTAGGCAGTCACACAGGCAAAACTCAGTCCATAAACACAATCAAATTTAAAACAAGAAGACAAACAAAAGGGAAACGTTTGACACAAAGGAACAAGATCAAGTGGCACAGAAGTGAAAGAAGGCGGAGCTTTAATACACACAGGGAGTGGAGATAATTAGACACAGGTGGACCAGATTAGGGCGATCAGGGAGCAGGAAGTCACAGACCTGAAACAAGAGACACTGGTAGGTTTCAAAATAAAACAGGAGGGACATAACAAGAAACAATAAATTAACTGAACTAAACCAAAGACATGACAGGTGCTCAATTTGAAAATAAAAATTCAACACAAGAAAGTTTTGATCGTCTGCTTTTCTGTGTCTGGATCGGATATGATCAGTTCAGGCGGATAGAGAGGTTGTCTGTTACTTTCTAGGTTAAAAAAAAAAACAGCTTATGTTACTCTTAAGACGGTCATGGTTTAATTGAGAGGATCTACGTCAAGAGAGAGGACATGTAGCTCCTAACAGCCATGAAATCTGCTTCCTAATGAAGACCTGAACGGCGTGGTGGAACAAGGTGACAGAACAAGCCTCGGCCTTTATAAACCCACAGCCCTCAACGTTAAAGAAGGCGTGTTTGATCCGATGCGTGAAAGCACCGTGTCCCTATAACATGCTCCATATTATCGCCAAACTAAAGTCCAGCAAGCACGCAGAACATAACTGTATCCAATCTATTTCTACGCCGGATCTGGGTCTTTGTAAAGGGACCCGTTGGGACTTGTTTTCCAGACCTTAAACTCAGACAGAAGCCCTATAGGTTCAATTTGTTCTGCCAATTATTATCCCCAGCTCTGCCACAGTGATGGAAGGTGCCGTTCAATGGGTCTGAATGCCACCGTCTCTACGGCCCGCCCCGACAAAGAGGGAGCCCCCTGCCCTTTTTTTTTTCAGGGGTCCAGTCAAGCATTCGCTGACAGATCGGCTGGGGCGCTAACCAGTCAGGTCTTCAAAGAGACAAAGAAGACAGGGGGAGACGGGGGGCGGCGGCGAAGAAGAATGACCTGCCAAATGAGAAAGAAGACATATTGAAAGGGACAGAGAGGGAGAAAGAAAAAAACATATTGAACCGATGGAAAAGTGCAACCTTTTGACCATCTGGCTCAGTGGGTGACAACAGCCCCTCATCTGTATTTTTAGAGCTGTACAACTCACCAAATTACTCTGTCAGGAAGATTAAGGAGAGTCAAAAGGCTGTCGAGTGGAAAAAAAAAGGGCTGTGGAGAGAAGAGAAACTTAAAGTCTGGAGCCAAGTCACTTTATTTTGACGAAATACGAAATGTGACAAGTTGGAAAAAAAAAAAAACATTTTAATGAAGCTAACAGCAAAGATGGTGAAGTGATGGAGTTCAAACTTTTATGTGGACTGATACAGATTGCTTAAATGTGTATTTAAGGCGTTTGACTCCAGTTGCAGTTCCTTAAGTGTCCACTGGGGCTGGTTCTAAAAGTCAAAAAATCCCCATTAGGTCCCACATTAAAATGTTGATTTTTACACATGTTTACACAAGATTTCCACACGTTAAAAGCTGAGTACAAAAAATAATTTGGGGTATGATGCTCACACTTAAAGGGATATTACGGCGTAAAATTAAGTTAGGGTCAAAAACACACTGGACTGGCCTGAGGTCTCGCTACAATCAAACAGCTGCTGGAAGAGAGTAGGTGAGTTGTGTTTATTCTCTATGCTAAAGAAATTAGGCAAAGTTAAAAAGATGTTTGGTGGCTAGTACTATGGCTGTGACCCTATATGTCCTGTTGATGAAGTTAGGTGCTGTTCTGAGCATTATTTGTGGCTATAGAGTGGCGTTTTGGTTGAGCGCGTGGCTCTCTGTATTGCTATCTGCGGTCATTACTAAAGTTGGTATAACTAGAGAAGCAAGCGGTCGGCAACATTCATCTCTCGACGGGGTGTCTAACTCGATGCTACAGTGTGTTTGACCCTAAAAAAACTGCAGTTCCTTAAGTGTCCACTAGAGGCTGACTCTCAAAGTCAAAGAATCCCCATTAGATCCCATATTAAAATATTGATTCTTTACTGAAGAATTTTACATGTTGACAGCTTCATACTAAAAATAGTTTTGGATATGATGCTCACACTTAACTCGTTCAAAACATGGAGGTGAATATGAGCGGAGCCCCTGCTTGACCGCTAAGAAAACCCCCTAGCTCGCCCAGGTGACATTATCTATCGAGTTAATTCTACGGACATTATCTAACTTGAAAAAAGGGAACTCAAATCTTTTTACATTTCAGTTCATGCATCGATGAGTAGAATAAAGTCGCCTCCCTATCACCATTTTTCAGGATTGTAAAAAAAAAAAAAACTCTATAAAATGAAAAAACAGAAAATAAGAAGCGGCGCAGCGGCCCAGAACCTTTCTTGTTTCTGTGTAATATATTCTCATTTCTGTTTAAACATGCTTCACTTCATCTCCAATATGATTTCACTCTCCCACTCCTTCTCCTCCTGGGGAGAAATATGCAAGAGACTGAACTCTGAAAAGCTCTTTTTGCTGCATTAATTCTGTGATTGCTTAAATGAAACACTGCTATTTTCTCACTCGCTGCTAAACAGGGATCAGATCTGCGTGACCATGACTAATCTGCCGCTGCGCTTTTTGTGCGTATTGGCGTGCACCTAATTTTTCAAGATCTTTTTGCCAATTTGGGAAACTAATTGCTTTGACTCTTACTGGGCAAGCGGGGGGAATATAATGCAGTTTAAAGCTTCATCTTTTGTGCCCATAAATCCCCGCGCAGATCCAGCCGTGTACGACGCCGGCTCATTAAAATGCATTAGGGCAGGTTCTCCGGCCTTACAGGGAAGGTGGTTTTTTCCCCCTTCAGCCTTTGCGTTTTCTACTTGGCTGGTCAGTGATCCAAGCACCCTGCACCCCCAGCAATTTCAACACCCACACTCCAGAGTTTTCCTCACCGTGCTGGTCACTTTATTCATTTGCAAATACCCAGAGATGAAATGAATTGCTTCTGCGGTGCGTGCAGGCGCCTTTTCCTCCACTGCTTCCTATCCACTTCTTCTGCTCTCATTCCTCCACGCTTTACTTGCTTCCACCCCCTCCAACGCTGTAATTTCACCCCCAATACTGCTGTCAATCTACCCCCCTACAACTCCCCCTCTCTGCTCTCCTCATTTCTCCACCTCTTTGCCTTCACATGCCAGCGGTTGTAGCTGGAGGAGGCCGTCCCACTGATTGTAAAGAGAGGGACAATTGCTCCTTTAGCCTGATTGAGCCCCGAGATAGGCAACACATTGGATGAAGAGAGCGCAGACGGCAAAGAGAGGCAGGAAACTCCAGGAACAGATAGAGAAGACATAAATATATGTGTATTTTTTTACAGATTCAGAGAGAGGGGAAAACTTTACAAAGAGGACAGTGAGAGAGCAAGGTGACTTTAGGGAAGCTGATGCACTGCAGGCAGTCGCTTTCACAACTTTTACAAGGCAAATTTAGCAAGCGTGCAGGGAAAAGAAGAACAAAGAGATAAAAGAGGAGGAAGAACGAGTATTTTTCACAGAAGAAGAAGAAGAAGGGAGGAAATGGAATAAAGTTGAAAAGGAAAAAAAAGGTAAGGAGGGGAATTTCCTGCTTAAAAATGATCCTTGACTTTCACCAGTCATGTTTTGAAAAACAACCGTGAAACGCCAATGAGAGTCTCGGGCTGCAAACAGGAAACAGTGAGGATGATTTAAGCGTGGCTGGGGATTTGTCACCTGGAAGTGAGCGCAGACACGTGGTGGGAGCGGCATTTCCCCACTGAGCTGAATCAATGCTTGATTTTTCATGTGTTAATTGGTAAACAGTGTTCAGGAGGACAAACGCTGCACATCAGGCTGTCAAAAGTAGGGCACGGCGGTGATTCAGGAGGGGGTTTTGTGGCACGCTAAGAAACTTTTGTGAGCAGGAGATCCGATTCTCGGCACGTCTGCTCTGTCACTACTTCAAACAAGTCATGCTGAAGGAGAGGAATGCCTATCTGCCTTTTACGGACCTCTGTTTGGCATTCAGACCTCGCTCCTCAGCCCCAGCCAAGGTTCTGGTTTCTCGAGATGAGGACAGATTCATTTTTTTTCCCCGCTGTAAAACCCATTAAGCTATCGCCTGTCTTGTAAGCTCAGCCCGCGGTATAAGACGGCAGATTGGCAGGTGTGCTCTCGCCGGGGCAGACAGACTTTTCTTGCTATTATCAGTGTCAGCATGAGGCGCTGAAGGATCCTGTGAAAGATGAGCGTTGTGAACAGGCCTCCGTTTTAACAACACCTTTCAGCTTTCTCTGCTGCCTCTTGTAGGCTGAGATAACTTAAATGACACTCCGGCTCGGGATGCAGGTTTTAAAAAAAGACCAGCTGAATCCACGTGAGGAGGGGAAACTCTACGTCCAGACTTTCATAAAAGACGAGGCTGCTGGGTGACACTGATTGCAAACTTCTTACTCATGATGCTCATGCGTAGTGACATAATTTCCATGCACCAGTGCTTGGGATGAATGCCAGTTTGTGTGATTCAATTTCTCCCTAAATGACGAGGCTGCTTTTATCGATGAATGTGCATCCAAGGCGGAGGCGAAGGGCAGCGAAATGAGTGCAAAGTTGGAGCAGGAAGAAGGAGTGTGTTTGTTGTGGGTTGCAGGAACGGGAGTAGAGCAAAACTTCTGAAGCTCAGCCAGCCCATGAAGGCAGATAGGGAGCAGAGGGAGGGAGGGACGAGTAATTAAAAGCACCTTACAGTAAAATGAGCCGCAGGGAGGGAGACGCTCGTCACGGCACAGCGGTGGCGGCGCACACAGCGGTGCATGCAGCTGCACACGCCACGGCCCAGGGAGCTCCCCACAATTAAAGAGCTCGGCGTAGGCAGGTTCAAAGCCTGCACCATGCCAGCGTCCCTGTCCTGAGGGGGGGCGAGGACGGAGGAACGAGGACGAATAGAGGATAGCACTGACAACCCAGTGTGCAGGCATGCTGTGTGTACACAGAGGGCTCGTATTTATACACACACACACACACACATACACACACACAAACAGCTGTGTGATGTTGAGAGTTCAGCCAGAAAACTCACCTCACTTTCAGACGGTCTGGTTCTTTGAAGGCTGCCTCCGCTCGCTGAGAATCGGCTCATGAAACCGGGTCTTTGCTCCGGGCGGCGATGATATAGAAACGAGAAGACCTGGCTATCTCATTTTATCTGTTACAAACATAAAACAAACCAGAGACCAAGACTTGATTAAAAACAAGTTCACAAAGCAGCAGAGCCTGAGTTTAATCACACAAACAGGCAGGTAGATAAAGATTTGTAGAAACTTCAGGTTTAGTTCCTCTGTTGCTCCTGGATTATTTGGAGCTTCTGTGGAGATAGTTTAGTTTAAAGACAAGTGTTGCACTGTGTCGTATAATTTTGCACCTTATTGAACCACATCATTTTCATGTATCGTATCATATGATTCAATACAATATCAAACCAATCCTTCTGTATCTGTCTGTATTATATCTTATTATACCAAATCCTAACAAACGGGTTTACAGCATATCCAATCTTACTGAATCATATTGTAAACATAGACTGCATATAGAATGGACGCCATCTGCCTCCTTTCTGGGTGAAGCTACCGCAAGAACAGCACCCTCTGGTGACGGGCTGCAGTATATGTCATAAATCCCGCCTCCTCCAGCAATCCCTATGGAGCTGTAGGCAAACTTTATAAATTAATTACGTGTTTTCTATGATTGAAACTTGATACAGCCTATGGGCGTACGAAGATTGCGTAGCTCACCCGGGGCACTTTCGGCGACTCTCCTGCCGAATGCGCACAATGTTACTGCGCAAGTGGTGGTCCCAGGAAGTGGAGAAAATCCCAGAATTCGGGAGCGATTCGGCTTTAAATCCGTAAAATGACGTAAGTTGGAGCCAAGTTGTCCATAGTGTACAGTATACAGTCTACGATTGTATCCAATGATCATCACATGGTATTGTACTGTATTCTCACTGTATCGTATAGTACAGCAATGTGTCACATGGTATTGTATCCTGTTATATTGTATTTTTTTTGTTTTGCATCATAATGTATCATATCAGAAAGTATCTTAACGTAGCACATTGTTGCATCGTACCGTATCTCACTGTATCGTATAGTACGGCAGTGAGTCACATGGTATTGTATCCTGTTACATTGTATTTTATCAAAGGGCTTTGTATTGTATCATAATGTATCTTAATATATCATATCAGAACGTATCGTAACGTAACACAATGTTACATTGTAGCGTATCTCATTATACGTTACAGTCGTACTTTATTCTGTTTTGCAACTTTTTTCAACGGTTTGTTTTACTAAAAAAAAACTTAAGTTGGCATTACTTTAAAACTTTCAAGTCCTAATTTCACGCTACAGATAACTTATTTTCCTGCAAAACTAAGTTTATTCAGCGTCTAACATGAGCTAGACTTTTCAATAAGTGTTTTCAATAACAGCTCATATACAGGTAGCAAAGACTCAAGACGCTAGACCAGTAAAATTCGAGGACCTCTTTGTTCTGAACATCCCCCTCATGTTCATAAAAAGCACATGCTGTACAAACCAGAGGCCAAGCCCTGTTTTGAAGAAGTTGGAGCAGCAGCAGCAGAGTCTAATTTAATTATCTGAAAATAAACAGAAATTAAAAATACACTCTTGGTGCGGGGATGCTGCTCGTCACGCTCAGCTCTTGACCCGGGAAGAGAAATTAGATTCAGCTCTGACTCTCCTACATTTTGCAACAGGCTTATTGTGCTCGGCTTATTTGGAGACACTTTCTCAGGCGGGGGGATTCTGCTTCTTAAAAAAAAAGTAGTCAAAGTGCAGCCATGCGAGTTCTCAGCCGCCGGGGTCGGAGATATGCGCAGCCTTGGTGGTGGCGTCACTTTCCAGCGTGCATAATCAATTGTGGTTAACAAATTGGCCGTGACGTTTTGCCCTGCTGGGGTGGGAGGATCCCTTTTTCATGCTTCCACCCAGTTTTTAAGGACCTTTTCCACAGTCTGGGAGGCCTCCTTTAACAGAGGAGGTGAGTGGAGCACAGACATGGCCACTGTGAAATTAACACTTAATAATGCTCCACATAGCACCTAAACAGGGCTGAACCATGCTAATGTACCACACACCGAGATAGCCCTCGGTAACCTCTCTCAGGAAATGGAAGTTTTCAGGAGCAAGAGGTCTGAGCGAGGCGCATTAAAACTTGAAGACTGGAACTAATGGTGACAATCAAGTAATCATTTGGTCAATTAAAGGTCAGACAGAGGTGGAAAACATCTTGACATTTTCCCAAAGCCTCGGATGACGTCTGATTTTTGGCGCCAACCTGTAAAAATCCAAAACTCTTGAAGTGTGTAGTAATCAAAGTCACAGAAATGAAAGATAATCAAAGTCTGGAGAAGATAAAATGAGATATTACATGAGAGATCAAAAAGTACGTAGCAGTAGTTTGTTTGTTTCTGGTGCATAAACATGGTGTTTACCAAATCTTACATTTTCACTGCCCACACAACAACCATTAAGCTGTTCTTTTCAAAAACCTCCATCCTCCATAAACTCTGATACATGTTGACTAGAACCACTAAGCAATAGACGGCTATAAGACGTCTATTAAACCGTCTAGATTCTTAGAATTTAGACGTTGCACTTTAATCCATTATTTGATAACTATTTATTTCAAAAAGCAAATGTGAGTTGCATAACTGAACTTTGTCCAAATTTAGATGTCTCAAAAAACTTTCATTTTTAGACCAGTCGTCAAGGCTACATTAAGATATCTTTTAGACCAAAAAATGCTCAGTGAGGAGGTCAACTATATTTCCTAAATTAGCCTCAAACATGTGGACGCAGTCTTTTTTAAAAACTTCAAAACAAGGCCATAAATGTGTCTGTTTGTTGCTGTAGAAATAAACATTTTAACATAGGTGTCAATGGAGATGTGTGACTTTTGGGACCTGCCTCAAGTGGACACTCAAGGAACTGCAGTTTTAAATACTTTGTGCACCATATTTCTACAACAAACAAAGATCCTGGACAGCACTTAAACTAATCACGCTAATGCCAATGTGTGAATTAAGACCACAAGAGGCCTCCATGTAGGACCCGGGTATCACTTTTTCGTGGATCAGGGTTTGAAGGACCTTACAAAGCGTCTTAAAGTCCAAGTTTGACGTTTTTAAGTGAAGTAAATTAGTCATGAAACAGAAATGAAAAATCTGTTTCTGACTCGATCTGTGAATCTCCGGCTCATTAATCCGAGCAGGTGGATTCAGCGAGGTCGCGCCCGCCGCCTCAGCCCAGTGGCGGTTCGGTCAGTCGTGCCGTCGCAGGTGTTTCTTGTTTGTTTTAGAAAGACACATCCACCTCTCTCTCTCTTTTTGCGTGGGAGCGGTTTGATTTAGTCTGTTGTTGTCAGATCACAGTTAATGGAGCAGCAGGTGGACTTGGAGTAAGATGATACAACAATATGGACTATCATTTTGTCACACCAGCTGCTCCCCCTGACAATCACCGGCTCTTCCTCTGTCACTCAATTTCCTCTTCTGTCTCAGCAAACACATTTTCTTTCAAGATTTTTTTTCCTTCTTCCAACAAACATAAAAATCGTCTGTTTCCGCACCTGTTTTCTCCTCACTTTGACAAACTAACATCTAATTTTGTCATTTTTACTGCAAACAAAAGCAGATTTTCAGCCAGAGGAGAGTGCTGTGGGAAAATACCTCTCAGCTTAAAGTCTGGCAAATCTTCCTCATATGATTCCTCCTCCTCCTCCTCCTCCTCCCCGTCTATATCCGCCTTTTCGCAGCTTGTGTGGCAAACACCAGCTGCTTTTCTCTTTAAACAAGCAGAATGCCATAAGATTAGCCAAAGAAAGATGGGTGAAATGTTTAGCCAGCACAATTACGTAGCATGTCACCTCATTAGTTTCGACAAAATGCGAGTAAAAAGCTCGGGTGCAAGCTGTGACCTCTGAGGGGCGGGGCTGGAGAGGCGAGAACGGGGGTTTGTGAGCGGAGAACAGGGAGCTAATTTTACTTCATAATGGCAACCAGGCGGCTTGAATGGGCAGAAAAGAGGGGAGCAGGGAGGTCAAGTGTCACCCCTCCTGCCAAGCAGCTCCCCTGACAGGAGGAGGAGGCCCAGAAACACACACTCCAACACACACATCCACACACACACACGGCCTCCTGTTGACAATGCAGCCACGCCCCCCACCCTTCCCTGCCTTTTGTGCCTCTTCAACAATGATTAACTGAGTTTGGCGATTCAGAGAGAGTCTACAGCGCACAATGCACTCTCTCTTACAAAACATAATGGAGTCAGCCGCGAGTCAAACAGTCTCTCTTTCTTCCGCTGTTTTCTTCTTCTTCTTTTTTTTTGTGTCAGCTTTAAAATTTCCATCTCCCCCTGCTAACAGCCTCTCTGCTTTTATTTTCTTTTCACTATGCTCCCCTTGTTGCCTTTTGACCATAAATCCGTCTATTTTACCCCCCGAGCTAGTTAATGCAGGAAGAGCGAGCAGATGCCGGCGTCCTCCTGATACATAAAAATAAGATGCAGATGGAGAAAGGCGGCGTGGGGGCCATGCGCTGCATCGGAAAAGGCATCGACTGTCTTGAATAGATGTGTAACTTTAAAAATCATCTCCTGCAGGATTGACCTCGTTGATCGCATAGATCTAAATGATGTATGAATGGAAACAGAGCGATGCACAGGGAGACGGTGTTCAGAGAAACCTTACACTTGTAATGAGCGGTGCGCAGCGCTGACGGGAACTTGTAGAACATGGTGTGAGTAAAGCTGAGCAGGGGTGTTAACAGAAACACAACAGTCTCAGAACATCACACCCCCGAGCCTTTTACAGGAGGTGTGAAGGAGCTCACCTCTCCTCATGACAGGAGGAGGAGGAGGAGGAGGAGGAAGAGTGCAGTTACACTTGTTTTTTTTTACGGATGTGAAACGCCTGATTGTCCCGAGCTGGAGGGAGAAAAGCTGCTGAAGCTGGTGGATTCAAGGCGTGCAACTTGTTTTTTTTCTCCACCTGCAGGATACTAAAACGACTGTAAACGCTGTAATTGCAAGCTAGGCCAGTAGTTGGCGGTATATTTATGTGCACAAACACAACAGTGCATACAAACGAAATAAATATGTACAATCAAAATGGATATGTTAGTTTGGAGAATAGGGAAGGATGTCGAGAACATGTAGATCAGTATCTAGATGTGTAGTCGGTTGATATCCAAATAGCTGTTGCTCTTATTCTAATAAAGTAGTTGTAATATCAGCATACCCAAATAAAAAGTATAAAGTATCAGAACCGGTATAAACATGATCTTAAAAACAGTTTAGTCAGCAGGATAAACGCAGCTCTGGAGTCCACTATTGTTATTATTGTTCCTCTTCTCGCTCATGGCTGTGCTAGCCTCATGCTAACGAGGCTGTCACTTTTATACAGATGATGCACAGATGAGGTGCATTTTCAAAAAGTTCCATTCAGAACAGAGCCGAAGCTTGTCAACAGGCGAGACAGGCAAAACAACCAGTGGTCAAATTGCAATGACATCTTTGATGGATACCCTGTCGCATTGCTACATGACCTACGTCCATCTTTATCAAAGTATTGTCAAAATCAGCCGTGAAGTGGAGATACTTATCATGAAGCGAGAACAGAAAGAGAAATAAAGAGAAAGAAATAAGGAGAAAGAAAGACAGCGGTAAGTGAAGCAGATAGCGAAGTGTAGCAAACACTTAAACTAGCATTAGGTGTCAGGCTGGCTGTTAATTGTTTGGTAGTTAGTTAGCCGTGTTAGCGAAGCAGGAAACGTTAGCATGTGGTTCCTGTTTTGGGAGGAAAAAGAACATGAACTTATCTCTGAAACACGTCAAAAGTTCATGTTTTGGTTGCCAGTTCGTCATTTTTGCATAAACAAACAACATAACCAACAGTAACTTACCGTTTTCTTGTCACATTAGTGTATAAATCTCAGTCTGTTTTGAGGCATCTCAAAATATTTCGTTTTTTTTTCAACTGTGTTCTTGCGCAAAGATTTCTATGACGTTCAGCAATGTGCAGATTTCATACAGACGCGTAGCTCTTTCTAGAACTGCCTCTTATCCCCACCCTGCCTTTAAGTAAACACTGCACTTCAAACTGCACAACAAACCAGACGCCTTGTCCAATCCACAAAACACTGAATTGTAGATTCCCAATCCTAGAAGCCAGTGAGTTTGTCCTGATGTCTGACTAACTCATGTGAACAAGAAGCACTCCTTGCACAAACTTCAATCTATAGCCACATTTCCCTATCAGTGACATTACAGTTTCATATACTCTTGACATTTCCTGTCTTTGCTCCTCATATCTCCTCCCTCTGGTGTTAGAGCAACGCTGAATGGCAGCGTGACATATTTTGTTTCGTACCTATTGTCCCCGTCTTTTTCTCCACATGTATTACCTCCTCCATGAGACCTCATTGGCAGAGGAAAAATAACCCCAGCATTCAGCAGTGACACACACACACACACACACACACACACACACACACACACACACACACACACACACACACACACACACACACACACACACACACACACACACACACACACAGACTCGGCTCATTATAACTCAACAAAAACTCAGTAGTGGAGGGCTAATGTGAAGGCAGAAGAAAGGATGTGGAGGACATGTGATCTGCAGGTCTCTCGCAGTGCAACACAGACTGTGACCCGGCTCATAACAAAAGGATGATGGCGCCTAAAAGAACATAAACCTGAGACTCATCTGCCTTTTTTTTCTCTTCGCAGGACGCCAACTGTTGCAAAAAATAAGGGAACAAGCCAACAACTCTGCTAGTGAAGGAAGAAGATCTTCAAAACACCGCTCTGTGCTTAACAATGGGAGACGGTTCATCCTTTTCAGCAGTTTCCAGAACCTTCCTCACAGTGGCCCTTTGCGTATTGACCCTCCTGCCTCAAAGCCTTCTGGGTAAACCTGCAGAGGAGGAACATGCGGGCAGCTCGGCGCTCCTCCAGAGAGTAAAACGAGGCTGGGTGTGGAACCAGTTCTTTGTCCTGGAGGAGTACACCGGACTGGAACCTCTTTATATCGGAAAGGTCAGTGTCGACAGCAGATGATGCCGCATTAGCATGCACACATACATGCACACACACATGAAGGTGTAACCTGAAGAAATGCAAACTGTACATGTTCAAGGCCCGGTGGGGGAGCAGCTTCAATGCCTGACCTTTTTGCTCGGTGTATCTCGAGTTAGGCGCTCCGCTCTTCGAGATTTCAAACCAAACTTTTTCAAACAGAGCCAAAGAAGTGAGCTATAGGAGAGCTCAGCAGCCTGGAGGTCATCAACCAGAGCCGAGTGCATGAATGCAAAAGACGAGATCATAGGTAGGCAGAAGCAAACTTCAACCACCAACCCCAATTTAATCCCTGCATGAGCACACGTCCACACGAAGACAGCCTCTTCTGTCCACTTTGAACCACAGCCAGACAGCAGTGATTGAGTTAATTGACTTAAACCCAGTCTTCACTCAGGAGTGGATGGTTCATCTGCAGCACAACAGACATGCTCTGAAAAGAGGCTGCTCACAAAGGAGCACTTTGATCGGTCAGTCACTAAAGTGAATTGAACAGTTGATCAATAGTTGTAAGGACAGTCATCAGAGAGAGAGAGAGAGAGAGAGAGAGAGAGAGAGCGAGAGAGAGAGAGAGGATTACTAATACCTCACTCAAATGGTGAAGTTTGGAGCCGTCTGAACAAAACTGACGCCATGAAAAATTGTGTTTTCTGTTCCCATGTGGTCATGAAATAATGTAAATGTCCTCCATTAATTCCCGCGTATGACAACTGCTATCAGCAAGCTTGTATTGTTTCGATGTTATCAGCTGTAGTCAATTAAAATTATCTGTGTGAGTAAACTGCAAATGAAACTGTCGCCTGGCAGCGTTGTTATCACTCACTGTATACTCAACTGTCGCTTCTCAGCTGGTTGAACCAAAGGAAGAAAACGGATTTCTTTACTTTTAAACATTTATTTGTGCATCACTATCAGAAAATCATTAGTATATTATTATTATTATTAAAATACTACATTTCCTAAATATCCTGAAAGTATTTGTGTAAAATCAAACAAGTGTACAGACTTTACAGTAATGCTAATGCCCTCCTTAAATCAGCAGTTAAATTAAGACTTGGTACATTTACACGCACAGTTAAGAGCACAGTTAAATTCTAGAAAGAAGCATGTCTTTGTATGCTTTCCCAATTGACCCATTAGTTACCAAAACAATCAACAAAACATGTCGGACAACTCTGACGCCTGTTTTCTTACATTCTTTCTTCATCTGTCAAAGTTTTGTTTCTAATTTATACTGTTTAACTTCCTGTGTGCAAACTCTTGAGTGTTTCCAGCATCCAGGTACACCAAGCTGGCAAAGTTCGATATAACGCAATTTTGTGTTCACACATATTCTAAAAGTCTTGTTTCTGTCGACCGAATGCAACTGATTTTTTTAGCAGCATATAAACTTACATAGTGTAGTCAATTACTGGACTGACAACCCCAGGTGTTTAAAAGTAAGTGTAAAAAAACTGCAGTTCCTCGAGTGTCCACTTGAGGCAGACTCCAAATCAGCAAAGACCTCCCATCAGGTCCCATATTAAAAATGATCACAGCCTGGAACAGGGTCTGAAATAAACTTCATCTGCTGGGTCAGCAGGTGCATAAAAAAGTTTGTTTAGCTGAGCAAATTTTTCACCTGCAAAAATAATTAATCTGTTTTTTTTGTGAAACTTGTATTTGTTACAGTTCTTTCTACTATGACATTTAAGTCAGGTTGAGTCAGCATTTCCAGTAGAGTAAACTCCGTCATCAGACTGTAAATGTCCATGAGTCACACCGTCTGTTGTGTCACATTTCAGTTGTGAGCCTGATAAGAAATCGTAGGAGAGTATTCAGGATCTCAGTTCCCATAAATTAAAACACATTTCCTAGAAATATCCTCATCCACTTATCCAAACACTTAACAGAACTCGTATAAGCCTGGGTCAGCTTTTTAAAACACTGCGGTACCATTTATCCTTCCAAATCTCCCTTTGAGAACAAAGTAAACCCTCCTAATTAGAGTAAAAGACTAATTTCGCTCAAATCACATGGGAGTAGTGAGGAAAAAGTCAGGGTCGAGGAAGTCACATGCTTTGAAAAGACAGGACTGTAATTGCTTATGCTGTATCCCTGAGTTTCTATAGCGAATTCACCTCAAACTTACCTCCTCTACTTTCTCTTTTGAGTTTTTCTCCTTTGATTCGGCTCAAGCCGCCCACCCTAATTTTTCCGAGCTGAATGAAATAAGTGAGTCTGACAGGCCCTGGTACTTCCCAGGGAGCAGGAGGCATTGTAGGACATGACAAGGCAGGAGAAACATGGGCTGTAGCCTCCCTCTGGAGCGTTTTCCCCCCTCAGCTTAGTATTCTTAGTATGCAAAGCCGTTGGGATGTTTGAGGTTCGGGCTTTGGGGACGGGGCTGAAATCGAGCAGGTAATTGATAGCCCGAGTGTCAGAGTCCTTCTTTTCATCGGCATGGTTGGAGAGGACGGATAAGTGTAAGAGAATGCAGATAAGGTGGCATGGAGGCAGCGCTCTGAGATATATCACCACAAAACTGACAATGGGGTGTTGATTAAAAAATGTATCCTGTGTCGAGCTTCAGGTGTGGAGCTTTGCAGGAGGAAATGCAGGTGGGCACGTTGTCCGACAAGATAGGGAAAGAGGTATTGTCTGCTTCTCAGAGAATGATGTTGCTGTTTTGAAGATTGCTTTTGAATCGTCACCAGAGGAATAACAATGAATGCTGCACAAACTCGAGTTCGACAACCCAAGTTTGGTCATTTCACTTTGCGGGGAATAGACGGTCAAAGGCCAAACGGCAAATCTGGAAAGCGTTTCTACCGCCAGCGGGAGGGATTTTCACCGCCTCTGTGTTGTTTGTGCTCAGTGCTGTTGGTTTTATGTAAGACAAACATCAATAGGGGCATTTAATTTCGCTCCGCCAATGTGATGGGAGTCGGTACTCATCATACACAGAGACCCTTTAAGTACGAAGTAAGCAGTGATTGCACATCAGCAGGCTGGAATTTGCACTTAGAGGCCACAAAAGGCTCCTGATTGCACTGCAGGGCCCAAAGCAACAATCAGGCAGCGAGCTGTGATTAGACGTCTACTCGCAGCTACAGTATTAAGGTAAACCACACACCACCTGTGAGTGTCTAGTGTTAACTCATCTACAGGCTTAAAAAATACTCATTTTACAATTTTAGGAGACAAAGCAGAACAAGACAGGATTTATGACTTGGTACAAAACCAAATTTTGGGGGTTTGGTGAGCCGGTTTATAAGCAGAGCTGAAACTGTCTCTGTTAGCTATGTAGGCATGATATAGAGCTAATTATTAACAATTTTATACACATTTAGTCTTTGTTCATCTTTTAATAAATGTCTCCAATACAAGACAAAATACGGGGTCCACTTTCGTTTGTCTGGATTAGGTAAAGTTTGTTCCATGTAAGTTTGACTTTATGCTGCCTCCGTAGATCTTTCATATGTATGCTAACGCTAAACCTAACCCCCAATTTTCACCACATCTGGAATGGCTTCGATCTGGAACAGCGGTGATTTTCGCTGTCCACCAGTTCCTACCAGATCCGTCTGAGAGGCGAATTGCGTCGCGGATTACAGACAGCAGAAATTGCAAGAACTCACAAGAACCCGCGATTCACGTGCAATCGTGCGATAACAAGTTGTCTCTAGCCACATAGGCTAACCATATAAGCAGTAGATTGTGTCCTTCCAAAGGAGGAAATCCACTTCTTGACTTCTAGAATCAGCATCTCCTCATCCATGGTGTCTTTGGGTGAAATGTTGTCTATAAACCTTTCACTTGTTCATCCCCGCCTGTTACATGGCCTTTCCAGCACGGGTTAATCTGTGCTGAATTTACCTGGCATGCTCCAACATCCGGAAAAAATAAAACTCTTGCGATCAGCTGCAGAGTCCGGCGATCCGCAGCGGAATGGAAAGAAGCCGGTGGAAATTGACACGTTAACTTGAATGGTTACGATCAGCTACGATTGGCAGATACAACCCTTTCGTAGCCGTTTCAGATGTGGTGGAAACTGGAGGTAACTGGTACCAGGAAAGCTAAGTCAGAATCACAGACTTCCACTTTGTTTTCTGAAAATCCCTGTAAATATCCCCACAGCTTCACTCCGACATGGACAAAGGCGACGGCTCCATCAAGTACATCCTGACAGGCGATGGCGCAGGTTCCACCTTCACCATCGACGACAGCACCGGCGACATCCACGCCATCCAGAGGCTGGACCGGGAGGTGAAGTCCCAGTATGTCCTGAGAGCTCAGGCTAGAAACCGGCTGACGGACAGACCTCTGGAGCCAGAGTCCGAGTTCATCGTAAAGATCCAGGACATCAACGACAACGAGCCGAGGTTTCTGGATGGACCGTATCAGGCGAGCGTCCCGGAAATGTCCAAAATAGGTGAGTAGAGGAGCAGAGAGCGGACAGATGGTCAGAGACATGAACTTAAAGTGTTTCTGGGTATTTTAAGGTGTTTGTTTTTAAGGGAGTAGCTTCCACCTGAACTTCAGTGAAGTGCATAATAGTGTTGTGCCGCCATCTGTTTCATTCAGTATTCATAAACCTGTTTGTGGTTACTTTGAACTACAAAAGCGTGGATAATTCATGTAGCTGCCCAAGCCACAGATGGACCAACTCCACCCAAACTCTGTGCTGATATTAGCAGACCTCACTGACATCTTTCTTTTCACTCCTCATCAGCCCACCTGTAGTCAGAAAAACTTCACTTAATCTTTAATAAAGTAAAAGCACAGAAGTTCAAAAAGAAAAAGAAGCTGGAAAAAAGATAAGGTCAACTTGTTAAATGAAGTTAGATTAAAAAGTTCACACAATAAGAGAAAAAGTAACCTGCTGAAGGCCATGTCTACAAGCTGGAAAACTCAATGACCTTAATATGGTATATAAAAGACTGTAACAATAATAAAAATAACTTAATTTATGTTGCAGCTTTAAAAGCAAGGGTTAAAAAGAGTTTAGACGGGTGAGAAAGTAAATATAAGAGCTAAAAACGAAAGACTTTATAAACACGTATTGGGAAATAATCCAAACAATTGAGTTAAGCTGCTAAAATTGTCTTTACATGACAGTATGGTGCCCTCCTTCAATTGGGATAAGCCCCCAATGGTCACCACAGCTGACCAGAGCCTCAGTCCAAAAAGTCTGTCCCTGCCAATGGCTTCAAGATCTACCTTTATCTCAGAGGTCATGATTGTCCCTCTCCTATGTGCCATGTCCTCTCTAATCAATGGAGGTTAAAGGTTTGGAAAAGACGATTTCTTGACGATATATGGCGCACATTAAGAAGAGGGATCTAAGCGATTTGATGGATCATAGACATTCAAAGTTAATCATTGCATCAGACCACCTGTGGTAGCAGGCGGTTAGAATCAAATATGATCGTCACCTGACCATCGCATAACACTGTTGACCTCTGCAAATTAGCAATGCAGCTCATACATAAAGTCTAATCTCGTTCCCATCATTCCCATTTCTTCTACCCAGGAACATCTGTAATCCAGCTGACTGCGACAGACGCAGACGACCCCACCTATGGCAACAGCGCTCGAGTGGTCTACAGCATCCTGGAGGGTCAGCCTTACTTCTCAGTGGACGCCAAGACTGGTAGGACTGCACGCATGCTGCAGAGACTCCCTCTGAAACACAGCTTTTTATCTGTTACATGAGGTGTTTGATGTTTTTCAAACCTCTCCAGGAAAGTTTAAGCATTCATGAGCTGGGTATGAATTGGTAATGATGTTAGATAACCTGATAAAGCCCTGACTTCTGGGATTTGCTAACACTCATCTGACAGCTTGTGTTAAATCTCCACCTTGTTTCTCACTCCATATCCCACTATAATTGCACCAAAGTCTGATTTTAGCAGTCCGCATTGTAAGCCCCCGAGTATACCAACCAACTCTGAATGTGGGAAGCTCAGCGGGGTTTCTGTTGTTGCTACGAGACTGCCAAACACTTTTTCTGAAACACTTTTTCTCTCTTATTGCAACTTGCAGAAACTCAAAATCTTTTCTCTTGACAAAAAAGAAGTGCTAGGCTCAAAGTGTGAACTCTTTGTTGAAAAGTGTGGACAAAATAAGACAGGCAGCCCCACATGGTGAGGTGCTTTGTGGAGGAAACTACCAGATAAATCCGCTAAAAATATTTCCACTTTTCATTTTTCGTCACTAAGGGAGCAAGACAAAGATTCAGCAACAATACAGATGATACATCCCAGTTCATTTGTACCAGTGTAGCCACATTTTTCATTTACTAACAGCCCCTAAAATCCACATAAGACAAGGTTGATGTTAATGTTGATATTTCCAGTTTTATTTAGCTCTCCTTCTTCTGGAGCTTTGCATAATTTAGGTAATCATCTCAGTGATTGTGGCCATCATCACTGCGTGCAGTTTATGTTGCTTTGCAGCAGTCGGTAAACACAGGCCCTAATGATGCATTCTGGTTACCTCGAAAGTCAGAAGTCTGAGCTGGGAATTAGGTCACACCCGAGTTACCAGTGTAAGTTGGAAGAAAGTAAAATTGGAGGCAGAAACAAGATGGTTACATCTACGAAAGTTATTTTAGCGCTTGACTTGTCTGGATACATGCAAGGACAAGGCAAGGTTGCCATGATAGGCAACCTCTGCTACAGGTTGTTGCTCCACCTTTCCAGACGTGGTCCAGCAGCTCCTCAGACTGCTCTTACAGCCGTTCCTTCTACCTCAATTAGATCATTTCTTCACTCTTAGGACCAGTCTGAGATGGAAAACTAAGAGGCAACTGAAAATGGGAATGAAAAGTTCTCTATCGTTGCGTTTTGACGGGTCTGAAAATGCGAAACCTTTTAAACCAGGTGCACTGGTTTTGCAGTTGCTGCTGTTATGTGGTTTTAACCAATAGGAATCAAGTATTGAACACAGTAAAGTAAGAGCGACTGAGCTAATCACCTCTTTTCTGTATTTCTTCACTTAAGAAACAAACCCCGAAGTGTAAATTATCTTCTCACATAACTGTCAGTTTGATTTTAAATTGATGAATTGGAAAGAATATTTACCCTGACAACTTTAATGACCTCTGTAATCTTTTATTTATTCAGAAAAAACATCATAATACATGATATTTATGATGCAACTCCAAAGTAAGAGCAAAGGATAAGGAGGAAATTGATACCACCCAAAGTAAAGTGGGTATTTACTCGAGTTTCTCGTATGTTTTTCTCCTGGTTTGGACTTAACCCAGTCCAACAAAAGATAAACTTGATAATACAGAAAGCAAGGTCTACCTGTCCTTGTAGTGGCGTATAGAAAAAGAGACAAGCAATAAAAAATCTTGTGCATAAGGAGCTGAAACACTTGAGTGCAGCTCTGCTTCGTCTAAAAAAATGCATCAGTCTCCTAAAAGCTGAGTGTCCATTGTTTTAGCACAGCCGCCTCATTTCCTTGTTTGTCAGCACAGAAATCTGTTGCCAAACCTCTCAGGCAGCCCGGCCATCAGCAGCCTCTCAGGCGGCCTCTGTTGTACGGTCATCCATCACTGAAACACGAGTGGCTCTACAGCTATCAATCAGCCTCCCTGACCGGACTATAAGCGCAGCACTGACGGTTTTTATTGGAGGCAACACGATGTAAAACCTCAACACATACCCACAGCGCTGTAACACTCGCTTCTTTTCTCACTCCTCAGCACATCTCTTGACCTTGGTTTGATTCTGCTGCTTCTGGCAAAACTGTCCGTCTTCTGTGGTCATAATGTGTAGTATATAATGGTCTGAAGACAATAGAAAGAGAGGACAGAGAGTGCGGTGCTTTTTTATAGTTCACACAATGTTTTTAACTCATTTTCCTTCAGGGCGTTTTGCACTTTGGGTGCTGAGTGCTAAATTTGCTGAGGAGGATTGATTTTGCATTGAAAAAAGTTGGCAAAAATGCTGCTGGTGGACACAGGCCCTTTATCAAAGTGTAGGTTAGGGAAAAGATACTTATTTGACAAAAAAATTAAACAAGCAGATGCAGTAAAATTACCTCTAGCCTTGTTATTGATGGAGCTGATATTAGAAGATGCTGTGAATGGACACATGCCCTAAAATATTTTTAAATTAGGGCCAAAATAGTTACGAGTTTCATAGCAGGTGTAGCAAAATGACCTTTAGCATTGCTATCACCAAAGTTGTGCCAGATCTAAGTCCCGCCCCTTCTTCTTTTTGATTGGCTATAAATGAAAATGTGACATCAAAGATTGTGGCGGTGCTATTTTCAACTTGAAGCTTAAACACAGATTATACAAAAGGCACTTCACATTCGGGCAAAAGGGTACTTATTACTATTTACAGGTTCTTAAGATTTCCAAATATGGACAAAATGGTAAAACAAGCAGGTTTTTCAAAACAATCTCTGGCTTTGTAGAAAGATATGTCGATATAAGATGATGCTGTGAATGGACACAGGCCCTAAAATATCTCTTAAACTAAGGCCAAAATAGTTATGATTAACAAGTTTCTGTGGTTCAAATATGGCAAAAAGAAAAAGCATAGCAGGTGTAGCAAAATGACCTTTAGCATTGCTATCACCAAAGTTGTACCAGATCTAAGTCCCACCCCTTCTTCTTTTTGATTGGCTGTTAATGGAAATGTGACATTAAAGATGGTGGTGTTACTAAAGTTGTACTATTTTCAACTTGAAGCAAAAACACACAGATTATACAAAAGGTATTTTGCACTTTGAGGAACCGAACAAATAGTTAATTGAAAAAAAAACTGGCAAAAAATGCGGTTAGTGGACACAGGCCCTAAATCATACTTCACATCAGGGCAAAGGGTACTTATTATTTACAGGTTCTTATTACATTTTTCCAAATATGAACAAAATGGTAAAACAAGCAGGTGTATCAAAACTATCTCTGGTTTTGTAGTAAGATATGTCAATATAAGATGATGCTGTGAGTGGACACAGGCCCTTAACCATGTTAAATTTTGGGGCTAAGACACTTGACAGGTTGCTATAACTGTTCAACACAAAACATCATCATAACTTAAACCTAATCTGAGAAGAGGAAGGCATATCTAGTTGAAAATCTCCCTTGTGGCCTTTTGTCTGGTCCAGTGAAGACATTGATGTAGCAGGACTCCATCGGTCGGACACATGACCCTAATCTGTGTCACCAGCTCTCTGAGGCTGACCCGTACTTCACCTCCCCACTCTCTCTCCCTCCTTTTATCTTCCCTCAGGCGTGGTGCGAGTGTCTCTGGCAGACATGGACCGTGAGACCAGAGAAAACTACACTGTGGTCATCCAAGCCAAGGACATGGGGGGCCAGCTGGGGGGACTGGCAGGCACCACGACTGTCAACATCACACTCGGCGACATCAACGACAACCCGCCCATGTTTGACCAGAGTAAGAGGCGCACAAAAACAAACTTTTAGACAGTTTCCAACCTCAGTGGGGAGAACTTTGCAGACTTTGGGTGTAACTTTACGACTTAAAATGTAATAATGCATTATTGATTTGCCGTTTGTCAACAGCTGTTTAGTTTGACCAGCTATATTGATCTTTTAACACATTTTCAGGGTGTAATTTAAGAAAACAAAGACAGAATCTGCCAACTAGAACTTCTTGAATGAAATATCTGCTTTTTATGGGGTTTAAACGAGGATAAGGGAAGAAGACTGGCCTTTTAGAAACAGTGATCGTACTGGTGTCCTCAAACTCGATATACAAAAGCCAGAATGTTATCTTGAAAAGCACATGAATGTCTTGCACTGATCGTATAAACGAATGTGCTCCTAGACGTCTAGTTTGAAACCAGATGCATTATGGGGCTCAGTTTTAGAGGCGTGAAATACTCACTGAGAGTTCACCTGAACCTCAAACACATTACTGTGTTTTGTGGTTCAGTGTTTCAGCTGCAGAGTGGCGTGAATGCAATAAAACGTGAAGCAGCAGCTTTCATATTCACCCTGACACACACACACACACACACACACACACACACACACACACACACACACACACACACACACACACACACACACACACACACACACACACACACACACACACACACTGCTCTGTATGTGTGCCTCCACCTCCTCTCTCTCAGGCCTCCGAGCTGTTAGCCCCTCTGCCCTTCTCCCTCCGTCCACGTCTGGCCACCAGTCCCTGGGCATTTACCCCTTGGCCTCCTCCTCTCTCTCCTTTTGCCACCAGTCTCCCCTCGCTGTCTCTCCGATTATCCCTGTTCCTGCTCCTCTCATTACCGTCCTCCTGGGGTCAGGGGTTGTCTAGCTGTCCGTGGTCGCTCTTCCTTGCTAGACAAAGAAAAACACCCGCCTCTGCCGCCACCAACACCCGCCCACCTCCATCACAGTCCCCCCCACCAATTAGCGCCATCACTTGGATGGAACTTTGATCGTTTGTGAAGAGCTTCAGGGATTCCCCTCTGTCAAGCACAATGTGCCGGCATTTCACTTCAGACTGCAGGGAGCGCCACAAATTGGGCAGCTGTCACCTCTTCTTTGAGGTTAAACGGTAGATGAAATTGAGGCTGACCCATGAGACTGTATGTAACCCAATTGTAAGGCGTTTATGGACCCATTTATTCTAACCTATCTAGGAGGGATGGAAGAGGTTTGGCGCCCTCTAGAGGGGGAAAAAAAATGTGGAAAAGGTGCAGAAGAGTGATCTCTCTGTTTGTTTACCTCCTCAGGGTTGTACCAGATGAGCATCCCGGAGTCAGCTCCCGTGGGTTCAGTAGTAGGTCGGATCTGGGCGAAAGACAGGGACATCGGGGTCAACGCCGAGATGAGGTACAGCATCATTGATGGAGACGGGAGGGACACGTTTGACATCAGCACCGACCCTACCAACCTGTTTGGCATCATCACAGTGAAAAAGGTACAAATGAGGACAAGACAGTGAACAGATTTGCATTTTTAAAGTTGCAGAGAAAAGATAGAAACGTCACTGATCTTTTTGAAAACCTTTAAAAATGGATGTTTGACAAATATTACCCGAGCTGTATTGATTTAGCTCCTTTAGATTGAGCTTTTTATGCTTTTCCATGCATTTACAACTTGGAGAAGCAGCTCAGGATTGTGCATTTCTGTTTCCTTGCAGCACTGATATCAACAAAAATCTCCTTAAACATGCTGGAAAAGTTACAAAACCCCATTTAAAAATATGGCACTTTAAGAAAGAGTCCTTAAACTTTAATAAGATGCTAATTTTTCACAAATTTTGGGGTATAAATAACTAGTTTGTATAAAAAGTTCATAACAGCTTGCAAAAATAGCTTTACAGTCTCTCTTGGAAGCACTAATCAAACACTTTCTTCATAAATAGTGGCATGATTTATTAAAACTAAAAACTTCCTTTGTTATTCTCCTTAAAGTTGCAGCACTCCATTGACAAAAACACCCGGTTATCCTCACTGAGCACCATACTTGCTTGTCTGCTGCCCCCTAGTGTTCAGTGAGTTGAAATGACCGTTTTTTTATCAATGGAGTCTGCTGACTTTGAAGATAATACTAATTTTATTAAAACAACTGAAAAGAGTCAATGGAACAAAAGTCAAACACAAAGCAGACAGTTCACCAACAAACAAGGATTCAAATAAACAACTTCTAACGCAGCAGATAATAAAATCCGACTCTTTGATAATGATTAAAGGCTGCAGACAAATGGATAACAAAGCTCAGAGGAGGAACAGCCAAATATTCAGACTGCAGATCTTTTATTTTTCTTTGTCAGCCTGTTTTAAGAGCTGCAGTCTTTAAAAGTGCGTCTTTGTTCGTCCTCCTCCAGCCACTGAACTTTGAGAACAAACCCAGCTACACTCTGAAGGTGGAGGGCGCCAACACCCACCTGGACCAGGCTCTGCGTCACCGTGGACCCTTCAAGGACGTCACCATCGTGCATGTGAGCGTGGAGGACGTGGACGAGCCCCCGCAGTTCGACTCGCCGGCGTACCTTATTGAGCTGCCAGAGGACGCGGAGATCGGGACGGTGGTGAAGACGGTGTCGGCGAGGGACCCGGACGCTGCCAACAACACTGTGAGGTGAGGACAACAAACACAGATGACAAACACTCACTCTGAGTCATGGTGTTTGAAGATCTTCTTCTTGTTTTAAACTTGCTGTGTCGATCCAAATGTCCTTCAGTCTTCTGTATCATCACGTTATTCTGCAGCCTGCAAACACCTGAACTTTAAAGTCACTTAAGAGGACTTGAGCATAACTTTGTGTGCCATCATAAACAGCCAAGACCCTCATATACCCAAAACAAGGAGATTTTAAAGCTGTAATTCATTACTAGGGCAGGACAGGATACTAAATCTCAATAAAATTTATTAATATAGACAGAAAAATAGGACAAGAGAATAGTGAAATAAAAATTTACAGTGTGAAAATATTTAAAATTTGCAAACTGTTGCACTGAAATGTGCAGAAACTGTCAGATCTTTAAAACAATCTGAATAAAAAGACAACTATGGACAGTTGATCATTATAAATACAAATGCATGGATAACAACTAGCATAGATAACTAGTCCTGCACTTTCTTCCTGTTACTACAGCTGCTCCATGTGGTAGAACCAGTCTAGTTTATGGTCCAGCTGAACCCCCAGATACCTACAACTGGAGAGAAGTTCCACATCTGTACTGTGTACTAGTGAGCGCTGCTCCAACAACCATCTCCTCTGTTATTTTTACTAAGTTCTCCTAAAACGTCCTGAGAACAGACAGAATTACTGCTGTTTCATTGTCCCCAACTCCTAAAATTCAACTTATTTAGCAAAGTATGATTCCTTAGATAACAGCAACATGTGGGTTTAAAAGTCAAACAAGATTACAAAGTTTTAATTATTAATAGAAATCAGTTATTTTCATTGTTTAATACAGCATCAAACAAAGTGGTACAGACTAAAGCAGACTTTTACTTTTCAGTTTGAATCGTCATTAAAATCAGATTTGAATTTTCATCTTTAAGTTTAAATCGTTCAACATTTTTTGGATTAAGAATTAAAGACTAATTTTATTAACTTATTGTGCGTTCAAGTGCAGCTGAGACACTACAATCTATGATGTGAGAGTTTTCTTCCTGGTGCAAACGCTTTAGTGAACGTTCTGTCGTGAATCAGAGTTAAACAAAAAGGAAAGGACCCAAATGCAGAACAAAAATTATTTATTTAAAATGAATTCAATAAAAAGAAACTTACTCAAAGTGTCCGACAGAAAAACTCCCAAAGGCAAAAAACACAAGAGGCAAAATCCAAAGAACAAAAAATGAGCAACAAGAGGAAGGTGAGACACTGAGACACAGGTGAAGACAATTACAGAGGAGGGAAAACTGAGGAAGTAAAACAAGACAAGAAACACAAGGAATCAACTACTACAAAATAAAACAGGAAATAAACACTGAAAAATGATCTGTAGAATAAAACACTAAGAACAGGAGGGCAACAGGGTCAGACATTAACTAAAAACTCACAAGACAGGACTACAGGGTAAGGAAATAAACTCAGATAACCAAAACTAGGGGAAAACTAAATACCAGAACATATCATGGCACATTAACATGTTATGTAGACTCGGTATTCAATTACCAATAATAGTATTGATCAAAAATTACTCAATTTTATTTAAGAAGATAGATTATTATAAAGTGTGTCTCAGTTTACTCTAATGAAGGAGTGCAAACAGCAAAACTCGTGAATTAAAACCCGTAAAAGTCCTAAAAGTAGGTTTAAGGGTCATGATTTATGATATTTATAGAGTGAGTCTCATTTCTAGTGTATTTCTCAATGCATGCTGGGAAAGGTTGCAGCACTAGTACTGAAAATATCCCTTTCAAACTTACATTTACCCCCCTCCAGCTGTTTTTATGGATTTCAAACAGTGGTTTTCCAGGGTTGCGATGTTACCCGATAGCCAGCGGGGGGCAGCATCACACCATGACTCCTCAGAGCAGGTGCTGCTAGTCTGTGTTTTTGTGCTCCCCAGAAGCACAAAGTGACGATGACAAAGGCGAGGAAGACGAGCCCAAACACCATCACATTAAAAACAAACCTGACAAGTTTTAACATCCAGCAATTAGCCCGATCCCACTGAAAGAGGGGTTGAGGACTCGTCTCGTTATTGCAGAGAGTGTTTTTGTGCTGTGACAGAGCAGATGTTGTGTGGCGGGTTTTACTGTCCAGACTGCACCTCTCATAAACTAATTAGACATAAAGCCTTTAATTAGCTCGTTAATCATGTGAGCGAATCAATGAGTGCGGAGGAGGAAGAGGAGGAAGAGGAGGCGGAGGTGGCGCTCAGGCTGCAGCTCGTCCCAGCTGTCTGTTTTTACAACCTCGATAGGGGCTGAAAGGAGGGCACGAGAAATGGATGTAGGTGACAAGGTGGCTGCTCATCAGTGTGTGTGTGTGTGTGTGTGTGTGTGTGTGTGTGTGTGTGTGTGTGTGTGTGTGTGTGTGTGTGTGTGTGTGTGTGTGTGCGTCTGCATGGATACTCAGCAGTTTATCCTCAGTGCTGCGTCCGAATTTTTCCCCTCATTCTCCACAGTCAATAAGGAGCAGGAGCACTTATGGATCCTCATTATTTCCCCATCCCTGACAAGTAAAGTGTTTTATAATAACGCTTCATCTCAAACAAATCACGGTGCCATGTGTTTTTTTAAGCTAAATAAGCAAAGGCGCTGCTTTTTTGCTGCATGTGGGATTTTTTTTTAACATTAAAATAGACCCTTAAGGCTTTTTGTTTTGTCACATTTTAAGGTTTAAGCGAAGTGTCGGAAGTTTTCGACTTGTTGGTCAGTAAGTGTAGAAAAACATCAGGAGGTTTTTCATGAGAGAAACACACAGCAAAGACCAAATGTGGTGCTTTGTTGGAAATCGAGTTGAAAAATAAATCCATCTTTGTACTACGATACAGTTTTCCCCAATTTTATATCAAACAAGAAAACCCTGAAATTGATTTGTCCTCAAGAGCCAACCATCAGCCAAACAACCCACTTGACTTTGGCCATCTACGTTTTCCATTGTTTATTTCAGCGAAACACTTCAAATAAAAAGCCACGGTCCACTTTTGATGTACATTTTAAAAGCACAAGCCTCCTCCCACAGAAACAGAAAATTAGTAACAAGAGTCAACAAGTTCAGCATGGATATGGAAGGAGCTTCTCATCGTTCTGGCCTCTTCTACCTTTATACCAAACATCAGATTGATAGGAGGAGTCGACCTCAGACAGATCAGCCCATTTATGTCAAAAGTTAAAAATTGTGTACTTCCTGTTGGTTTTACAAAATGAGGCCAAGAGACTTTTGGCGCTTGCTTTGTCTGAATATAAGACACGTGCTAAAATAACTTTCGTAGCTGTAGACATCATGTTTCCGCTTTTGCTTTTTTTCAACTTGGTAACTGAAACGCTGATAACTCGGGTGTGACGTCATTTTCAGTTCCAACATCTGACTTCCAAGGAAACTCGAACGCAGCGTAAGCCTCTGGAAAAGTGACTTCCTGTTTAAGGTAAACAATAGGTCGCCATGGCATCAGTGTAGGGGATCTACACAGCCCATAGAGTCTAACTTCTCATTAATTCCTTAATGGTTGACTAAAGATTTGTCTTTTTCAGACATATGAACTCCTCCTCTGTAAACTCTTTGGTGCTTCTGAAACCTCCTATGATGACAACTCTCTCATTCCTGGAGAGAGTTGGAACCAGGGCCAGCATTGCTGCTGAATCCTCTGAGTTGGCGTTAAATTCTGGCGCCGAATCAGGTTGAGATTTTTCCTAAAAGCCTGTTTGTAGAATGAGCAGCGTTTCAGCTCATGTAGCAGAAAGCAGAGGAACGATTCGAGGATGACTCAGTGAGAACGAGAAGAGTCCAAAAATCTGCAGCTGCAGCAGCAGCAACATCAGACGTCAGATAAGAACAACCTTCAGTCTGTCTCACTTCGGTCTCACAGCTCTCTGTCCTCTACGGCGTGACTGGCAGATAATTCTGAACACACACAGACACCAGGAACACACACACGCTCTTTTCACCTGCTATGACACTCACACAGTCTCCCCTCCTTACAGCTGGAGCAGTCATATTATTAGAGGTCCTTATTATTAGAGGCCTGCCAATAACAAACATGGTGGTCTTTCTCTGCTTTAGAGCGAGGATGCAGAGTCACCATGGTTTTGAAATCATGACTAAATATAATTTCATTTTTACACAGTTCAGTTTTGTACGGAGGAGGATTAGGTCCACATGAAGAGAAAAAATAATAATTACAGGAAGGAGTTAAAGCCAAAATTTTGAGGTTTAAGTCGAAAATTAGAGATGAAGAAAATTGAAATTATGTCTGTAAAGTCAAAATTTCAAGATCAAAAATTTAAATTTCAAGATTAAAGGTCAAAATGTTGAGATTACAAAATGTCATGAATAAAGTCGAAATTTTGAGATTAAAGTCGACAAGAATAAAGTTGACATTTCAAGATTAAAAAAATGATTCTATGTCAATAAAGTTGAAATTACAAGATCAAAAATTGAAATTTTAAGATTAAAGTCAAAATTTCAAGATTGAAGTCAACATTAACAAAGTCGAAATTTCGAGAATAAAAATCTAAATTATACCTATAAAGTCGAAATTGCCAGATTAAAGTCGACATGAATAAAGTCGACATTTCGACTTTTTTAAATTTCAACTTTAATCTCGAAATGGAAATGAAAATAATCTTCCTCCTGTAATTGCTTTTTTCTTCTCGTGGCCCTAATCCTCTCATAGTTTTGATCTGTGTTGTTTTTGGATGCTGGGCCAAACTGTGTTGCTTTGGGAAGTGATTTGAACCTTATGCGGTTATTTCCACTCAAGAGTCGTGTCTGTTTTTATGCAGAGATACCCAAGGACCTAAAAATATGTGCAATCCAGATTAAATCTCCGTTCTTTCCCTTTTTGTCCAGAGATTTCCCCTTAACCTTCTGATGATATTACATACTGTAGATGAATTTTCACACTTTAGCGCTAAAGTCGATCATTTTTAAATTTAGAAATATTCTGGACTCACACTTTAACTTTAATTCAACTTTGATGACTCATTTAGATCCACTCTGAACATTTCAATAATTCATGACTGCGCTCATTTCACACAGACTCTCCTTCTCACCCGTTTATCACATTTTCAATCGACATGTTTGAGGGTTTTATGGTATCCTCCTCTTCTTCCTCTTTTCTGCGTGTGTGTTTGGCTGCTCTGTGTCGCTCTCAGAGGAGCGTTTTGGAAATCATCCCGCCGTGGCAGCACACGAGCCAAAGCGCCGCGCTGCAGGTCTGTGTTTCCCCGCTGCGGTTTGGCAGTCGAGGCAGACTCTCTGATGAAGTCTTATCTCCTTCTCTGTGAGACTTCAGACGCTGCCAGCCTGACGCCTTATCTCACACACACACCCCGACACACACACACACACAGGCTCCTGAAAACTCTTTACATAACGCAGATTTTTCCCTCTCCTGTGTTCCTCGTGTCACCAGGTATTCCATCGAGAGGTTGAGTGACCCCGAAAAGTTCTTCTACATCGATATCACTTCTGGGTCGCTGATGACGGTGCGGGCGCTGGACCGAGAGGAGCGAGGCTGGCACAACATCACCGTCCTCGCCATGGAGATGAGTAAGTCACAGTCACACTAGCCCCGTTTACATGGGTCCAAAAATCCTATTTACAATCAGATTCAAAATGTCTCATAGCCAATCTGATCCACCCAGATCTGATTGTATTTCGGGTCAGATTGTAAGAGGTAGTCTACGCCGATTGATAATCCGCTCTATGCTCCATATATATGGCTGAGTGGAACGGGTTCACAGAGAGGCTTGTTGGGTCTGCGCAGGCGCTCCGTAGTCTGTAAGAGGCACGTAGTGACATACGCAGAGCGCGCCCAAACGAAAACAAACATGGAGAACAAACAGAAAAACTGGACGGTGGAGGAAACAAACTTATACCGCAAATAAATGTAACCACGACACAATAAGCGTCCCCAACAAAACACGACGCCGATCCATCTTTCTACAGGTAAACAGGAAGTGCACCTCTTCTTCTCTTACACATTTGCAGGTAGTGGCAGAGTGACCTTCTGCGCATGTAAAAAAAAACACGTGAATCTCTTTACTTAAAGTTCATGTATGCAGATGGAATCAGATTCACTTAATCCGATTGATTTCAATCAGATTGAGGAAAACTACTCATATAAACGGGTCTACTGACACACACAAACGAGCTGGAAAGCCATCGCCACTTCCCTTCCGTTAGGCCGCTGACCTCGCCGAGAGGTACTGAGGTGTTGCAGAGACTGAAATTCAGCTTATTTTAGAGTCGAAACATCCAGCGAACGAAAATGAAATCACCGCTTTGGCTGTTCTCGACTTATTTATGGGAAGCGGAGGCCCCCCGTGAGATCTGTGTTTACTGCTCAGTAATTTCCTCTTCGCTGCAACAATCAGCTCAAGATGAGTTAAGTACCGTTTAAGTACGATCAAATCCGAAGTGCCCTTTCTAATTTCTCATATTTCAGAGGACGCACTGTGCTCCAGATCAGAAAATTGAAGCTGATAAATTAGTTTTCACCCAGTAAGTTGAAACTACTTTGCAAAACTCTGAACTTTGAATAAACTTTAACTAAACTTCTTTGTTTTAGAGCTGCAGAACAATTATAGAAATGTACTTACAGGTTTCTGAGAGAGAGAAAAAGTTCATTATGAGGGGCTTTAAGTTTCAGACAGAGTGACTCAGCAGAAAAAAAAAGACATTGAAGGAGATAAAGAGCCCAGACAAACAGATGGTTGGACATATTTGCAGAAGTACAGAGGCAGTGATTTTGGAAAACATCTCCTGCAGAGTTACAGAACGTGGAGCAGAGAAACCCTGCAGATCTGAACACAGCTGGTGGCTCTGAAAGTCACCTTCATCCTCCTCCCTCTGCTCTGTTTGTCCGGGTGTGTGCGTGTGTGTCTCTGTTTGGTCGACAAACACAATTAAATTAATGACTAATTAAATACGTTTCCACATGGAGGCTAATTAAAGAGGTCAGAGAGGGCGCAGGTAAGACGGGACATGAACAATGAAGTGGTGACGCAAACAGGCAGCGCACTAAACTCACCACGACAACCTTCTCTTCATTAAAAAATGTACTTTGCATACTGCCAAGAAGTTTTTAATTCCATAAAATCATTTTTAATGTGCTGTAAAACGCTAAAGAACTAGTTTTAAGCATAAATTATGACTCATATCCACAGCAACAACATCATTTTAAAAAGTTAGATATAGTTTTGAGAGCTCCCTGTCCTCTGAGTGGTAAAGTCTGAGGAACACATCATCTCTTTTCTATGTGCAAAAATGAAAAGCAAATTCAGGGCAGACAGAACAGAGCAGGCATCAGCAACAATACATCTGACACCAGCAGGGTTCCTACACAAGTATGGAAATAAATTTGATCAGTTTCAAGGTCTTAAAAAAGTATGGAAAAATATTTGTTTCCAGACGATAATACGCTTCTAAAATGATGTTTTCTAAAATAGAGAAGTAGGTATTTCCACAAATAATCCTAAAAAGTAAGGTAGGGAAAAGTAGGAAAATTCCAACAGTCTACCAAAGGAAGTGTCTCAGGAGTGCAGTTACCCTCCACACGTGAACTCACTGCAAACTGGTGTAGACGACAGTGCCCCTCCACTGCACTGTAGGGGACAAGAGAGGAAAAGTTAGACAAAGAAATGATCAAAACTATCAAAAAAAAGAGTTGGTTCTACTAAAATGGTTCTTTAATCACAATCAAATGACTAAAATGCTGACCAAACAAAAACAAAACATAAATAAATCAAACTCTAAACAGCAGCTTATGCCGTCGTCTTCCTGTTAACAAAAAGCAGCCGCTCATACCTGTTCAGGTCCATTTCTCCAGGTTTCCTCCGTCTCGCTTAACATGACTTGATTCGGTGGACGCAGACGGGCTGGAAGTGAACAATCTAAAAGGACAAACACAACTCAGCCGCTGAGAAAAGGACTCAAAATAAATGATCGAATTCAATGAACTCATTACCTCTGTTCAGAGCGTGTGGCAGCTCTACTGACACAGGTGCTTTAAATAGGAGGGGGAGGGAAAAGGGGGAGGAGTTGACCTCATTTTGGAGAGGCTGCAACGACTCAAATAAATTCAGAAACCCTGATTTTTGATTATTAGATCAATCAAAAGAAAACCCAAACACTTAAATATATTCACATTTTATTTAATCGACTTTAAAGTGAACAGAAACTCAACTCAACCTTCTCTTGAGTTCAGTAAAACACCATCAGAGTCAAGTATAAGCTCCCCCCCGACCCTCTCACACACACATTTACAGTATACACACACATACAGTAACACAACCCCATTGAGCTTCAAGCTCCGGAGTCAAAGTCACCTCATTGATCGATCGATCATGTGATGAAACCTGAGAAAGTAGTTACCAGCGGCTAATTGCGTTTCCACTGCCTATTACATTACACAGCTGGTTAAGAAATGCAAATGTGAGCTTGTTAATGGAGAATAATAGAATCGTAATGTAAGCGTGAGGAGCTCTAATGTGCCGCCGGCTCACTGGAAATGAGCTGAAGATTAAGAGAGGCACAAACTGCGCTCAGCAGGATCCTCGGAGTCATTTATTTGAAGCCATCCATGCGTTGTACAGCCTCTGACCTCCTCTGGATGTGTGTGTGTTCGTGTGTGTGTTCTCCTGCAGAAGATCCCAAAAAGGTGGCGAGTGTTTCTGTGGCTGTGAGAGTCCTGGATGTGAACGATAACCCTCCCTCCTTGATGCATTACCTCGAGCCTTATGTGTGTGAACACGCCAAAGCAGGACAGGTAAGACGACGCTTTAGAAACTGCTGAAAAATCAGAGGTCATTCTCTGGTGTCTCTAACTCTGACTCTGTTGGTGTAATCCAGCTGATCCAGACTGTAACGGCGGTGGATCCAGACGAGCCGCTGGGTGGACAACACTTCAGCTACAGTCTGGCCCCAGAGGCTGCAAACAACCCCAACTTCACTCTGAGAGATAACCAAGGTGAGGAAGAGTCTGAGTGTTTGGTGGAGAGTTTTATAGCTGAGCTGTAAAAGATTCAGGTTTCAGGTCCAGTAGAAAGTCCAGCTGATATTATTGCAGAGCTGCAGTGAATACCATGATATGAACATGTCCCATATGGTCTAGCGGTCAGGATTCCTGGTTTTCACCCAGGCGGCCCGGGTTCAACTCCCGGTATGGGAATAGAGTTAACCTTTCCCTGGTTAGCTTGCAAAGGTTCTCTAGTCTGTGTTGTTCTGCCTCTTGTTGCATGATGGGAATTAATTGTCAATGTCCATTAATCTGCCTCAATTAAGCAGTACAAAGTAGCATCTTGGGCCTCCAGTTCAGAGCTCATGGATGAGTGATAACGAGGTGTTTTTAAAGGGATATTCTGGCGTAAAATTAAGTTAGGGTCAAACACACTGTAACCAGAGTCAGACACCCCGTCGAGAGATAAATGTTGCCGACCGCTCGCTTCTCTAGTTATACCAACTTTAGTAACGACCGCAGGATAGCAATACAGAGAGGTCTGAGGACTCTATAGCCACAAATAATGCTCAGAACAGCACCTAACTTCATCAACAGGACATATAGGGTCACAGCCATAGTACTAGAAACCAAACATCTTTTTAACTTTGCCTAATTTCATGAACAAAGAGACTAAGCACAACTCACCCACTCTCTTCCAGCAGCCGCTTGTTTGTAGCGAGACCTCAGGCCAGTCCATTAGAGACTACAGCGGGGTTCCGCAGCTCAAGAAAGAACATTTATGATTATTTCTTTATCATTTCCTTGAAGTAATAATTATCATATTTATCATTTTGCACTGCAGACGTGGTAGTTCTTCTGCCTTAGCATCTTAGTCTGATTGTATTTCCATGAAGAAATGATCATAAATGTTCTTCGTTGAGCTTAAGATGTCGTCCCATATGGTCTAGCGGTCAGGATTCCTGGTTTTCACCCAGGCGGCCCGGGTTCAACTCCCGGTATGGGAATGGAACTCTCGCCTTTCTTTGTCCACTCTGTGTGGACAGCACTACTTGAAGTCATGTCTCAATTTCTACAGTTGCACCCAACTGAACTATGAGTGTGTCTTAGTTTCTTACACCAGAGAGACTCATCTCTTCTGCTGGACTCTCATGTAAATGATAACACTGATTAAGCAGTTACAGTACAGTAAGGTGCAGCTGCAGGGAACTGAGACATGTTTCCAAGCAGAGCTGTCTCCACAGATGGGAGGAAGAAAGGTGAGAGTTACATTCCCATACCGGGAGTTGAACCCGGGCCGCCTGGGTGAAAACCAGGAATCCTGACCACTAGACCATATGGGACATATTCACAGAGAAGACCTGTCCAGATTAAGATTAGAGTTTAATCCAGTCAGACAACACACTTAAAAACCCTCTTCCAGCTGCACTTGTGCTACGATTCCAGCAGAATGAATATTTCACAGTGTTATATGTTGGTTTTGTTCCAGTTTAAAGCACATTAAGTTAAGGGTAAAGTCGTGTCTGAGTCTGATCAATTCTGAAATGATAGTGCTTGGATGTAGAAGAGGGTAAAGGGTCTTCAAGAATTAGTGGAAGTCCAGTACTTCTCTCAAGTAATCAGAACTCCTCACAAAGCGCCGGCCAGCATATTTAAAGAACCCATTCCCATACCGGGAGTTGAACCCGGGCCGCCTGGGTGAAAACCAGGAATCCTGACCGCTAGACCATATGGGACATGTATGTTAACCTTCAGAACCCTACTCAGATAAACTGATTTGTTTAAAAACCTCACACTTAAGTCTGTTTTCTGAAAACTTCAGCTGTTGAAGAGAAAAACACCTCAGTCTGAAACCTCCTCTCTGTGACCTAACCCGACCTTTTCCTCTCACCTTTCCATCTCTGACCAGACAACACAGCGTGGATCCTGACTCGGCGAGGAGGCTGGTCCCAGCAGGACCAGACTGTCTTCTACCTGCCCATCTTCATCTCCGACGGCGAGGAGCCGGTCAAGACCAGCACGAGCACGCTGACCATCCGAGTGTGCAGCTGCGACAAGGAGGGGAACCTCATGTCATGTAACGCAGAGGCATACAGTCTGCCTGCGAGCCTCAGCAGAGGAGCGCTCATCGCCATTCTGGCCTGCATCCTGGTCCTGCTAGGTGAGCCTGAAACACAGTCAGAAAAAACTACTGCTCATCTCAGACGACTATAAATCACCTGGAAGTCCTTGTGCACAAATTTACTGTCGTGTAAATACTCTAAATTAGACCCACATTTGTGTCTTAGACTCCTGATCAGTGAGGCAGACAGAGGATCGCTTAGTAAAAGTATTTTCTTAACTGGAGTTGAACCCAGGCCGCCTGGGAGCCAACATTTGGGATGTGGCTCCTCAGATTTGATCTTCATGTTTTGACAGAAATTATAGCTAATCATATCTAGGAGCAAAAAAGAAACATTTATACTCAAGATTACTGAAGAGGTTAATATTTTGACATGAGAAAATGGAGATGACTTGCCTGTGAACCCACCAGGAGCTTGTTTAAATCAAAGTTAAAGCTCCCTAGAAAAGTATTTTTTACCTCTTTGAAATAGACTGAAATTCATGTCAATGTTTTTTTTTAAATTATATATAAAAGCGAACAACACAATCAGTAACAGGATCTATAGCTGGGTGCCTTTTTGTGATAGTTATTCAGTGCAAAATTTCACCATAATTGACGAATATAGGAAGTCAGAAAGTCAGACTTTGGCGCCCCCCTGTGGAGAAATCAATCTTTACTTATTTTGCTATTTGTTATCTGCAGTTTAAATAGTGTGTTCTTACAAAAAATAAATGTAATTTTTCTGCACCTACCTCCTCACACTGGTTTCAGGCATTAAAGTGATCATATAGAAATCACTCATGGTCTTGTTTGCCTTTAAATATCATAAAGAGGAATCTACATGAATTTCAGTTTATTCTAAAAAAAGGGGACAAAAATTCTCAGAGGAGCTTTAAAGTCATTAAGTTTTGAGAAAGTTCCTTACTGGTGCTTTAATTTACAGTTTAAACGACATCCTCTTTGTGGAAATGTGACAAGTTCACACCCAAAATCACAAATAATCATCACTAAAATCTTGACATTTATAATCTGACTTCTGGATAAACGGTATTTGATGACAAACTGCCTCCTGTAAAACTCTGAATTAAGACGTCTGTTCAAACAGTGAGATCACAGCTGCAGATGTTAGATCTAAATTTATCGCTTCCTCTGGTTAGAGCCGAGTGAGTCACCGTGCTGACTCTGGTGTTCACACTCACAGGTCTGCAGGGAGAGATAAAGAGGGTCCGTATCAGGCTGCAGGGAGACGACAGAGCGATGATGTTACAGGGCTGAAAAAAGAAACTCAAGTCAGGTTGTTGAAAGATCCGTCATCTACCACCTGATTCTTACACTTCAATAAAAAGTGACCAGACTTTAAGTTCTCAAAAATAACTCCTTAACAACTTTATTCACCTGCTTGATCCAGATTCAACCCAAAGCTGCAAAGTTACAAGCAGAAAGGTCAGGAATTGAAAATGCTGCAGTGATTTTTATGGAGTCTTCCTGCTGCCTCCAGGCTCGCCTCTGGTCAGTGTTCTAACTCTGGACTGATGAAGTTTTTAATGTGATCGGATCAGGAAATAAAAGTTATTCCAGGTGATGGTGGCTGCTCAATAGCTTTAAAGATTTATAGGCATTCATGTTGGAACAGAAAGAAACTTTTGTGCCTGAAATTTTAAGTTTGAAAACAAAGAAATTCACTTATTTTTGATCAATAAAGTCATAAGTTTTATCAGCCCTAAAAGGTTTGCATCGAAGTAAATAAATCTGCACCAAGTGACGATGTCGGGTTAAAAAGCCGAACACAAACTATGTTCTACTGCTTCTGCAAAAACTGAATTAAAGTGTAAAAATCGAAAAACCTGCAAATCTTTAATTTTCAAAAAGAAAAATCTGATTTTTGTTTCTCATCTTTTCTTTCCACCAGTGATGATCCTGCTCATGCTCTCCCTGCGTACTCATCGGAAGAAGCCGTACCTGTGTGACGAGGAGGAGAACGTCCACGAGAACATCGTGCGATACGACGATGAAGGCGGCGGCGAGGAGGATACCGAGGCCTTCGATATCGCCGCCATGTGGAACCCACGTGAGGCTCACCACCACCTGGGCAAGATGAGACAGGACATGCTGCCAGAGATCGAGAGCCTGTCCCGCTACGTCCCTCAGGCGTGCGTGATGGGCGGCGGCAGCGGGAATAGCAACGTTCACGGATACGTGCTCGCGAAGCTCCTCGAGGCGGACATGGACCCGTGCGCCCCGCCGTACGACTCCCTGCAGACCTACGCCTACGAAGGGGAGGGTTCGGTCGCTGAGTCGCTCAGCTCGCTCCAATCAGGGGCGTCAAACACGGACCACGAGTACGACTATCTGAACGACTGGGGCCCCCGCTTTAAAAAACTCGCCGAGATGTACGGCGTGCTGGAAACAAACACTCCCCCCATGTGGTAGAACAGCCGAACCTTTTGCCTTTTTAATCGAAAAACGAATAAAATGAAGAAGAAAGAGACAAAAAAAAAATCAGAGACAGACACAAACTGTGTGTGAGGACGACACAGCAGAGCCGGGGAGTGCTCACGCTCTCATCCATGACTGTTAGCACTTGAATTCCTGCCGAAAGCCTCGATTCTCCACGGCGGCGGCGGCGGCGGCAGCCCTGGATGCCCACAGAAAGCAGTGTGAGCTGGTTTTTAAATCTCCCCCTGAGACGGGCTGCAGAGCCGGGCTGGATTGGCAGCCCTGTGAGGCCTGAAAGAGGAACGGCTTCAAAGCACATGTTAACTCTCCTGCCTGACCCCGCCACAGGCAGAGCTGCTCGCTTCAAAGTGGCGACTGATTTATGCCTGAGAAGAGGGACTACTTTTCTTACAGAGGAGATAAAACTCTGACAGCTGAGGTTTTTTTATACGGCTCAGACACATCACGAGGAAAGATAGAGTCAGCGCTGCAAACGGAGATGCGTCCTTTTTCGTCCCATCTGTGGCAGGTCTTAATTTATTCCTTTGTTTCACGTGCTGTATTTATATTTTGTTGCTAAATTATTCGGGAACTCCAAACCAACACTGTACTTAAGTCCTGCAGCTTTGTGATGAAATCTTCAAAAGATCACTTCTATGTTGTAACATACATGATGTAACGCCCTTGTTTTCGTCCGTACGTGTTTTTCATGCACAGGAGATGATGTGTAATCCCATGTGTTTGTTGTATTCTGGGTTTTTGTTCCATTTGAGAGCGTTTCGTATTGTAACATAAAACAGTTCTGCATCCACAAAGAAAAGAAGGAAGCCATTTTTTTGAAAATCTTTTGATGGGACTGGAGATTTCCCAGCAGGGGGGCGAGTTTCACACGGACTTGGAGTCGCCTTTCATTTCCTTGGATCCACCACCGTGCCAGCCAGCGTCGGACGGCAAAGCAGGCTTGTTCTGTCCTTTTTGAGATACTGTGTTGCTTTTCTGCCGCCACACAAATGTGGCTTAATCCTCCAACCCTGTGGACTTCAGAGACGTTGATAATCTGAATCAAGTGCCAAATGTACAAAAGATGAAAAAATGGAGAAAAAGGACGTTTGGATGAAAAAGAAAAAACACAAAAACCAAAAGATAAAAAAGGATTTTTCAAACTTTAAAGAACTGAAAGGTACATTTTGATAATTTGAATTTTACTTGAATCCATGTGGTCAGTCATGCTACAGTAAGTGGTATGTGAATGTAGATACTTTTTGTATTCTTGCTAATAAAAATCTGAAAAATAATCCTGCTTCTCTGGCCTTTATGTCCTTCATTTACTCTCTAAAGGACATGAGGGTCCCCTTTATTTTCAATGATGTTGAGAGTTCAAGCACATCAAAATGAAAATCAGCCACACTGATGAGAGATCAAAGTCCCAAACTCTGCAAGAGAGGAGAAGGATTTTCTCCAGAGTGACTCGGAGGGTTTTCATGAGTTAGGGGCATCAAAGGAAAACGCAGATTTCCTAAGTTCAAGGCGAGCTCAGGGGGTTTTGAGAGAGCGGCCCAGAGAGTCATTTATGTTTCTTATGTAAGTCCCAGCTGGACCGTCTTTTATTCTGTTTGAAAAATTAATATCCAAACTTTTAATCACTATTGAATTCAGTTTTTTAGTTACTTCACTGCAGCACTGTGGCAGCAGACAGTATCTGCGCTGATTTGAGACACAAGTTTATCACTAACAACTCATGTACATGAACATTACAAGCTGGCTACAAATGTAATTGTAGTTAAATACATAAAAACACATTAACCACATGAAACTGTTTTATTAAGCTGTATGCTAAGGTATTTATGAAACTAATTAACAATAGTGAAAGGCATGGGGCCCAGAATTGAACCTTGTGGCACACCTCCCAACCAGTTTTCCCCTCAGCTCCTCCTCTCCCCTCCCACAAACAGACACTCCTGCTCGCTCGCATCGTTCCAGTTAAATTCAGATATAATGCAGATAAATACTTCAGATCGTTACAAATGGGGCCCAGTCAAGGTGAAAGTCAAAAGCATTGGTGCTACTGTAGATGCCAACAGACTACCAGCAAACACAATGTTTGCAGGACTTCTACAACGAGGATAAAGTGACATAGTCCAGGACCCGAGGGAGGACAGTTTAGTGGCACTACAACACGCTACAGCAGGTCCGTTTGACAAGAAACACTTCTGTTACAGACACTTGTCTTACTTTGTTAAAGCCGTTTACCTGTCCAGCAGAAAGGTTACAGGGTCCGTAAGATCCCGAAGCGTCCCCCATTGACCCGTTTTTGTAGCTCTTGTCCGGTCTACCTCCTTTATAAGCGCCCGTTATCCCGCGAGAGTCTCCAGTATTTACTTCGTTTTCTTGCTTATGTTTCCCGAACTTTCTGATTGGTTTCTACTGTCTGATATTGTAGCACGCTAACATTGTTGGGCTCATGAACGAAGACATGGAGCGCGCCTCACAACACGAGGGAGCAGCGTCTGCCTGACAACACAGCGATATCGTTATATTCCCAAATTTTCATCAATAACTAATAGCTGTTGACTGATATTAAAAGCTTTTTTTGTATTTACACCACAAAAAAATGCTTCTTTACCGGATTCCTGCCTACCCCACCTTTAATTCAAACATTTAGCATGCACATGCACAGTTAAGCAGAGACATGGGTTACAGTTTAACTGGGTAACTTAACTGGACTACTGTCCTTGATCATAGTCTACAAGAATGAGGCGTGAACTGATTCATCGACTGCAGAATCTCAGCTGGTACCCTCTTCACAATGAGACCTTCCTCTTATTTCTCTTCACCAAAAATGCAATCATTAGGGAATAAAGATTAGGAACTCGTTAATGTTCATTTAAGTTAATGTTCATGGCCGTCCATGCTGTATTTTCAACACGTGCTGCAGAGTAAGCTTCCGTCTGTTCAGGGAATAAGGCAGCAGGATGATGTCTTCCTCCCATGGCTGAAAGTGTGCAATGATTCATTCAGACTCCTGCAAGAAAAAACAGTTTTCTGAAAATGCTCTGTGCATTTTAGGTTAATAAAGTTCTTTATTTTGCTGCAAAGAGATATTTCCCTGAAGCATTTAGTCGATAATGTGGCTTTTTGAATTTGCAATCATATGCTGGATCGTCCTCCGCAGTGTTATTGCAGTTGATTCACTTTTCATTACAGTTTCCCTCAAAGAGCCTCACTCGCTTGACTTACTTTGTTTTGCAGCGCTGATTAAAAGTTCATCCTCGGTGCCGTATGTGCCGTACCTGAGCAGACAGGCTCTGCGGCGCCTCGTAAAAAACGGTTCCATCTGATTGCTTTCTCTGTAACATTTACGTGAGCGAACTGAACATCCACCAAAGACAATGAATCAATTATAAACAAGAGGCTCCATATAATTGCTTGTGTCAATCAAAGAAACCAAGGAAAGAGCGGTGAGAGGAAAAAAGAGGCGAAGAGAATCAAAGTGAAAATTTCCTCAGATAATAATATTTTCCACGACTAAGAAATCCATTTCCAGCCTCACGACAAACAATAAAGACCAAACTCTGAAATCATCGTCTCCAGCTCACCTGCTGGGCAGCATTCAACGGTGAAATTGCACAGGAGATGAGCCTCAAATATTCCCAGGATTTAAGTTTTCACATAAATACTTTCATATCCTCCAGCATGCTGAGCTGAACACTCCAGTCACACACCGGGGATTTCTCTCTAATTACTCTCTTTGTTTTAACTTTCAAAAGTCCACAAGGGCTTTACTAATCTTTATGTTTCTCCTGCTTGCATCATCAAATACCATACTCAGTCTGGATATTACAGAAAAATCATTTCACCTCTCATAATTCATGGTTAAGGGTTGGATTTCTGGAAGTGTGAGGAGCAGGTCTGCCCTCTGGTGGTCAAAGTTTTTTAACGTGGAGCTTTAAATTATACAACAGAAATATTTAAAAACTTAATAAAAGACGAGAAGACAAAGGTTTAAAAAAAAAATGGACGGCATCTTCACCACTTCCTGTTGTGCAAAAAGTAACGCCAAAATAAATGATGACATCATTAGAAGCCATATTAAAGGGATATTCCGGCATGAAATTAATTAAGGGTCAAACAGATGGTAACACCAAGTTAGACACCCCCTTACTCTATATTTATTATCCAGGTCAGACCAGAGATTACATCAATATGAAGTTTTTTTTGCAGTTCTGAGAAATAAGTTGATGCTGAAGTTCTGAGAACTGCAGTACCCTGAGTGTCCACTTGAGGCTACAAAAACCACATACACACTCGGGCAAAATACTCGTTTTTAGAGCAAAAGTAAACATGTTTACGGCCTGTTTTGGTCTGAAGGATTGTGAACTCCCACTGGTCCCAGTTTTTGATCAGCCTGGGTTTGAAGTTATTTTGATTACAAGATCAGCGAATCAGAGGTCTGACTTGACTAACAGTCAGGTTTACTGTAGCTATTTGCTAAGAGGCTAAAGGCCAATTCTGGTCTACAGTTAGCACCACATCAACAGAGTATAACTTGTGGTTTCTGTGTTTATTTCTATCATGTACTTTCTACAATGAGCACAAAAGTGAACAAACAGTGCCTCCAGTGGCCACTCACGGTACTGAAAACACTTGCTAGCTAGAAATGCTAGCTACAGAGTTTTTGGCTTGTTTGTGACAAGAATGGATCTCTCTGAACATGCAAGGTCACTTATTGTCCTAGATCAAGACAATTAAACTCACCCGCACTCGCTGACTTTAGCTAGCCATCCGAGCTGCTCAGTGTGGTTGATTTTTTCCGTTAAACATAGTCGAACCATATTTCAACAGAAATGGTACAAAAGTTCATAACAGTGTTCATTTTGGTTCCTGACGATATTAAAAAAGAACAGGAACTCATATTTGGTACGTGCTGTTGAATTTTCTCACTCCTGATCCTCTAAAGGAGTCTCTGTTGAAGAGGAGCTTCACTTTGCTCGCAGTCTTGACTTTTATCATCCTGTGAAAGTTACGCTCTGGGTTTCCAAACTCTTCAGGCGCTCTGTCAGTCTTTCTTTCTCAGACAAGAGCAGGATCTGCGCTCGCCGTGACCTCACTCCCATCACTCCTCTCCATAAATCTCTTGTCAGGAGCATTTGCCAGCATATAGAGCTCCTGTCCTCTTGTCTCTTTCCTTCTCGGTGCCCTTCTCTGCACTTTGCCCGATCCTGCAGCATAAATTAAACCCTAACAAACCCCTCAAACTCACGCAGACGCCCAGTCACATCCCCTTTCTCCTCCTCCTCCGTCCTATTTGCCCCATCGCCAGCCTCTCCCAGAGCCGTTTCCAGGCCAAAGCAGTGCCATCCGTAAGGCACTGAGGGGGTAATTTGTCTTAAGCTCCGCTGCTCTTTCTAACAGACGATGGAGCTCAAACTGTGGAAGATAATAAGAAGGCTTCCAGCTCTAATCCTGCTGAGGGTAAACCGCAGCAGACCCACTGAATCATCCCCTAATGCCGGGTGGAAAAACACACTTTGCTCTGCTGGAAATTGAGAAGCAGAAAGGAAGGCAAACTCTGGGCCCTGAGAGAGAAGAGCAGGTCCAACCCATTTGACATGTGGAGCTACAGAGCGAGACGTATATACAGACCTAAATCACTGCCGGGCTTTCTCTCCCTGATCCTCTTCTTATCTCTCTCTCCCTCTCTGTCTTCCTCTCTCTTTCTGCAGCTCGTACTCCGTCTTTCTCGCTCAAATGCCCTCCATGTCTTTTGCTTACGCTCATTTCTTTCTCTGTTCCTTATTTGTCTTTCCGTCCTCGTCCTCGTCCTCCCCTCAGCCCGGCTCATGAGTGCAGCGCCGGGTTATTTCCACATTATCTCCGTTAAGCTGCAGCAGGACATCAGCTCATGCAGACAGGGTCTTTGCAGCTTTATAACGCAGAGCGCTGCATCATCAGCGTATTACTGTAGCTCAGCTGGAGCTTCACTGTTCAAACATAATCTGCTCATTTCTCTTGTTTTCTCCTACTTTTGTGGACTTTCTTTTCTCCATTTCACTCTAAATGAGCGGACTACCAGCTTCTGCTAGGCCACCCTTACATCGGCCAGACTAATTGGCAGGAGCTGGCGCACAATGACGGATGGAAACAGTACAAGTGTTTGCCTATTTGGACGGAGACGCAGCGTGCAAAGAGACGGATCAAAACAGGACAAGTGATGGTGCAAATAGACATTATTTAACTTCACAGAGTGTCTATTTACAGTGAGCGATAAATATGCATTTTATGTATATCTATCATA